TGTGGGTCTCGGCTCCGCTCTCGACCGGGGATCCACATCGGCTCCGGAGCTCCCTTTAAAAGCTCGTGTTCTGTTCTCGAACTTTCTTCTTTTTCTTCTTCCTTTCTTTTCTCCTCAGCTTTAGGATACTCGTTGCAGTCGCTCAGCTAGTTGTCAATACACTGAGTTGAGACCGTTACAATACGCATATACGATGAGTTTCAACTGTCAGATAAGTTGCGCGATGACCCCACGAGTCATCCGCATGCAGTTGACACTGCGGTCATGGTCTGATCCGATATTTAAGCCCTTCCGTGCTCCCGTCTGGTGTCTGATTGCAGAGTGGTATTGAATAGTCTCATGCACTCAGTTGTAACAGCCAATCTCAACGTGGCTGATTGACATGGACAGTCCGGTCAGTCCCGGGTCATCCCGCCACACCCAACATGGCGCGAACGGTATATACCACTTTCACACATCACATAGGAGACCCCAGTATACGCAGCCCAGTCATCTTCACTGTCTCACTTTCGGTGCCGGAGCATGGGCTCGACTACCGTGACTTTTCGACGCAAACTTCGAATATAACAACATGACTTTTCGCAACGAGGCTGACGATGGGACCGTCCAGATTCCATTTTTTCCCCCTGGGGCATGGGATTCTGCGAGGAAATGAGAGCAAAAAGTAGGCCTTCAACGCCATACGCCAGGGTTGACACTCCGGGTCAGAGAAAAGAGGAACCGGCGAGATGCCTGTTCCCCAGACGAGAACTGAATTTGGGGTCTACCGGGATCGCGCTCGGAGCGGGAAGAGTGCCTGCCGGCGACAACGGGGAAATGCCTGACTTCCGAGTCACCTGAGTCAGTTGTTTGCGAACTGGACGAGCTTTCTACTGCCAAAGCGCCCTCCAGTCCGTTTCCGTGTTACACAACATCAAGCTAGAGGAGACACTCCCGGCTGCACGTCGATACCTAAGTCAGGCCTCCGGCACATGGCCGACGAGCCAACAAGCGTCACTGCATGTGTCCCGCGGTCGCTTTCTCATTTCCCTCATCCCCAACCCCGCAAACCTTACGCGAACGACATAACGAGGAAAGTGCAACAAGGCGATCCAAAGACTGGCTGCAAGGCTCACATGACGTCCGTGGTGGGGGTCGTTTCTGATTCTGGCTTCCCAGGCCGGCTTCATGCAAGCAGGAAGCTCTGCAGGCGTCAGCTTTCAATGACGAGTCAACCCACACAGTGGCAATGGCTACGAAGTAAAGTCTGCCCATGCAAACCCCTTACCTGCTACGTCCCGCTATCTAAGATGCAGCACTTCCCACGCAAGGCGTTCACCCTCATGGAGGTACGCCGCCGAAGTTTTTCCTGGTTCGTGCGGAGTACAAAGTACGGAGCGTAAAACCCCATGTCGTGGTGCCTGGCACTGCCTGCTCGTTCAAAGCACAGCACAGCCGAAACCTTATCTGCGTTTTACATCACCAACTGCAGAGATCTTATGCATGAACTCCAAGGAGAATTTCCGGCGGGTTCTATGCAGCATCGGCCCCACGGCTCGAGGACAAGGCACCGCGGCCCAAGCCGCGTCATGGAAAGGCCAATGTATTGCCCTTGCAGGGGATTCACGTAGCGGCAGGGCCAGGGAGTGACAGTCACTTGAAGAACGTGACCGGTGCCACCAACTAGTCGCTAGTTATCTCATTCGCCGTGTCTGTCTTTATACTTTATGGAAGTTCTGACCATGGGGAATGCTGCGTTGCCGATAAATCATCGTTCAAAACGCAACATCAATTATGGGCAGACTTTTTGGACTCCAAGTCGACTTTACTTTTACCTAGTGCGTCTAGAGTTTCCATCTGCTGTTAGGTACGATGCCCCTCATACATGTATATGTTCGTGTGCGGGTGTATGTGTGTGTGTGCGCGTGTCAATCTAATGAGCTCTGTAACACCTTGCGTAGTCTCCCGTAGGATGTGCAAGACCCTTAGATGTGGTGGTCCTGAACCACAGAGTCAGGGGTCGTGATGGCATTGATGCATGACCCCCATACATACCTGTATAATTATGCAGCTTGCGCACTCACAATCTGCAGTTGATAGCTATACAAAACGAAGCATCCGGCAGCTAGACTCAATCCTTCAATGTGCCAATGATAGTTACTTACGTATGTCTCGACATACGGGCGGAGATCCCCATCAACCAGACGTACTAGGAAACTTACGCGCGCATGGCATCAGGACAAGGCCACGGTTGCCTAAGCCTCCGTGTTGATACCGTAACGGACCCTTGGAAAGGAGCTCGGATCGCATATAAATCCCCCTCTTGTCCTCTCGTCTTCTTACTTGGTTGCTTCCATCTCACCAGTCTCATTTCCCCTCAACACCTAGCTTCCAGCTCAAAGACCACGCCATTTTTATACCTCGAGGAGTTACCCATTCTAACGACGAAGCATCGCACTCTTCACAATGAAGGTTTGCATCTCTAGTCTCGCTCTCGCTCTGGCCCTTGGGTCCGCCAATGCGTCTGCCATTTTGCAGGGGGACCCGATACCGGTGCCAGGTCCTAGTGAAGACGATAGCACGCAGGCGTACTGGGAGAAATATAATGCACAGAGTGTACGCAACGAGGAGTGGATCAAAGTTTGCCGCCAACCTTGGGAGGTAAACACCCACCACTTTGCCCCGCGCCAACGCCAGACTGCTGTCTGGTATGATACGCGGCTGCTGCTGTCTGCTCCCGCCGTATAGCAGAGGGCCAGCCATATCTGTGTTTTTTGCAAGCTTCGTGAAGCAGCCGTACGGCCCGCTGACGTGTTGGCATATAGGGCAAAAGGATGTTGTGCGAAGCTGTCTCGCCTTTTCGTTGGAATAAATTTGTGAGTATCATATCTGATCACGGTCGGCCTCAGTCACCAAGAGGGATCCATTTTGAAGGGCCTTGCTGACCAGCTTGAGACAGATGTGGAAGGACGAGGTGCGCCACCCCCCGGAGGCACTGTCACACTAGCATAGAAACAGTTGCAGACCGAGACGCGAGGATATGAATACACAAAGAAGCTAAGTCTGCCATTTTCAGGTTAAGAAATGGGCTCCGCTTGAGGTGGCGTGTGGCGGGCATGACGGGGTAAGTAGAGCCAAAACCACTCACGGATCATGACTGTTGAGACAGCAGAGTCCCATGATTGAGAGTATGCTAATATGCGAAAAGTGCTATAATTGCTTTAGAATCCTTCCGGAAGATGCCTTGTCCGACCCGGAGTCTGTGAGTGTTAAGCCCCTGCCTTGAGGCGGCACTGGGTGGGCCCTTGCCCATCCCGGATTCCCGGTTATCCCAGCTCTCCGTCGCCTTCTAACCTCTCTACCTTCACAGACTTACTTCACCTGCGCTATCCGCCCTAAAGCGTAAGGTGACGGGGATAGGCAGCCAGATGCTGTTTTGAGCCCAGAAAACCATAGCTGCTGCGCGGCCGAATGTTTCTCCAGGCGGGCAAGGCACATGGCAAGCCTTCGAAGAGTTTCACCAGAATGATGAGGAATTCATCCACACGAACTGGTGCAACGATTGGGACTAGGGCATGTCCGTGTGGGTGTCGAAGCCTACCAGTGACGGCTATTGAACGCAAATTGGCAGGAAGCAGATGGCGGCTATAGTGTTTCTGGGGTTCCCGATCTGGGTGATAGCCAACAATTAGCAGTGGCACGTGGTATTGATAGACACAAGAATCGGGCAATACCATCATCGTTCATTCACTGCATTTCTTGCGCAGCTAAACAAGGCCCAGAGAGACCTTCATAACTTAACAGTCCGGACATGGACGCCGCTAGCAAGCCAACATTGACGAGTTCGGAAACTATGCCACGCGCACCGCTCATATAGATGCGACTCGGCGGGAGTGCTAGACGTCCTCAACCGCCTTTCGATCAAGTTTGGAGACTGAGTGCGGAAGCTACTCTTCACCCATGTTAGGATCTGATCTGATCTAGTCGGCGCGGTCAAGACAGTCGCGAGTCGCGGCGATATCCGAAAACGCGCGAATCTCGTAGTTTTTTTTGCGCACGGCCAAACTAGAATGCGGCTGTACATGACAGTCACGCGACCACATTTGGATGGAAGGCTCAGTGGGACTTACTGAGTACAAAGCCGCGCCACTGGCTGCTGCCTGGGCATGTTTCTACCCGTCCCGTACGCCCCTTGGCCGTGATGAACTCTCCCGTGTGTTACCCCGTACATGCCGATTCGTGGTGTCGCCCAACAGCACCGCAGGCCCTCGGGCCTCCACATGCAATATTCAGCATAAGATGGTCGGGGCATGGGTCCGGGCTCACGCTGGCATACCAGGGTCCCTGCGAGAACCCGACGCTTTGACAGACCGTCCGGCAATCATGTTCCGAGCAAACTGAAGCGAAAAGTACAGTACTTACTGTGTACTGACTACGAGCTCAGTTACGACGTCGCACAGCATTAAGACGGCGCAAATATTGAGGCTCTGATCGAAGGTTCTCGATGCATACTTCCCCGCTCTCCTACTACACCAGGTTATAAGATTGCTCCTGCCTCTTGACTTTACTCTTGATCGACTCATCAAACGCAATCGCCTCATTCCACCACCACGCGTATTCATCTCGACGCCATGGCGTCCCCAATCTCCCTCGCCCTGTCCAACCCAGACGACGACAAGTCGCTGGTTCTGATCGCAAACACTCTCCAGGACTTCGTCAACGGCATCGTGGCCGCCGCCGCGGCCGCGCAGGACATCGACAAGGTCATCGTCGACGAGTGCCAGGCGGATGACCCGCAGCCGTCGGGATGGCAGAAATACCTCTGGAACTGCATCGGCAAGGCCGCCATGGAGATACCCGCCGACCATCCGGGACAGGACCGCCTCGTCCGCCTCTTGCAGGAGCTTCAGCGCCTTCCACGACACGGGGTGCCGGAGAAAGTAGGCGATGAGATCTTCCAGAAGGAGCTCTGGGTCCTCACTCCCGAGAACAAGTACGACGGCCTGGAGCAATGGCTCTGGGAGCTCGATCAAGGTAAGGGACCCTGCTGTATCCCCCACGGCTTCCATGCATGAACTGATACGAGGCCCCAAAGGCTCATTCACGGGCACGCAGCAGGTTGAGAGCTCTGAAGCAGCTGCCACATCTTACGTCAACTTCTCAGCCTTTCTTGCACGCCTTCTCCACAGCGAGGTTGTCGAGGCCACGCGTCTCTGTGCTCTCATCAGGCCCTCGCCCTTCGCGACCGGCAACCCGCTCACGAGCACGGCGTATCCTGACGCCTCTGAGGCTGCGCAGCACTACGAGCCGTGGGCTGTGGCGGCCGGGCAGTGGATCCTGCACGCGGCGGAGGTGCTCTATGAGATGGGCGAGAAAGAGACGCTCACGGAGATTGGTAGGCAGAAGTGGACGCCGGCGCTCTGGAACGGGTGGAAGTCCCGATTCACTGCCGTGGCAAACGCGGAGGAGTTCAGCAGCAAGGCCCGCGAGGTCGCCTCTAAGGCGCTGGAGAAGATGGCGGAGGTGGAGAGGGAGGGAGTCACGACGAATGTGGTTGACACCTTTGGCTTCATCTCCTTGAAGGAGTAACGACGGACGAGGATATGTTCATGCACATCAAAGGACTAGCAGGGTGTATTCAAGCTCAGAGCACATCTTAACTTTATGTGCTTGGCCGTTTCAAGGCCAGCGCGTCCAAAAACGGCCCATCGTGCATCCCAACCAGATATGCCTGCTCCGTCTCCGAATCGTTTACATGCACCACCTTGGACCAGGCTGGCACCGCAAACGTGTCTCGAGACGACCATTCGAGCCGGATCGTCTCTCCACTCACTGTTTCAACCATGCTATAACCCTGGCCGGCGTAGCAATGGTAGATGAAGGACCGTATGTCCTGCGTTGCGGTCGTCGTCGTACCAGGGCTGATACGTTCGGCCTGCGCCCCGAGTGTCCCTGCGAGGGGCTTACCCGCGTAGTTGCGGTAGTGATGTACGGCGTGATCTCCTGGCTGGACGTCGAGTGCACCCTGGGTCTCGGACCAAGGGTGGCGCCAGTCGGACACTTCCACAGGTCTGCAGAGATACACATCGATCAGCCGTCAGTACCTCTCCACAGTCTGTGCCGAACACTCTCCAGTGAACTTCATGACGCATGGATCAAGAGAACTTACTCGCTCGGGTACCGTTTCTCGCCATATCCCTCTGCGAAATGGACCTTTGCATACGTAAAGAGCGGCAGATCCAGGACATCGAGCCACACGATTGGCTTCTCGCTCTCGTTGCCGTGATCGTGCCAATGCCAATTCGGTGTGACAACCACATCGCCGCGCACGAGGGGCAGCTTCTGACCCTCAACGGCGGTGAATCCCTCGCCATCGATGATGAAGCGAAACGCCGACGCGACATGTCGATGGGCCGGCGCCGTCTCTCCGGGGTTGACGAGCTGCAGGCCGGCGTAGATGGTGTCTGTAGTGAAGGGAGCATCTGCATACAGACATGAGCGACTACAATTGCATATAAATAGGCTTGGGCCTCCTGTAAGGGTTATCTTGTGCAGGACATACTCATGTTTGGGTTCACGAGGATGAGCACTCGACGCTCCGCCTTTTCCTCGGGCACAATCTCGCCCGCCTTCGCAAGGCTGGGAAAGGCTTCATCATACTTCCACACGTGCGGTTTGGCCACCGGCTTGGGCAGTGAAGGTGCCAGCAAGCTCATCTGCGACCACAGGGGCTCGAGATGTTTCGAGGGAAGCGTCTCGAGGTATTCGTCCATGATTGTATCTGTCGCCATGGCAGATGTGGTAAAGTTTCACAAAACGAAACAGTCACGGTTCGTGTCGAACTTTGGCGGCATAGCAAGACTGTTAGCGGACTGGGCGGGCACCAAGCCATCATTATATTCAACGGCCACACAAGCACCCTTCTTGGTGTGGTTCGCCCGCGGATCTAGCAATTGCCGAAACCCCGCGGTTACACGACAGGCCCAAGTGGCGATCAGGTGTTAAGAAACGTCGTGCATTTTTGTTGACCAAGTCAAGGTCGAAGGCACATTATTCTATTGATCAGATGTACATTCATACCATCACGCAGCCCTAAAGACGGGCATGATGCAAGAGATGGCCAACCGCGGCTTCAAGCCGGAGTGCCAACCTGCCATCCCGATCGGAAGCGCCTCTCATTGGCCGCGACGTAAGCACATCCCGGACGACCTCGGACCTCATCGTACAGGAACAGTGATTCCTAGCCACTTGCCGCGGCCAAATTGACGTTATTAGTGACGCCCTAAAGCAGGTTCTTGAATGCATTTACGCGTCTCGGTGCAACCGTCGGCCAAATAAATCACTATTGCGCGAGCCAGACCAATGGCTACATGGTCGCGCCTCATCCGTTTCGTCGACGACACGAGTCGAGAGACCTTTGGAGAGCCCATTATCACGGACGGTCAGGAGTTCGCTGACTGGCTCGCCGGCGATGAACGTTGGGCGGTCGAGCTCAAGGGCCTCTCACCCATCGGCCCGCTCATCAGGGGTGAACGAATTCGAGTGAAGGAGCTGCGAGACCTGTTACACCCATCCGACGTGCCCATCATTCGCTGCATCGGGTTGAACTACATGAAGCACAGTAAGTCAATTCTCAGAGGCCAGTTGAATCAGTTCTCAAGCTGACCAGTCTGCGTGTAGTCCGGGAGGCTGGCCGCAAGCCGCCGCCGTATCCTTCCGTCTTCATCAAGCCGAGCACCTCGGTCGCTGGGTTCAACGAAGACGTGCCCATTCCCAAGATTGCCCAAGATGGCACTGTCGACTATGAAGGCGAACTTGTAAGTTGCTCGTGCCACCAACTCCATCATCAATGTCATTAACACAACCCTTGAGGCCATTGTGATCGGCAAGACCGGTAGAGACATCCCGAAAGAATCAGCACTTGACCACATCGCGGGATACTGCGTTTCCAACGACGTATCCGCTCGCGCCTGGCAGCGCGACCCTGACAAAGCGGGCGTTGTCCCGCAATGGTGCTTCAGCAAAGGCTTCGACAAGTTTGCGCCGCTGGGACCAGTGCTTGTGTCGCCTGCCCTCGTCGGCAACGCGTCGGATCTGCATCTGCGAACCTTTGTAAACGGCGAAGAGCGTCAGAGAACAAGCACGAGCGATCTCATATTCGGCGTCGAGGACATTATCACCTTCTGCAGCCAAGGGACCACACTGGAGGCGGGCACCATCATCATGACCGGCACGCCATCTGGCGTAGCAATGGGTATGAAGCCACCCAAGTACTTGACCGATGGCGACGTGGTCGAAGTCACTATCACTGGTTTAGGGAGTGTGAGAAACAGGATGGTGTTTGAGTAGACTTCCAAGGGGATGCGATCTACCTGCAGAGCTGGTCATTGAGAGTTCATTGCATTATTCGTTGACCAGTCCCCATGCATTCATGTCGTCCAGCCATGAAAAGTCGTCAACATCAAAAATTACATCGCTGAGATCCAAATCTGGTAAGGGCGGTAACTCTTGCTCTTCCGCCGTAGCCTGTACGCCTTCGAGAGATGGCTCGTCTAGAGTGAGAAGCTTCGATGGCGACGGTGCTGGTCCCAGGCATGGCGTCAATGTCGCTGCGTCTGGGGCGTTTTGGATGATCTTTGATGATAAGATCTGCAGGGCAACGACGCATCGCTTTGCCGAGGGCGCGAGCTGTCCCAGTGTTTGCAAAATGTCCATCGCTCGGTTCCAGGCTCTGAGGACATCCTCGCAAGGGAACAAGTCGGGACGAAGCCTGGCTGCGATGAGTACTGTGGCAGCCGAGAAAATGTAGTATACTCTATACCACCAAGCAGGAAGCAAGCCGACAGTTCCGCTTGAGGGCTGGTGCTCAAGGATCAGACCAATGATGGACTGGGCGGTCTCGACACAAAAGTGTGCACACTGCTGCATTACCCGATTATGAAGACTGTCGCAAGACCTACATGTTTCTGGGCTACCTGGAGGGAGGCACATGCGCGCCAGCGCAGGCCGTAAAAGAAACATGCGGGCGTGGAGGAATCTTGATCATTTCGTTTCATGAGCCAATTGGAACAAGGACGCAAGTAGGAGCGGCAAACAGACCTTATCCGTAGTATCAGTGCTTGGCGATGGAATATCTTGTTGCTTGTGGTGTCGTGATTGCCTGGCATGAGATGTGCTGGCAGACTGTCTTCCCATCTGCTCATGGCCCCATCGAGCTGCATGAGGACCCCCAGGTCGACAGCTTGTCTGTCTTGCTGCGTAGCAGGACCTGATGATCGAGTCCGCAGTCCCGAATAGAGAGACAGGATGGCCTTGTGCGTTATCTCATACAGCTCTACCGACTTGACGAAGAATGATACTTCGACGGGTGGCATCGCCCCATCGGCTCCCGGGCTGGACACCAGCGACGGCAAAGGTACAGCTAGCGCGACTTGCTCTGATATCATTGCGGGCCGACCATGTGTCAGCGACACCATCCTGAGTAGTGAGCCTCGGTCCTGCATGGAGTGAAAGGGTGGCTCACCTGTCCATGAGCACGCATCCGTGCCATACTCGACGCATCAGCTCGCGTCGTCCCATTGCCGTCTGTGCCGCTGACGTCTCGGGCAAGTGGAGGCCCAGGCTTTGTGCAATCCGGACAGCCGATCCAACGACCATCCATGTCTGATGCGGATGGTTTGTGCTTTGTAAATATTGGCTGGTCAACAGCAGGTACTGAATCTGCTCCAGGGACCCCGGGTCCCAAAGGTGAAGCTCTACCAAGTCCTGTGCCCGCCTAAAAAAGACGTGGCTGGCTTCGCTTCTTTGCTCTGTTGACAAAGACTCAACCAACTGCGTCGCCAGCGCAAAGATTATGTCCAGTGTCGCGACGAAAGTTCTCTCGTCGGTGTCCAAGGGTGTTCCTGCAAAGAGGGCGGTGTAGGAGTGCTCCCACTTACTCCGGTCGAGGAACGGATAGAGGGAGTCTACGTACTGCCAGTAGATGCTCATCAGATGGTCTGCCTGTCGTCGGGGGGGTAGAACATCATGAGCCAGGCTCGGCATGCTCTTCCTTCTGGCGGCGCCAGCGCTGGCAAGACTGGAGCCATTGCTCCGCGGCGAGGACGCCTGTTTACTCTGACCCAAACGGATCCCAATCGCCGCTTTAATCTGGGCCGTGAAGGACCCAGCACTGCTGCTACCGAAGTATTCATCCGTGTTGACGCCATCTTCGACAACTGCAGTCATTGAATCAATCACAGAGGGGCTCGTAATGACATGGCCTTCTCCTGGTTCATTCCTAGCTGGGACAAGGGGGGCCAACAATCGCCCGCGGCCCGAGGCGGCGGAAGAGTGAAGGCGCAGGCTGGTGGCTACTGGCGACTGAACAACCGACGACTTAGAGTATATTGTGGGAACAAACGGCGGACTCGGCGGCTGTGGCGTGCGCGCGGCTAACAAGACACGGCTTGTCAACGGCCGGGGGATATCACTTCCAGCAGAGATCGGTTTCCTGTCGGTGCCGCTGTATCTGCACTGCTCTCGTTGGGCAAACCGTTTGGAGCAGTTGCCACAGGCTTATCAGGTCAGGCAGTGAAAGACGAGCTACCATACGCAGAGGCCAGGACTCACCCGGCCGTGCCCCATCACACTTGACCTTGCGCAACCTGCACGTGTCACAGGCGACAGCGATTTTCAGCCTCTTAGGTCGGCGAAAGGGAACGTGCGGAACGCCAGGCGGCGTCTCCGCTGCGGGCGCCATGTTTCGCATACAGAACTGATTGATGCCTCGCCGCAAATGCGGTTGGCGGCCCGCATGGGCTGGCGCCAGTCCAGTCGGGAGTTGGGAGGCAGTCTCGCACTCAGACCACGGGTTGTCACCTCGGAAGGCCCGTTGGCGGTGGTGATTCGACGTCTCGGATTCGGAACGCGGCCCAGAAGGTCCCAGCTGAGGTCTTGCTTCGGAGCTGCGGAGTGACGGGCAAGAGGAGAACTGGGGCCATTGTGACGAGAAGCGGGCAGGTCGTTTGAGGTACGTGCACTGTCGAGCACGGACAACTTGTCATTGCCGTTTGGGGAAGGAGATGGTCCGTTCCTGACGTGTTGACTCCTCCAATCACAGGGGTTCCGAGACGCAAGGGCAGTTCCGAGGCACGGAAGCTGCGATTGGCCGGCGGCTAATCAAGTGAGCATTGTGCCGCCGGTCGTGTAAGTTTTGAGCGTCTTGCGAAAGTGTCCGTACTGTCCCATTCATTTATTGGCTACTTCATTCTTCTTTTTACAATTCAACGCGAGCTGTATGTGATCGTAGGCCAAGGTGTGACGGCGGGGCGTTGCCGAGGTCAGCAGAATGGCCACGGTCCTCTACCCCAACAAACATTGAAGTCTCCTACGACAGGGTTTCGATGTCACAGAACAGTCAAAGAAGGTTGTCCACGTAGTGCAGTAAGTTCAGGTGGGTAATATCGTTCAATGCTTCTCAGTATCGCAAACTGTCACGGGGAAAAGTGCGACGGCTAATCACGGCAGCAGAAAATACCCCAGAGGCAGTTTCCCACCTGGTTTGTTGCAAGCTCACGGGCTGCAGCAAGAGGTGGGCACAGCCTGCATATAGGGGTCATAGAGGCCGTCACCACCCCTGACTCTAGGGGTCACCACCCCTGACTCTAGGGGTCATACATCCCTTATAGCAGGTGCCCACAGTCCCTATAGAGGGACCCAAATGTGTATATATAGAGGGCACAGCCCCCAACAGAGAGATAGAAAAACAAGGCTCCTTCACATCCGGATACAGCACTTTGCAACATGGTTGGCCTGTTGCAAGTGTGATCATCATTGAACGAGACTACGATCAACCATCCTGTGACACATGTATTCACAGACCCTGACCTGCTATTCATGTGAGGTGCATTTCGTCGACATATGCCACGAAACACGACTCACGAGAGCCCTCAGGCCTCCCGCTATGGGCTTTCTCGCCGATATCGAGTCTGCAGGTGGAGCTTTGTCTCCAGAGACCTTGCATTCAGCGAGTCAAGGATGCTTCAGCCTCGTGTGTGGCATCAGTGCGAGAGCGTCACGGTAGCCTCTGGGGTGTGCGACCAGCTGGACGGACCGCATGCAATTTCGCAGATGCCCGGTTGCGATGTTCCTAAGAATGGAATCGTGGCAGGCCTCCCATATATGCGACTTTACTCAAGAGCTTCCTAAACCTTGTCTGCACACTCACGACGCTGCAGTCAGGTTGCACCGGAGTCAATGTCAACGCCAAATGCACATGCAGCCTCTGTTTGCTTCAGCGTCGCATCACCCGTCTCCGACTCGTCACTGCATCCGTCGTCACGCTTCATCATCTCGCCTTTGTGCGACGCGAAGCTGGCAGGACTTCAGACGAAAACCAGCACGGCGATGACGATCTGCGAGCGGCCGGGCCTTCATCAAATTGATGTAACACGTAGGCGAGCATCCGCGTACGTCTGCACGACTGGCAGCTGAAGACAGACGCCGTGTCACCGCTTGGGGCCCAGTGACGCCGGGGTGCCCGACTGCCGGCTTGAGTGACATGGTTCGTTTCACTAGGTACAACACCAAACGGTAGCAGGCGATGGCGGGAATCGAAGCAGAACTAAACTTGATGCTTTCCCCCATATCGAGTTGTCACCGCAAGTTTGGAATTGTTCTCGTCAATCCATTCTGGTATCTCGCAGCATCACCGAAACCACCGCACATCCAAAAGAGGCAATTCAGCCAAGGGGGCCTGTTAAACCGCCGGCAACGACAATCCCCGTTCCCACCGTCTCAACCAGCTCAGCCACACCCGCCTGGCGCGGTGCGGGGTGGCAGCAGCTAATCTTGGTTCGTCTCGAAATCTCGAGCCGGGCGGCGCCTCCCCCACACCTGGACTACGTTAGGAGCCTCCACATGCCTTGCGCCGAGACGATCGAGGAACACGCTCGCAGCCAAGTTAGATCCCCCGGCCCCTAAGTAGCCTGCTCGGGCCATTTGTCCATTATGGCAACAATACGACGCCGCTGCTGCTCTCGCGCGCCTGGCCGACCGCTTGGCTGCTTGGCCGGCTGACCTCGTGGCCCCCCTTTCCCCCTGCCTCCATCCCATGTACGCACGCGCTGCAACTGCATGTACGTACGCGCCTCGGAGCAAAATGCTATGCTGTGCGTCATCGACCGGCCACGAACCGCAGCCCGCCCGGGGGGGGGCCATGGTCACGGCAAACGGCCCGACCTGCCTCTTGCGGCGCCTTGTCCCGGGAGTTCCAGCCCCTCTGGCCCTTGGCTTTCCGATCTGGGAACCATTGCCGACGGCGACGACGCACGCGAGCGGCTCCCTTTCCCCGCCGTCCCTCCCTCCCTTCTCTGGCCTGGGCCGTGACTTCAGCTTCCCCTAACCCTACGGTACGGGGCGGGCGACCAGCCGATCCTGGTTCACGACGCAGTCGAGTCGAGGCTGTGCTGCGTCCGTACGACGGCGATGCCCTGTCTGCGGTGCGGCCGGCCGGCCACCGGCGGCCTGCATGGCGGGGGTTGCGCGCGTGCGTGCGACTCATCATCCTGGGTTTGAGATTTGACGCCCACTGCGAGCGGCTCCAGCGCACCACTTCCCAATCCCTTCCACAAGTACGTGTTAGCCCGGTGCCGACGAATGCCGTTCGTGTCGCCCAGCCGTGGCGCCGGTGCGCGTGGTGGGCGGGGCGGAGGTGGTCTGGAGTCTGGACGGACGGAGCTATAAGCTGGTATGTACGTTGCGTTAGTTCGTCGGCCACGATGCTTACCCACCTGAACGAGCCCGGCGGCGGCGGTCAACGTGAAGAGGGGGTCAGCCATGGCGCCCTGCGGATGTTGTTGTCTAGTCTGCTTGATCACGATGCTGTCGGAGACGCCAGAGTAGGCATGGAGAGGTATAAAGCGTTGCGTCCCTTCCCCCGACGAGCCGTTCATCACCTCGAGCCGGCAGAGCATCTTCCTCGTCTCATTCACAGGTTGTGAGATATCCCTTCTCAGTCGCCAGGCGTGGCCGGCTCCAAGTCTTCGAGGTTTCGATATCCAAGGCCCTCAAAATGAAGGTCGGATATCTCCTGGCTGTTGCCTCTGCCGTCGTGGCTAGTCCCATTGGCTCTATCGAAGACTACGTCCACAACATGGAGCGAAGAGGTAAGCCGCCGCACCTTTGCCCCGACGACGATGGTGGCCTTGGTGTTAGCTTGGTGTCAGTTCTGCTCACATGTTTAGGCTCAATAACGGAAAGGGACTTTGGCAACCTTAAGTTCTACGTTCAGCACGCCGCGGCCGCGTACTGCAACATGAACAGCAAGGCCGGCGATCTCATCAAGTGCAAGGGTAGCTGCCCCGGCATCGAAGGCGACAAGGCCACCATCTCATCCTCCTTCCTGTAAGCTTTCCCCATCCGGCTCTGCGCCATCCCGTAACGCCATTAGAGTCTCGCATTCTAAACGGTTGAGCATCCCAACTGACACCCTTGCAGCGGCTCTTGGACGGGCATCGGCGGCTACGTCGCCGTCGACCACGCCCGCCGCGAAATCGTCCTCGCCCTGCGCGGCAGCAACAACCTCCGCAACTTCATCACCGACCTCCTCTTCGCGTGGCAGTCGTGCGACCTCGTCAGCGAGTGCAAAGTCCACACCGGCTTCGCCAAGGCCTGGGAGGAGATCGCCGACGCCGCCACCCGCGGCATCAACGCCGCCCGCTCCTCCCACCGCGACTACAAGGTCGTCATCGCCGGCCACTCGCTCGGCGGCGCCGTCGCGACCCTCGCGGGCGCCTACCTGCGCCGCCAGGGCATCGCCGCCGATGTCTACACCTTCGGCTCGCCGCGCGTCGGCAACGACCACTTCGCCAACTGGATGACCAGCCAGCCCGGCGGCCAGTGGCGCGTCACCCACCGCGACGACCCCGTCCCTCGCCTGCCCCCCATCTTCTTCGGCTACCGCCACATCTCTCCCGAGTACTGGCTTGCCGGGGGCGCCATGGACCAGAATGACTATCCCATCAGCGACGTGCGGTTCTGCGACGGCATTGCCAACACGGGCTGCAATGGCGGCACCTTTGGCCTCAACATCATCTCTCACCTGCATTACCTTGGGGAGACTGCCGGCTGCGCTCCGTTCCCCATCAACTGGAAGCGTGACCACCAGGACGTTTCCAACGAGGAACTGGAGCAGCGCCTCAACGAGTGGAGTCAGAAGGACCAGGACTTTGTCAACCACAATTGATGAGCTCAGACCATCGTCTCGGATGGCTTCCTGCAGCCACCAACATCTGGGCTGCTCCTTGGTCAGCCGTCGAATGTTTGTGACCCCGCAGTCCGCAGATCACGTTATACACGCGTACAAACCGTACAGGCCATGATATATATTGTCTAGCATAGCATCAGCGTTTCGTTTATTACAAATAGCCCATCCGGTTGCCATCTGGCACAAGAATACTGTACATAACCTCAAAAACGCCATGCAGCACTTGCCACACTCGCACTATAACGCCATTAAACCAATGTCTTCGCTGCAAGCAAGCTCTAAAATCGCAGGGATGCAGCAAAGTGGAATCTGCCACATGCCCATCATTCTGTTCCCTCGGTAATCATGCCCTGCGCATTGGGCACCCCCACCAGGATGACCCCGCGTGGTACACGGACATCTCTCACCTTCATGCAGCCGAAAACATTGACCTCTTTAATCTTGGGGCAGGCTCGGAAGATGCTTCCCAGGATGAAGTCCGTCACCTCTTCGCAAAAGCTGATCTCGAGCTTTTTCAGCTCGGGGTAGTGAGCTTTCTCGTCGAAGACTTCCTCGAATGCTTCCCGTGAGATGTGCCGGCAGGCGTGGACGTTCAGGTGATCCAGCCTGGACCCAGAGTGCGCCATCAATGCCTTGAACCCCTCACTGCACAGGCCAACCCCGTCGTCGTTGTGGCGTGGTCGCGTCGAGTCCACGTGCCGGCACTTTTGCAGGTCCAGGAACTGCAGTGGTGGGTTTGCCCAGTTCGTAAAGAGGTCCGTGAATCCTTTGTCGGTCATGTACTCACTCTCGGTGATACGCAGCTTTGTCAAAGAGTGGCAATGTTCGTGAATGGCTTGCAGGACTGTGTCGTCTGCATCTGGGACAATTTTCAACGACAAGGTTTTGAGGCTCCCTCCCACTTTGGAGAGGGCTCGAGTGACGGCTTCGGGCGCGGTCCGATTTTGCAATTGCAGGCCAAGGTGTTGCAAAGATGATAAATCGCCAATGGCTTCCACGCCTTTGTCGGTCATCTTTTGGTTGTTTTCGACCTTTAGGCGCTGCAGGCCGGGACAGTGTTTTGCGATGGTGACTATGCTGTCGTCACCAAAGTGCCTGTCGGTATAGTAGACCTGAAGGCCCTTGAGGCTTTGACCCTTGGCGGCCAGGAACTCGTGCCACTTCTCTTCGCTCAACAAGTTGGCGCCGTGCAGATAAAAGCTTTCGAGGGCTGTGTTTCGAGAGAGAAGATAGTCCATGACCTCGTCCTTGAACTGAATGGCAGCCCGTGCTTTGAATCGCTTCAGATTTGGGGCGACCTGGAAAATGCTGATAAAGTCTTGCTCTCCAAGTCTCGCGCCGTCGTAGATGTGCACCGTCTCTGTCAAGGGCTGCGCGAAAAGAGGTAGCGTCTCGGGCTTCAGCAGCCTGCGCTTCGAGAAAATTCGAGCAATCTTGTCGACAAGATGCTCCGGCAAGTCGCCCAGGCTGTCGGCCAAGTCAACATTTTTTGCAAGGGTCTGGACGCAAAGCGTCGCCAGACTCTTCGTCCCGACATCTCCATCGAGGAGGCGGCTGGCCATGGCCCGGCGCGAGCCGACGCCTCCAGTCTGCTTCCGGGGCTTCTTCTTGGGCTGCCCTTGCTTCTCTTTGGCAAGCTCCTTGCCGCATGGAGCGCACAGTAAGCCGCCATCGGGGCCAGCCAGCGAGTACGGCGTGACGGTAAACCGCTTGCTGCAAATGGCACAATTCTCAATCTGTCCCGGAAGCGGTGCGTGATGTGCTTCGAAAATGGCCCGTGCAATCTCATCGTCGTCATCCGAGTCATAAGCGGCCTTCTTGCGCTTCTTAAATGCCTTGGTCGCCTTGATCTTCTCTATCGCTTTAGCTTCCTCGGCCTTCTTCTTGGACTTTTCTTCGTCATCTTCGGCGCGGCTTGCGCGGCTTGCGCGTCTCCGGCCGCTGCTGCTAGACTCGGCAACAGTGACCGTTACGTCTTCGCCGTTCTGCTCTGCCTGCGACAAGGCGTGCTGTCGGCGCTGTTCGGCGTCATCCCTGATTTGACGGGCCGAAATGTTGTGCGACTATTGGCCTTGTCAGCACCCTAAGCTACGATGAATCCACTGGGTCACCACCTACGGCAAGAAAATCTGTCAACGCCGACTGCCTGATATCGCGAATGTCAGCTAAAGAACACGGCACACTGCATTAGATGCAAGGAACGTACGGTCCTGTTATGTTCCTAGTCGGCCGTGCGTTCTGGCCTGGCCGCTGATTCTGGTCCTGATTTTGTCGGGCCCTGCAATCCACTCGTCAGTCCTATCGCGACGTAAGAAGTTCGTTTGGCTTACATGGTTCACACCGAGAATCCGAGGCTCGAAGATGAGCGGCAAACGTCGGTGCAATATCAATGAGAATAATCGGCGAGATCGGGGGCCCGGGCGCGAGGCTGGTGTCTGTAAGTCTCCAGGGGTGCAGAGTCGCTGGAATGAAGAGCCCTGCGAATGACGACGATGACTGAAGGAAAATGTAGCGGGTGGCGTTCATCGAGCCAAGTCGCCCCAGTGCGCACTCACAGCGTGTTTCATTGACTCGCGGAGCTAACACGGTGTCACGTGAGGAGCTGAGAATTTTAATGAAGGCAGATGCGCACTGTCCGAGTGCACCATGAGTCACGCAAATAACGTGCGACGCAGGTCGGCAGCACAGTGCGTGTTCCTGACTCGACGGCCTCTTACCGCTGACAACGCCCGCGCACGTGCTTTCGTGTTAAGTGAAAACGCGGGTGTCGCCCTTTGTCTTACAGGCACTGTGGATTGGCGCTGTCAGGCACGGCAAGGGGAAAAGAAGTCACTCGAGTGGCAACCTTTTCGTCCGCACGTCCACCAGCTCTTTCACGGTTGTTTGTCTTCCGCCCATCCCTCTCCTGCATCGGCAAAGGAGGTGGCTCTTTGCATTCCACGCCTCTTTCCCGCCCGAGCCCGTCCAGAGTGAGCAATTGGCCACCCGGTACTGGCTACAGGGGGTCATTCACTCAAAGACGTCAGGTTCTCAGTTCCATCACGGCCCGCGCTTCTGTGAACCCACGCTCTTTTCTCCTCTTTCATCCGTCATTTTTCAGGCTCCGGGGACATCATCGCCAGCCTGGTCCAAACGGATCAGATCTTTCAGAACTCTAGGACCCATCACTTCCCGGAAGTATCACGGCAGTCATGATGCGTCCTCGCCGCCGCTCTACCATGAGCGGAGCCGGTACCCCAGCATCCGCTGCCCCAAGTATGCCTCAACTCACCAATCTCCTTCCCTTCCCGGTCGCTAACCCAGATCAAGAAGAGACTGTGAGTGGTCGTACGACCCGTTCAGGTTCTGTCAGAACGACCAACGCCGAAGACGGACCTGAGGCCATGGAGATCTCTGGGGAACCCACGCCTGCTACCAAGAGGCCAAGAGGCAGGCCCTCCAAAGCCTCACTTCTAGCCGGATCGGCTGTCGCATCTCCCTCCACTGCAGAAGCCGCGTCTTCCAGCATCAAACGCCCCCGTGGCCGGCCCAGCAAAGCGTCCGTCATCGGTAGCGAATCTGTCTCCTCGGTGCCAACACCTCGAGACGCTTCGACTGACAGCGAGTATTCGACCCCAGCTACTAGCAATGGACCTACCCCTGCTGCGTCAGAGAACAGCATGAAGCCGTCAGGTTCGTCGCTTGAAGTACGCCTTCCTGCAAAGTCCCGATTGGCCGCCTCGAACAGCGAACGAGCTCTACGCACTAGCGTCTACGCAATGAAGGCACCTCCCAAGCACGCCAGCACCATCATCCTGGATTCGGATGATGAGGACTTTTCGGACAATTCCCTGGGCGCACAGGCTGCGCGTCGCCTACAGCGCGAGGAGTATGCCAAAGCAGATGGGTTGCTCCTACCAACACCTGGCCCTGCGCGTCGAAGCAGTCGTGCTTCCGCCGCTGGCGCGTCGATCAAGGTGCCGCTGCCCACCCGCGCTGCTCCGAAGCGTGGTCGGGCCTCTACAGGATCATCAGCTCAACAGGCGCCACCGGTCAAGAAAGCGAAGGTCATCCCGGATTCCGATGAGCCCACCAATCCTGACATAGACATGGATGCAGAAGTCGCCGCGGGCGCTGCTTTAGATTCTGATGATTTCCTCTCCGCCGGCGACACCACCGATGAAGATGATGATGATGATTACGGCGATGGCAGTGAGGATGAGCCCTTGATGTCTGCCAAGCAGAGGGGCAAACAGCCGGCCAAGCCACGAGCAGCCGCGGCAAAGGCCAGGGCCCCTGCAAAGGCTCCTCCGACACGAAAGCCTGCTGGGTCTTCGAGCCGACGTGCCTTGGTTGTGCATGACTCGGACTCTGACCCAGGTATCGACGAGCTTCTTGACTCCGACTACGATACGCTGCCTGCTCCTGTCGATGCAGGCTTCACTTCCGCATCGGCTGTCTCGTCCGGCCTGAGCTCTGCAGTCACTACTGATGACGAGACTGGCGGCCGCCTTGAAGACGTCCGGCGAATTGCGACGCAGCGCCGCGGATACAGGCGAGGAAACAATCGGCGTCTCAAGAAGGAGCGCAATCGACTGGAAAACCATCACCCCGAATTGTCCACCATGTGGACTGACTTGGAAAGCATGCCAGTGTTGAAGGCCGGCATGATCGCACAGCCACAAAGCATCTCGCGGCAGCTCAAGCCGTTCCAACTTGAAGGCGTCGCGTGGATGAAGGAAATGGAAAAGACCGAGTGGAAGGGGGGTCTGCTCGGTGATGAAATGGGTCTCGGCAAGACGATTCAAGCCGTCAGTCTCATCATGTCCGACTATCCTGCCAAGGAGCCCTCGCTCGTACTCGTTCCGCCTGTTGCGCTCATGCAGTGGCAGTCCGAGATCAAGTCCTACACCGATGGCACCCTCAAAACGTTTGTTTTCCACGGCACCAACCAAAAGGCCAAGAACATCACTGTCAAGGAGCTCAAGCAGTACGATGTCATCATGATGTCGTACAACAGCCTCGAGTCCATGTACCGCAAACAGGAGCGCGGGTTCAAGCGCAAGGATGGATTATACAAGGAGAAGAGCGTGATCCACGCCATCCATTTCCATCGAATTATCCTGGACGAGGCGCACTGCATCAAGACACGTACCACCATGACAGCCAAGGCGTGCTTTGCGCTTAAGACCAGTTATCGTTGGTGTCTCACAGGAACGCCTCTACAGAACCGCATCGGAGAGTTCTTCTCCTTGATTCGATTCCTGAACATCAAGCCGTTCGCCTCATACCTATGCAAGCAGTGCCCTTGCTCACAGCTGGAGTGGACCATGAACGACGACAACCGTTGCAAGCACTGCAGCCATGCCGGCATGCAGCACGTGTCCGTCTTCAACCAGGAGCTTCTGAACCCTATTCAAAAGTTTGGCAATTTCGGACCGGGACGTGACGCATTCCGCAAGCTGCGCCTCATGACGGATCGCATCATGCTGCGACGGCTGAAGAAGGATCACACCAACTCCATGGAGCTTCCAGTCAAAGAGATTTACGTCGACAGACAGTTCTTTGGTGAGGAAGAAAACGACTTTGCCAATAGCATCATGACGAATGGTCAACGCAAGTTTGACACCTACGTCGCGCAGGGTGTTCTCTTGAACAACTACGCCAACATTTTCGGTCTGATCATGCAGATGCGTCAGGTTGCCGATCACCCGGACTTGATCCTGAAGAAGAATGCGGAGGGCGGTCAGAATGTCATGGTCTGCTGCATTTGTGATGAGCCGGCCGAGGATACGGTGCGAAGCCGATGCAAGCACGACTTCTGCCGTGCATGTGTCGCTAGCTACGTGCGATCGACGGACGAACCGGACTGCCCTCGCTGCCACATCCCGCTGGCCATCGATCTGGAGCAGCCGGAAATTGAGCAGGATGAGACTCTTGTGAAGAAAAACTCCATCATCAACCGCATCAAGATGGAGAACTGGACGTCGTCTTCCAAGATTGAGCTTCTCGTTCACCAGCTCCACCAGTTGCGATCCGACAATGCGACTCACAAGTCCATCATTTTCTCGCAGTTCACCACCATGCTGCAGCTCATTGAGTGGCGTCTACGCCGCGCGGGCATCACGACCGTCATGCTCGACGGAAGCATGACTCCTGCTCAGCGCCAGGCGTCGATCGAGCACTTCATGAACAACGTGGACGTGGAGTGCTTCCTTGTTTCGCTCAAGGCGGGCGGCGTCGCTCTCAACCTGACTGAGGCCTCGCGAGTCTTCATTGTTGATCCGTAAGTCTTTTCCCATGGCAGTGCTTGCAAGACATTGGCTAACCAGCTGTCAGATGGTGGAACCCAGCGGCGGAGTGGCAGTCCGCTGATCGCTGCCACCGTATCGGTCAGACGCGGCCCTGCACAATCACGCGTCTCTGCATCGAAGACTCTGTCGAGAGCCGCATGGTGCTGATCCAGGAAAAGAAGACCAACATGATTCACTCAACGGTCAACGGCGACGACAAGGCCATGGACTCGCTCAGCCCAGAGGACATGCAGTTCCTCTTCCGCGGATCATGAGTGTATTCCGTCATGCCACTTTCGAGTGGCCCAAAATGGCATCAGTCACGTACTGATCTGGCGCTCTCAGGTATTTCCGGTGAAGGAGCGTTTGTGGTATAAGCATGGAGTATAAGGACATTGGGAGCGGCATTGTGGTCGCGAGGCGTGCATTTGCGTTTAATTCTTAATGACTGCGCTTTATCGCAGCAGTATCTATCTGTTTCCCCAGCCTGTCCTGGGCTGGGTATTAGTGTTGTGGTGAGGGATTGGCGGGATGCAGCAAGTAAGATGGAGTGGTAGCTTTGCTATGGTCGCTCATGGTTGGGGCTGGGTTCCTTGGAAGAACCACCTTGTAGATCGAGTATATGAGATCCAGCACTACTGCCTTTTTGGGAATCCTCGTTCCTCTGCTCTCGTTTGTGCCCTCTGTGCACGAACCTCGCGCGCTGATACTTACTCCGACGGGTAGCGGCCGTCACAGCGTCGCCAGTGCCCATCACGACTACCCTGCACCGGCCACTTACACACGTAAAGCGGTCGTTGGCCACATTGACGCCAGTACACATCACGAATCCTGAAGTGAGAAGTGCGAGAGTAATTCCTTAGTGTTCCGCGATGGGCAAGACCCCAGTCTGCCAGACATTCCGCCCTCCGCCGTGGGTGTGTACCAACCTGTGAGCTCACTACTTAGCCGCGCCTCGCCTTCGTGACTCACGTCGCCCACGAGACACACCACCCGTGCTCTTGCGTCATAAGCGTCAATCAATCCCACTCAAGCTCAAGAACTACCACCCCAGTTTTCGAAAGTTCACCATTAAACATGCACGAGGGTACATCGGACCAGGACCCATTTGAATGGACAGAAAAAGAAAGAAGGAGGAAGGCGGAGGTGAAAAGGGAGAGCACAGGTCATTGCTGCTTTCTCTTTCGTGAAATTTTTGTCTCTGTTCCCCTCCTTCTCTTCCTATATCTCGCAAAAGCCTTTTCCCTCTTCTTCACAAATGATGCATAGTGTTCCTCCATTAAATCGTGACATCAAGACGAGAGAGAACAAGAACCCTCTCGTGGCGATCGTTTCATCATTTTGGGAGGCGGGCTGCTGGTGGGCGTAAAGGGTTCTTTTTTTCTTCTTAAATGCTCAGGGGTGCGACGACATGCATGGCTAGCTTACAGCTTCTGCATGGCGGCGATATCGGTGGACTGGACGTAGTCCTCGAACTCCTGGATCTGCTCCTGGAGCTCGTCCAGGGAGACCTTCTCGTCCTCGACAACCAGGTTGATCTGCAGCTTCTTGATGCCGAAGCCGAGAGCGACCAGCTTGGAGGCACCCCACACCAGGCCGTCCTTCTCGATGCTACGGACGGAGGCCTCGAGCTCGGCCATGTCGGTCTCGTCGTCTGAGAGTTCTTTGTCAGCATGGCTGTTCAAGTGGCAATAGATTCAAGAGGGCGGGCAATGCAAGTAACGTACCCCAAGGCTTGACGTCCATGGTGACAATGGACTTGGCAGCGATCTTGGGCTTGGCGGCCTTCTTCTCGCGGTAAGCGGCCAGGCGCTCCTCGCGGATGCGGACGGCCTCGGCGTCCTCCTCCTCGTCGTCGCTGCCGAACAGGTCGACGTCGTCGTCCTCCTCAGCGGCGGCGGGGGCCTTGGCGGGGTTCAGGGTGACCTCAGCCTCGGTAGGGCCGTAGACGGTGTAGGGCTTGGTGGCATCGCCGGACAGGCTGCTGAACTCGTCCTCGTAGGTGGCGATGTGCTGGTACCAGCGGGCGGCGTTGGGGTACTTCTCGGCGTCGGGGGCGGACTTGAGGGCCTTGAAGCAGGCGACGTCGGCCTGGCTGGCGTTGTAGCTGTGGAGGGGCAATCGGCGTCAGCTGGGCGTCTTCAACGATATAGACCGATGCGACAGGATGGGAGCGGGTGCGAATTCTAAAGAGCGAGACTGGTGCAGCGTTGGACAATGTTCACGGGGTTCGGGGTAGGAGACGGCGGTGTAGGTGCGTGCAGGTTGGAAATTTGGGGGGTCGGTGCAATGTCGTGTCCCGCAACCCGGCCCAAGCGCGGGGCAGCACAGAAAAATCGAAGGTTCGCTTCACGAGAAAGATCGGCAGGACAGAAAGGGAGCTTCGTACCCAGTGATGTAGGAGCGGGTGACCAGCCAGTTGTTCAGGACTGCAGAGGAACACAACGGTCAGCACAAGAACACAAATTCCTCGCGGGGTTGAGAAGCCGAGAAAGCATCAACTCGGGGGCGTCGTCGTCGCCCACCCGCGACCGGTGGTGCGGGCACCACTACCACCAACAAAAACGGGCGGGCGGCGGGCGAGCACAGAAAAAAAAAAACGGCGAGGCGGGGTGTCAACCGCGGGGAAAGGGAGAGAGACTCACGGCCAAGGCCAGCATCAGTGAGGAGATCGGTGAAGCCCATTGTGACTGATTTGTGTGTCTTTTCGTCGCGCGCTGCGTTTCGAGAAGGTGAAGAATGAGTCGACGAGGTTCGGCGGGGAGTTGGAGGCTGGTACTGTGGTGGTGGTAAGGTAGGAGGGGGGGAAAAAAGGAGGGGAGTTGTTTATGGCTGGGCCTGGTAACCTGGCGGGGTACTATCCTGAAGAGATTGCACAGTGGGAAAAAAAGGTGGCGGATTTGTTGGATGGGAGACCCCCCCGCCACAGCCCTAGCGCGGAGGCCTGAGGCAGCCAAAATTCTTTTTTCCACGTTCGTCGTCGTTGCGGCTGGTGCAAGACAGACGGCGGCGGTTCGACATTGCAGCCAAGGTTTGTCGGAACGACAGCAATTTAAACGCAAAAAAAGGGCGTCGCATGCATTACTGAGAGATAAAGGTTCATCTTGTTCTAGTTTGGCTTTTAGTGAATTTTGTACAATTTGTGTCGAATTTCCAAAGAGGCCGTCCCGCGGGCTCGCAGAGTCACCCCAGGGCGGTGTGGTTCAAGGCCCAGTGGTGGTGACATGTGGTCCCTGGACGGCCACCATGTTCAAAGAAAAAAAATTTAGGCGGGGCAGCAGGATCCGGGCGCGGATGGGTCCATCATCATCGATGGCACCAGCCCGCCGTCCCGCGAACCCGATTTGGGCTGCAACGCGCATCGGGCTGCTAAGCTGCGGGTTGCAGCTTCTCAAGCTCCATGCTGTCGCCGGTCCTACTCATCAGGCAGCGCCATTGGTGGCCAGCTTCTGCATTGCATGTCTTTGTGTGACTGGTACATGCAGCGAAGCTGTTTCATGCAATTGTGTGATGGCGGGGCACTTCACATGCCAGACAGGAGGGGAACACTTCGTACATCATACGCCAGGCCAAGTTGTCCATGATATTTACATAGCGCTGAAGCTACATACCCTGCCATCTAGACCATGTCTCTGCAAATGCTGCTTTCTATCATATCTTTTGAGTTTTTAAGTGTCATCTTTTCAAGCCTCTCGTGTATCCAACTTTTGTCTCTAGAAGTGAAGCAGAATGGACCGAACCAGTGTCGGATCCTCAGAGGCCCAGGAGAGCCTTGGCGCCGGGCTCGCTGCAGACGTAGATGACGTCGTGAGCGTTGGGGAAGCCGTTGAACTGCGTGGCAGAGCACTTGGTGTAGGCGCCCATGTCCTCAAAGTACAGCCAGTCGCCGACGTCGAGGATGGAGTGGAAGCGGGTGCTCTCGCTGATGCGGTCAATGCCGTCGCACGTCGGGCCCCAGACCGAGTACTCGACGCCCTCGCCCGCGCCGCACGGCTCGGCCTCCAGCGTGTTGTACAGCGTCATGCCGTCGCGGCGGAGGATCTTGCCCACGGGGTGCTGGTGGTCGAACATGATGCTCGAGAAGTTGCCGTAGACGCCGTCGTTGACGTACACCATGTAGCCCTTGCCGTCCAGCGTCGGGTCCTCGACGGTGCGGCGCGCAATGATGTTGCAGGCAATGGTGAAGGCGGCAGAGACAAAGTAGCGGCCGGGCTCGGCGATGATGTCGACGTTGCAACCCGCAGGGAAGAACTCGTCGAGGGCGCTGTCCAAGACGCCCGCCATCTGCTCAAAGGTGTCGCCGCAGAAGCCGCCGCCAACGTCGAGGGTGCGCATGGCGAAGCCAAGCTCGCGACCCTGCTGGAACACGGTGTGCGCGTCGCGGACCGCCTTGTAAAAGGCCATGGGGTCCGAGGCACCGGACCCGACGTGGAAGCTGACGCCGACGACGTTGAGGCCGAGGCTCTTGGCCAAAGCCAGGAGGCTCTCGGTGGTGTCCATGGCGGCACCAAACTTCATGCTGAGGCGGCACAGGCTCGATGTGTCATCAGTCATGATGCGCAAGAAGAGCTCGGCGCCCGGGAAGAGCTTGGCGATCTTGTAGAGCTCGTCGGCATTGTCAAAGGTCATCTGCTTGACGCCCACAGACTTGACGTAGCGGACGTACGAGTTGGTCTTGCAGGGCTGAGCGTAGATGATGCGCTCGGGCGATGCGCCCATGGCAAGAACCTGCTCGATCTCGGTCTTGGAGGCGCAGTCAAAGCCGGTGCCCAGCGCGGCCAGGAGTCGCAGAACCTGGGGGTCAGGGTTGCACTTGACAGCTAGGCGAGGGCATTAGACGGAAGCCGCATGGGATGGAGACGTGGCAGTAGAGGACTCACCATAAAAGGGCTTGATGCGGGGCAGGGCCTTCTTCCAGCGCAGATGCTGCTTGTAGACCTCGCCAAGGTCCGCGACGAAGAAGGTGTCCTCATCGCCAGGCTCGCACAGCTCATGGTCGACTTGCTGGACGCGCTGGTGAAGGGCTTCGCCAATCAGTTGCTTGGGATCAACCACGGCATTGTCTTGAAGAAGCGTTTCGGTGACGAGCGGCTTCTTCATTAACATATGAGCATGATTAACATCTTGAGTGTAAGTCTCGATGACAGTCGTTGCCATAACCATATCCCTGGTGTTGAGGGGGTGGTGGTTCTTCAGGTGATTTGCCGTGTGGTGGAAAGATGTAGACTCGATCGACCGGGGCGGGTGTTAGGGGGGTCGAAAGCAGTGGCAGACTGATCCCTCAATGGATTGGCGAGGCCTCCTCGACTCTTCCTCGGCGAGAGGAAGAACCTCCTGGTTCCTCCTATGCGGCAGCTGGTGGGTGTCGGAGGACGACGGGGGCGGCGGCTGAGAGGGGGTCCCGTCTAGAGACAAGAGGGCGTGGAGGGAGAGCTTAGGCGCGTGCGGCGACGGCAGCAGCGGGAGGAGGGATGGCGTTGATGATGTGGGATGTCTTCCGAAGGCTGAAATCTTGATCACTGACGAAAGTCACGGCCGGAGGAGCCGTGGCGAAGCGGGTTGCCTTTGAGAAGACCAAAGGCAGTCGAGTTGGGTGAGGGAGAAGGAGAGAGACTATTTTGCGCGACGAGAGCGGCGGTCAGCAAAGGGCTCATGAGTGGGCGAGCGGGCGAGCGAGGCGAGACGACGTCCATGCGCGGCGAGACAAGCCAAGCAATGCTGCCAAGGGGGAAGCAGCAGCAGCAGCAGCAAGCCAGACGGGCGGCGACGGGAGCATGTCGTCGAGGGGACGGGACCAACGCGAGAGGCAGCCAGGCACGAGGGGCGACAAAGAGACGCCCTGCACGATAGGCTTCCGGCGAGGCCGTCGCGGAGGGTTCAAGCCTCTTGGCCGCCCGGGAAGGACACGACGCACGGCGGCGCGCAATGGGCAGCAACAAACACCGCAACGCGGCGCGCCGAGGTGCTATGCGCCGCGCCGCCGCAGCAGCAACAGCAGCAAGAGCAGACAAGGAAAAGACTCGACTCGTCGACGACTCACCTTTGGGGTCTCAATTCCTCCAAATAACAGCAGTCCCTGCAGGGGGAGGGAGCCAAGAAAGCTGTCTGAACGCGGGCGCGGAGCGGGCGTCTTTATAGATGGGCGGCGTTGCGGTGTCGCGTGCGTGCGTGCGTGCGTGCGTGCGTGCGTGTGTGAGTGGGAGAGAGAGGGAGGGGGAGCTTGAGGGTGGGCGTCGGTGACGATGGAGGAGAGAAAAGGACTGAAAGAATGGACGAGCAAAGGTTGTGTGTGTGCTCGCTCGCTCGACTGGTTTTGCGGTGACGATGGCGGGGCGGCTTGCGGGCCGGGCGTTAGGTTTTTTGATCGCGGCACGCCAGTGGCCAGCGGGTTCCCCACACCCAGCCAGTACCTCCCGCCAGGTACCTTTTTTTTCTGCGCAGACGGGAGGTACTTTTTTCGCTTTTCGCACCAGAGTTTTCGCCTCGCAGCAGGTCACAGGGTGCCCGTACACCCGCTGTAGGGGACGGAAGGCAAGATGGCAAGGTACGGGCAGTACCTACCTACATGCAACCGGCCAGGTCAGCTGCACAGCCAGCGACTACGGCCGGCCAGTCCCAGCGCCGCCGTGCCTGTTTCGTTTCCGTCATCGCCCACTGGCACGGCACGGATCCCCCTCCACATGCTCGTCGACGGTTGCTTGCCATAGCCGACGAGCCCATTGGCGCAGCGCTGCTGGGCCATGGAGGCCTGCGGGGACCCCTCCCCCTCCTTCTGTCGCATGTCTCTCCCTCACGCTTCCAGGTCTAGGTTTCCAGGTTTCAGTTGCGGCTGCTTCGCTGCGTGTGCCCGCTTCGCCGCCTTGCAAGTCGCTCTGCCCTGCCGTGGCAGCAACCCCTTCCCCCCTCCACGGCCCCCATCGAAACTCGGACTGCCTTCCTGATCGGCAGCCACGCGGCGGGTTGCAGCGCGGCAGCATCTCCGGCAGTGCGACGAAACGAGGCTCTCGCGCCCCTACGCTCAGACGACGCGATGTCGCCGTGGCGTTTCACTGCCCGTCGTTTTCCAACCCGCTCTCTCCCCGAGCACCAGCACGACGTAACAGCAGCCCGGCTCGCGGGTGCCGAGCCTGCGGGCCGGAGTGACGTGCCGAACATGGCGGCGGTTCCGCTTCCCACGGGCTTGGACACCGGCTGACGACGACTCACCTACCGTGCAGTGCTCTTTGACGTCTTTGCTGAAGACTGGAGACGGCGACGGCAACGACACACGGCGCCTCGGCAGCCGGCCGCTCATCTTGCGACGTCGCGCAAAGGAGGGAAAAAGGGGACGTGCAACCGAGCGTGCGTCCCATTTCCGGTCTCGAGCCTCGTTCGGCCACTGTCCGTACCGTACTCCCATCGGGTACCCTCGCTCGTCGTAGATGTCCGCCTTGCGATGCGCGCGCGAGATACTTGCCATGGTGTATCTACTTTGCCCTTGTTCCGCCTTGGGGCCGCCAATCCTGGGGTGCGTTTATTGCGAACAAGCCTACCTACGTAGTAAGGAGGCGAAGCTGAGCCCAGCCCGCTAGAGCAACACGTAGGGCGTGTAAGAGAAGACGAGGGAAAAAAACATCTCAACTTGTAGCTTTGCGCTCACGCGCGGCTGTCTCGCAACCTCGGCCAACTGGTGACGCTTTGTTTCTTCGTATGTACACTATCATTCATTATACGCTCACTCGTGCGCGCGCGCGCGGCTTCCGCCCACCTCCCAACACCACCGCCACCCACCACCGCCTCCTCCTGCTGCTGTTCATCCCTCATGCCCTCCCCTCGGCCCCCCCAGACGACAACGCATCAGGGCAACGGCTCGCAAGTGCCCAACCGGAACTTTGGGACCACCTCCCCCGGCTGGGGGGCGTGCGCGTTTCCGGAATTCGACAGTACGGTCGGTTGCTGGTGTTGGTCCCCCGGGGTGGTTCGATCTACAAACAAGGTCGCGCTCGTGCCCACCGCGGCGGCGGCTCTCTCACTGCTGCATCGTCATGGCCTCGACGAGCGCGTGCATGCATGACGCCTTGCGGCGTTGCGGCTCATCACCCATGCTGCTGGCTGCTCGGCTCCTCCTGTCTCGGCCTCCGTTTCTGTGTCTGCCTGTCTGTCTGGCCCACGCCTTGCCGTGAATTTTCCATGAGACAACGAGGAACAGCCAGGCAGGCAAGCATCTGCTGCTGCTGCTGCTGCCCAGCCTCTCCCCTCGACTAGTTAGCATCTCGGAAAACGGCTCATGTTCAATAATACCATGCCGTGCGAGCGCGCCTTCGTGCGACAACAACAACAACAACACACCGCGCGCGGCCTAACTAACCCAGAGAGTCGTGCACGTCGTGTCATGTCATGTCATGTCCTGTCCATGTCCATGTCCGCCGTCTCCCTCACCTCCGGTCGTGCCGTATGCCTGCTTGGCCATCTCGTTGTCGCCACAGCCACGCGATTCCATTCATGTACCACAGCAGCATGTGGTTGCTGCCGTCTCTCCTCGCGCGTGCCCCTTACATGCCAACACACGGTGTGCCCAAACCGTCTCTTCTTCCTTGCCTTGCCTTGCCCTTGGGTCGCATGTAGTACCTCATGTACTGTAACTGTTGCCTGCACGTGTTGTGCCCAACCCGCTGTATGCGTCCGTCTCGCCCGCCGTTGCGCCAGAATTTCCCGCAGCAAGGGGCGAGCGAGCGAGCAAGCAAGGTCACCGCCCCTTTCCTCCTGTGCCCAGTCCGCCGCGCACGGCATGTCATCCCCTCGGTCGTTGATATTGCGCCTTGTGCGCGCGCAAAAAGCTGCGCAAGACCAGCTCGGCTCATTGGACGGGATGGACGACAACAACCCCCTGCAGGGCTCTGCGACTACAGTACTACCCGATTCTTGAGCCCGTTGTCTGTCTGACTGCATGGCTGGCAGTCGAGGGCTGGGCTGCCTCCTTCGACTTACACGCCCGCCGTCGTGGATAAAATAAAAATACACGCAGAGAGAGAGTTATTAGCCAGCCCACCACCAACCCCCACGAGTCTAACATAGCCCTACGCACTATCCATCGCATTACCATACATATCATCCCGATCGTATGCGCCCTTTTTTTGTGTCTTGTTCTGTTCTTGGTACAGTATGCGCATCTGTAGACAGTACATGCCGTTTCCCCAGAGAATGCCATGCGCCGCCAGGTAGCTGCATGTATTTCCCTCACCGTCACCGTTCTTTGGCCTGCGTCACCTGCCTGCTTGCGCGCGTAAGTGCTCCGGCTCACAGCCTTGCGTCCTTTAGGTAGTTGAGAAGCAACAAGATGAGAAAACACATTTCCTCCTCCTCGGCTATTCGCGCCCGCCGCCGCCGCCGTCGCCCCGAACATCGGTCCCAGAAGCGCGCGGGCCATCCCAACCCATCCCATCCCGTCCCCCTCCAAAACACACCGCGATGCGCCTGCGGAACCCCCGACGACCGAACAACAAGCCTCACTGCAACCTCCCTCCTCCCGGCTTTAACCACCCAACCAACCCGCCCCCCAGCGCACAAAACCCGCGCGCGCGCCCCCTTGAAAATGTTTCCAAAATCGTCAGCTCGGTAGTCACCTGCCATAGTTACATAGGCGCGCGCGCCCCCCATCAGTCCATCGGTCCGTGCGACGGGGACATCGCGAGGGGGCCCCTTGGATGGTACTACCTGCCGAAACACCCAGCTTCCCGCGATCCCGGTAAAGACGGCATTGTTTGACCCCCGGCCCGTTCGGTAGGTACGTTTCAAGCAATCGTAGTTTAGTTATTCGTTTCCATGTGCGTAGTAGAATGTGTGTATGTATGTATGTATGGGTGTATGTACTCTGCACTTTAGTCCGGTAATCCAACGCTCAAGGACTCCGGCTCTGATAGAACGAGCGTGACCCGACCAGACATCCGCGAACCCCATATCGCGCGCACACGCAAACACACACGCACACGCACGCACGCACGCACACCCTCGATCCCACTCCTTTGCGCCGCTTGGTGCTTTTACGCTCCGCAGCGGGCATCGGCGAAGGGAAACGGGGGGAGGCGGCGGCGGCGGGTGAGGGCGCGCGAGCACGCGAAACGGGGACACGGGTGGTGTCGTGCTTTTTGCTCTTGCGTTGCTCTGTGATCTCTCTGCCATGGCGTGAGGACGCGAGGTCCTCGGCAAAAAGATGTATCGTATCTGAACGCGTACCAACATCTTCACCATCAAACATGTGCCGCACCAAGGGCCGGGTCCCCCAGCCAGCCGCACGCGGCTCACGTCCGAGGCCTCCCATCTCCACGGCAACTTGTATGCGTCTTTTTTTCTAAGAGATGGGTCGTCTATGCTGTATGCTCGCCGTTCCCAGGTGTAAAGTACTGTACATGTGTGTGTGTACCCCGCCATATCGTACAGATGCGCAACATACCTGCTGCCGGCCGGCGACGATCGCCGAGTCCACCGGGGTCGACCTGTTTCAGCCGCGAGCCGCTCATGTTTGTTACGTCGCTTGTCGTGAGGTCTCTTCGTTACTCGGCGGCGGCGCCCGGGACGTTCATCTCCTCCAGCCGCCACGAGCCGTCCACCCAGGGCTGCTTCTCGCCCAGGAAAGCCACGCGGTCTTCCCCTTTCTCGACCGTTTCCACGAGGTACTTTTGCGCCGCCTCCCGCACTTGCTCCTTGGTCACGTCCAGGAGCTGCTGGCGCTTCTTCTGCTTCATCTCCTCGGTGATGCCTGACAGGAATCTCGCCATGCCCTCCTGGTTCACCGCCTTGGGTGCGTCCACGCTCTGAAAGACGGAGATCTTGGCTTCTTCGAGGTCTCGGTCCGTCCACTCCTTGTTGACCGCCCAACGACCCGCATTTCGCATTATTCCCAGCGTGTTTTGCGGGTTAGGGTCGCGGTACGAGTAGAAGCCGAAGAGACCATCAAGCGGCTTGCACAGCGCCCCGCCTCCATATGCACCGCCCTTTTCGCGGATCTCGTGGTGCAGGTGCTTGTGCGTCAGGAGCTGTGAGAGGATCTGGAGGGGCGCCCCTTGCGGGGAAGTGTACGACACGGTCGGTACGGACAGGCCTCCATAGTAAACCTGGTAAGGGAGGGGGAAGAAGGTCTTGCTGTCCTTGGGCATCTGCCGGGGCGCCGCGTTCTCGAGTCCGCTCAGCCCACTGGGTAGGTTTCCCATGAACTTCTGCAACGACGCAGAGTTGTCCTGCACGCTCTCCGAGCCGCAAGTAATAGCCGTGCGCATCTTGTCGCTTGCCAGAGCAAACTTTTGGATCTGCTTGAGTTTGCCAATGACATCCTCTAGCGCATCCGTCTCCGGGCGGCCGGCAAGCCTCGTCACCAGCTTGACCTGCGACAGACCTGCGACTTGTTGACGCAACCACGCGCTGCGCGTCAAGCTGGACTCTGAGTAGCCCACGGCGAATCGGTGGCCAGATGACGCAATGTCGTTGACCACGCCGTCGGCCGACGCCTGCAGCAGCTGTCGGATCCGTAGAGCAGCTTCAGGGCTGTCAAAGTTGGTCTCGAGTACCAGCTTGCGCAGGATGTCGTACATGACAGGCACGTTCCTGTCCAGAGCCATGCCTGTGAAGATGATGCCTTCGCTGGACTGATGGAAGTCGGTCGGAGATGGGATCGAGTGGTAGCCGACGGAAACACCACCCGTCTTGAGCTTGATGAGGTCTTCGAGCTGCTCCATCGTCATGTCCTTGGTGCCGAGGCGCATGATGCTGTCGGTGAACAAGGGTATGAGCTCCCGGAGGTCATCGGGCAGGTTCTCGAGAGTATTGATGGCGCGGAAGTAAGTGAGGCCATTGGTGGGCGCTTCATGCCATTGTATCGGCGTTCCGGCGAGCACCTGGTCCCGGACGACCACCGGATCAATCGACCGAGGAATGTCCTTGACGTGTACGGTGGGAAGACAGCCGAGGTCCTCGGTGTTGGTCTTGTTCTGTTCCACCAGGAGATCCTGCTCCTGCTGCTCAAACTGCTTCCGGGCATGCTCCTCGCCACCGGCCCGTGCAACGGCTTCGCTGATCTTGTCTGACAGGCGGGTCTGCTCCTCCTTGGCCAGCTCTTCAGCAAATGTGGGCGACGGCGCCATGGTAAAGGTCAGAGCGTTGTCGTTGAGCAGGTACTTGTCAATGAGGCCCTCGAGGTAGCCTCCCTGAGCGAGCCGGGCCTGGAAGCCGTTGATCGTGTCGCTCCAAGCAAGTGAGTCAAACGGATCGGTGCCGTTGAACCATCTTGGCTTGAGTCTGTTGAGCATGGAGAAGCCAAAGTTGGCCGTCTTGTGCTTGAGGGACAGCTCGAGCTGATGCAGGGCGCCATCGATCTTGGTCTGCTCGAATCCGGTCTCCCGCGCTTGGCGCAGGATCTCTTGGATCTTGCCCTTGAGCTTCGGCACGTCCGCTTCTTGAACGCCAGTGAGGCCGATGGAGAAGATGCCCCGCTTCGCCGAAGAGTCGTAGCCTGCGTTGGGGCTGAAGTCGAAACCCATGCCTGCCTCAATCAAACCGCGGTAAAGCGGAGAACCATAACCATCCATCAAGAGGGTTGACAGGAGGGCAATGGAAAAGGACTCCAGCACGTCCGTCGTGTCGCCCGTAATCCAGGACACGGATGTCTTGTACTGCCGATCGGCGTCGACGAGAGGGTCTTGGGGGCCATAGAGGGTGACGTCCTTTGGCCCCTTCAACTCAATCGGCTCGTGGATCTGACGATCCGCCTGTATTCTGTCGAACGCTTGTAGCCTGGCATCAACCTCCTGCAAGTGGTCTGCCAACGGCATGTCTCCGTACGTGAAGAGCTTGGCATTGCTCGGGTGATAGTGTTGGGCATGGAAGTCCTTGAGCTGCTCGTATGTAAGGTCGGTAATCTTCTGGGGGTCGCCGCCCGAGTTGTTGATGTCGGGGAAGATCTGGTCCTGGAAGCGGATGTAGTAGAGATAGCCGGCGTCGGACATTTGGCCCTTCATCTCGTTGTAGACGACACCCTTGAAAACAAGCTTCTTGCTCTCTTCCGTCTCGCCGTTGGGGTTTTCTGGGCCGATCCTCCACCCTTCTTGCGTGAAATCGGACTGCTTGAGCAGCGGATGCAAGGTCGAGTCGAGGTAGACAGACATGAGGTTCTTGAAGTCTTGGGCGTTGGTCGTCGCGAACGGGTAAAAGGTATGGTCCGAGGCCGTGAAGGCGTTCATGAAGTTGGACAATGTGCGCGGCAGCATCTTGAAGAACGGGTCGCGGATCGGGTACTTGTCGCTGCCGCATAGCGTCGTGTGCTCGAGGATGTGCGGCACGCCGGTAGCATCGGGAGGGTTCGTCTTGAAGCCGATGGAGAAGACATTGTTGCTGTCGTCGCGTGCGATGTGCAGGTAGTCGGCGCCCGTCTTGTCGTGTTGCAGATGCAGGGCGGTCAGCTCGAGCTCGGGCACGTGCTTGGAGCGGACAAGCGTGAAGCCGTGCAGCTTGTCGCCGGGCTTCGGATACTGCGACAGCTCGGTGACGGCCTTGCGAGCCGCGTTGGCTGCGTTGCGAAGCATGGTGGCGACAGCGGGGGCCGCGAGGGGGGAAGACGAAAAGATGACACTAGTAGTACAACATTAATTATACAGGGCGGGTGCGCGGCGGTCTTTGTCGCAAAGTAAGGGCGTCAACGGCGGAGGTCGAAAGTTCTCCGTTCCGGCGTTTTCACGATGCGGCGCCAGGGAAGAAAAGAGAGGCCCAGTCTTGTCATAGGCGACGGGGCCTGCATTTGCAGATGCGGAGCCCCGATTATTAAGGCTCCAGCCCAGCACTGCCAGTGGCCGAGCCTCACCGCGGGCGCCTGGGTGGTGACCCATGAACTTCCATGCAGCCCAGCGGAGTGGATACCCTGACGGCCCCCGGCCTTCCGGCTTGCCAGCTGCTAGCGGTGGACTCTTGCAGGCACGCGCCAGCTGGCCCATCGGCCACGTAAAGCACTAACGCACAGCCCTGCTTGCCTCATCTTCGCCCGCTGAAAACTACAACCTGCCAACGACGGCATCATCGACACATCACTAGCAGACCATCGGCGCCTCTTGCACGCCGCGGCTGCAGGCATTAACTATCCTACATTGCATATATCCTTGGCCGGATCCCCGACTGCGCTCGAGGCTCGATTGCTGCACGGTACGGTCCCTAACGGTCTCCGTCTCCTGCGTTCGGCTCGCGCGCGGTCCACGTCGGCCGGCCCTCACGACTGGGTTTCTTACGCTGTGAATCTTTAGGACTCGCTCGTGCCCGAAGCGCTCGGTCCCCGATCGCCGCCTCCAACTCACGCCGTTACACACCAGTGCGTCACCCGCGAGCTCCAGCGCCTGCGACGATCGGAAGCGCTCTCCTCCCATCGAACGTCGCCAAACACCCGCTGCCGAACCGCCTTCCATGTGGCGACACAGTCTCTCGATGACATTCACCCTGTGACGAGTCGAACAAGTCGATACACTCACGAGCGATGCCTTCCAGCCATTCGGACTCGGCATTGACCAACGGTCACGACCATGCCCATCCCCCGCCACCAGCGACCGGCAAGAAGGCAAAGGGCAAAAAAGCCATGGACTCTAACGAAGCGTCGCGGCTGCTGCAGGCCCGAATCTCACAGCTGGAGCAGGACGCTGCGGGAGAAAAGGATCAGGAGCTTGAGATCGGTACGTGACGACGAGCCCGGGGTCGCCAGCGTCGCGCGACGGTTGCTAACGACGCCGCGTCTAGAGCGAGAAGTTAAGCGAGCCAACCGCGACCTCATGCAGCAAGTTGCCAAAATGGACGACATGCAAAAGATTGATCACTTGACGAAGCGCTCGAGCGAGCTGCTGGCCGACATGCGTCGCTTGGACAAGGAGAACCAAAAGAATAAGAAGCGCGGCGACCTCTTGCAAAAAGAACGCGATGCCAACCGCACGGAGCTGAGCAAGACTGTGGGCCTGAAGGAGAAGCTCGAGAAGTTGTGTCGCGAGCTGCAGCGAGACAACAATAAGATGAAGGTCAGTGGGAGGATGGTCGCGACGGAGCCATTTGGTCGAAACCTGCTGACGTATTGTATTCAGAACGAGATCAAGGACCTTCAGACCACGCAAAAACGTAACAACGCGAGCTGGGATGACAAGTTTTCTTCTCTTCTAGCGAAGCTGGAGGGCTACCAAGAGGAAAAGGACACGCCTCGAAAGCAGGTGGTCGATATGGAAGTGGAGGAGTTGTAAGCACAACCCCTGACCGCTGCGGTGCGCGTACATACGAGTACTGACTGTTGTCGACAGGTTCCGAGTCCGGTTTAAGTCGTTCATTGAGCAGTACGAGTTGCGCGAGCTGCACTTCCACTCGCTCATGCGCACCAAGGAACTCGAAGTACAGTATCACCTGGCGCGCCACGAGCGCGAAAAGAAGAACGCAGAGGCCGAGGGCAACAAGGCTCGCCACCTCCAAGCACAAGTCCAGGCCTTCACCAAGACGGAGACGGAGCTGCGCAATCAGTTGAACGTTTACGTGGACAAGTTCAAGCAGGTGGGTAGCGTCGCGCCTCGCCGCTCCCCGGGACCTTTGCGGTCTGACACAATACAGGTCGAGGATACCCTCAACAACAGCAACGACCTCTTCTTGTCCTTCCGGAAGGAGATGGAGGACATGTCGAAGAAAGGTAAACGGCTCGAGAAGGAGAACGAGGCGCTGAAGCGGCAGAAGGAGGCAACGGCCGCGAACATCATCCGCATGGCCGAGGAGCGGCAGGACTGGAAGAAGAAGGTGGACGCGGCGGAGAAGAAGACGGAGAAGCTCATGAGTATCATCCAACAGATGCAGCAACAGGGCCGCAAAGTCCCACCGGGCATGGCCAGCGCGGTGGAGAGCAGCTACTCGAATGGCCAGGGCGGCGGCGATGGCGAGGAGAGCGACTACTCTGACGAGGGCGACGAGGAAGGACTTAGCGAGTTCGACGACGACGACACGGAAGAGGAAGCGCAGCCGGCCGACCAGCCAGCGCGGCCCGTCACGTACGGGCCTGAACGGCCGCCGCAGGCACAGGCACAAGCGCCGGCGCCGGCGCAGGCGCAGGCAGCAATCAACGGACACTAGAGGCTGGTCGGTTTGACCAGGCCCGGGGCGGCACATGCTGCGCAGATGGTGTCGGCGGCGGCGGCGACGACGACGACGACGACGACGACGACGACGGCAACGACGACTCCCGGAGACGTCTTTGACCCGGTGGCGGCCCTTGAACAGCTACGTTTGCTGCTACGGCGGTACAACGAGAATCCACTGGCAATGCCAGACATGGTGGAACAGATCAGAGCCTTGTTCCCGGGATATCGGATCCCTGACACGCCGCCAGAGCGATTGTGGGAGGTGGTTCAGCTTCTGCTAGTGCAATTCGCCGCTGCACGTGTCATTGATCGGCCGTCGGGGGTCGTCGAGGTCAGGTTGAACGCGCGACGCCGCCAAGCGGGACGGTAGATGGTTTTGTTGGCTTTTTGTGTACGAAATACGCCCGTTACGTAGTATGTGTGCTACTACCTACGAGCTCAACAAGCAGCGTGGCACGAGGTAGCGAGCGCCATTGCAGCGCGTGCTTCCCGTGGTGCGCTGGTCGCTTATGATTTGAGAGGTCGTTCTTCCTCGTCTTGATGATGGGCAGTTGGTCCGTGATGTCGCCGTCTCAGTAAAGAGCTTCTTTTCGAGCTGCCACTGCATACCGAGCAGTATATCACATGGTACCGTATGCATCCATGAGAACACCTCTACGATTAAGGATTATGCATGCCGTCGCAAACGCCTGGGGATGCCCTGTGCTCGCGAGCTGTGGTGGCTCGATGTTGTGGTCCTCGTGCGAACTGGCGTACTCACTCGTACTTCATAAGCGCGGGCCAAAGCTGGCCGGTAGGTATTTCGAACGTATCGCGCGGGGGGAGCATGGGGGGCCCCCACCCTCCGTGCCTGGACTCTCTGCCCGCCGCGCCGCACCTCTAAAACAGCGGGTGGGTTTTAAACTTGGCTCAGCCGCGACGGCGCGCGCGTCACACACGCTGGCTGTGCTGTAAGACAAGGACACCTGTTCGTCGGCCAGCGGCGCGCGTGCGTGCCTGCCCATACTTCTCTCCCGCCCATCCCACCACGGAAACCTGCCTCTTCACAACGCAGCAGGGCATTTTCCATTCCCGCCCCATCCCACTCGACGTCGTTTTTGTTTCTACGCTCGCTCGCTCGGTCTTGCTGGACCTCGGAGGCGGTCGCTTCGACGTCGCCATGATGGATTTTCTCCAGGTACGTGAAGCGTCTATCGTGCCAATTGATGTGCCCCCCGCCGTCGCCGCTATGGACGTTCGAGCATCTAGGAGGGACCTGGCATTTGCGAATGCCCTCCTCCTCGCGTCGTTCCTCGCTCCAGCGCATGGGGGCCATGTGAATGCAAGCTACTACCTGGGAAAGAGAAGCCATGCTAATTACCAATGTCCGTCTTCATCGTTGCAGCGCCTCGCCCGGTTCCTCGACCGCCCTCTCTTCCCCTGGAAGAGGCTCATCCTCGGCTTCTCGGTCGGGCAGTACCTCTTCGAGACGTTCCTCACGCTGCGCCAGTACCGCGTGCTGCAGGCGCCCAAGCCTCCCGCCGTGCTGGCGCGCGAGATCTCCCAGGAGACGTTTGACAAGTCCCAGGCGTACGGGCGCGCCAAGGCCCGCTTCGAGATCGTGTCGGGCCTCGTCGCGCAGCTGCAGAACGTGGCCTTCATCCAATTCGATGTCCTCCCCAAGATGTGGGCCTGGACGGGCGACCTGCTGCTGCGCTGGGCGCCCGCGCGCTTCTCCGGCGAGATCAGCCACTCGATTGTCTTCATCTTTAGCTTCATCGTGCTGCAGCAGGCGCTGTCCCTGCCGACGCGCCTGTACCATACGTTTGTCCTCGAGGAGAGCTTCGGCTTCAACAAGCAGACGCCCAAGCTGTTCGTCACCGACTTGATCAAGACGCAGGCCCTCACCGCCGTGTTCATGCCCCCGATCCTCGCTGCCTTCCTCAAGATCATCCAGAAGACGGGCAGCCACTTCGTCTTCTACCTGTGGATCTTCACCGCCGGGCTGCAGGTCTTCATCACCACCGCGTACCCCGTCTTCATCCAGCCGCTCTTCAACAAGCTCTCCCCGCTCGAGGACGGCGAGCTCAAGACAAACGTCGAGGCCCTCGCCGCCGCCCACAAGTTCCCCCTCAAGGAGCTGTTCGTCATCGACGGCAGCAAGCGCAGCGCCCACTCCAACGCCTACTTTTACGGCCTTCCCTGGAAGAAGCACATCGTCATCTACGACACCCTCATCGAGAAGACGGAGACGCAGGAGATTATCGCCATTCTCGCCCACGAGCTCGGCCACTGGAAGCTGGGGCACACGACGCGCCTGTTTGGCATCTCCCAGGTATGTCCCCTCCCTATCCGCCTTCTCTCATCTCCCCCTTCGTTGCCCCTGGTCTCCTGTGCTTGGAAACGGGCAAGAACTGTCAGAAACACTAACGCGCCTTCGCCGCAGGTCCACCTCCTGTACATCTTCAGCCTCTTCTCCATCTTCATCAACAACGCCTCCCTCTACGCCTCCTTCGGCTTCACCGACGTCCGCCCCATCGTCATCGGCTTCCTGCTCTTCTCCGACGCCCTCTCCCCCATGGACTCGGTCATCAAGCTGCTCCTCAACATCCTCTCGCGCCGCTTCGAGTTCGAGGCCGACGACTTCGCCAAGCGCCTCGGCTTCCGCGCCGAGCTCGCCACCTCCCTCATCAAGATCCACGCACAGAACCTCAGCACCATGGACGCCGACTGGGTCTACGCCAGCTACCACTTCTCACACCCCCACCTCTCGGAGCGCCTCAAGGCCCTCGACTGGAAGCCCAGCGGCGAGGCCCTGACTTCTGCCGAGAAGGACAAGGATCAGGATGGTGGCGCGGTCAAGGCGACGGGGCGCGAGGAGCTGTGAGGGTCCGGCGCGGTAGTTTAGAGGCGAGTAAGAGTTGGATCCGGGTTGGCATGCGATGGTAGATGTGCTTGCCAAACCGGTAGTGTAGAAGACTGGAAAGTGTGCGGCTAGCGACCATTGCCATGAGACGAGGCCAGCCCACGCCATGTAAACTTAGATGCCACGAGAAAGAAGGAAAAAATAGCACAGAGCAGATGATCGCTTCTCTCACACACAGTCTTGCCAGAATCCCTCTAAGGGAAAAGTTCTATTGCCGAGCGCAGCCGCTACAAGGCCGACATCTACAGTCCCACACCGTCTGTGCTCATTCCATGATTGCCCATTTTCCGTCTACTCTACCTCAGTCCTCCTCCGAATCGTCCTCGTCATCGTCGTCATCGTCCTCAGAGCCCTCCTCATCATCTTCATCGTCCTCATCGTCCTCCTCCTCGTCATCGTCCTCGCCCGCCTCCAGGCCGTAGTCGTCGTGGAAGTGGCTCAGCTCCCGCGTCTGCACCGCGTAGCCCATGCCCTTGAAGGCCGTCTCCATGTTCTTAACCCATCGTTAGCTCAGCATTGACACATTATTCCGGGAGGGTCAGGGGTGACGATGATATCTGGGGAAAAGAGAAAAGGGGGAAGAAGGTCGGTGGAAGGGCGGCACGAACCTCTGCCATCAACTTGGCGCACGTGACAACCACGTTGCTCTTCCCGGGCTCAAAGCACGGCAGGATAAACTCCTTCATGATGCCCCTAATCTCGTCGGCCGTCACGGCGCGGACCTGCCGCAGGATCTCCTTGTTCCACTCCTTGGGCAGGCCGCGCACGACGCCCTGCACAAAGTTCTGCTGCGCGGCCGAGGGCATCGTTGACTGCTCGTCGGCGAAGAGGACGACGATCTGGCTCATGGTGCCCTCGAGCAGGTGGCGGTCGATCTCGACCTCGCCGTCGGCGATCTTGCGGATGGCGTCGCGCGAGGCCGTGATGGCCTTGTATGCGTCCGGGGAGCGGTACACGCGGTACGACAGGATGCCCGAGTCGACGTTGCGAGAGAAGTACGACCCGTAGGCGTAGCCCGCGCCGCGGACGGCGTTCCAGAGAGGGCCCTCCACGGCCTCGAGGTATCCAATCGCCACGAGGAGCGGGGGGAAGCGCGGGTCGGAGAGCGACGTGATACTGGGCGCGGAGCTCACCGAGTACGAGCTGTCGAGGGTGGTCATGGGGATGATGATGGCGCCGACCGAGCCGGGTTTGCGCCCCTCGTCGTTGAGCAAGCTTTCGGCCTTGGGAATCGGCACCATGTCCTCTTGCGGTGCCAAGGTGCTGCTGAGAATGTCCCACGTCGTGATGGGATCCGTCAGGTTCTTCAGGTTCGCGGTGACGAGGAATCGCATGTTCTGGAACGTGAAGAGCGATTTCCTGATGGTGTTGAACCAGGAAACGACCTTTTCAGGGTCGCTCTTGAGGAGCTTCTTGAGGCGCTTGAGATAGACGGCGCGGACCAGCACGCGCTTGGCGACGGTCAGGGTCGATTTCTCAAGGTGGATGGCCGCGTCTACTTCGCTGGCCATGCCGCGCCCGTCACGCTTCCCCTCGGGGATGTCAGCCAGGGCCTTGGTCACGGCAGCCTTGAGCCTCTGGGGGTCGAAGACCGAGTCGAACATCATGGTGCGGAGCCAGTTCACAGCCGCCGCGTACTTATCGGGCTCGACCTGGAACTGGATCATGAAGCCCTCGGGGTCCGCGAGGGTGCGCGCCGAGCCAATGCCGTAGCCGATGCTGTCTCGCTCCAGCTCCATGACGACTTGCTCAAAGTTGACGAGTTCGCCGTCCCGCATGATATGAGTGTTGAAGAAGTTGTCGCTGAAGATGGGCATCAGGGGTTTCAACTCAACGGGGACCTCGGCGGTGCCAATGTGGATTGTGATGTGCACAAAGTTGGTCGGGACATCCTCGAATTGGATGAATAGAGGCAACTTGCCCTCGGGAGATCCGTCGATCAACGCTTGAGCCTGCCCTTTGCCGAATCCCACGGCTCGTCCACGGCCAGAGCGGGCGGTGTCGGACTCGATGAAGTGAATGGACTCGGTCCCAGGGACCGTCCAACGGTCAATCACCTCGGCGGGAATCGGCACATCGTTGTTCGTCTTGGCCTCTTCAAGTCGCTTGGCCAGCTTCTGCAGACCGTCTTCGCCAAGCTCTTCTTTGCGCTTCGTGATGCGAGCTTCCTCGTCAGCCTTCATCTTGGTGGCCATCTCCAGGGAAGGCTTTCCCAGAATGGAAATGTGGTGAGCATCCACCATCCACGTCCGCAGGAAGTTGCGCCATTCCTCGTCTGTCCACTTCTCCAAGGCGTCGTACTCGCTCAGGGTCTCGAGGTCGCGGAGAGTCGAGCCATCCCGGTTGCCAAATAGGTAGTCGGTGATGATGTTGGTAGCATAGAACGACTCGGAAGTCTCAGCGTGGAACTTGACCTGGCGCTTTTCCCTCCGAATACACTCCTTCATGTAGCCCATATCGAGGGGGTTCGAAGCAACCTCGTTCAGGAGCTGGAACAGGCGCTTCTCGACGAACTCGAGCTTCTCCGTCGCCACGCCAGTGGGCTGGAGCCAAATGACGGAGTTGGGTCTGGACTCCCACCAATGGCTGACGGAGCTGGCGAGCTCCTCCTTTTCAACGAGGACATTCTCGAGGATGGAGACGGAAGATCCGCAGAGGTATGTCAGCAAGACATTGAGGGCCGAGGTCGCGATAAGGTCGATACAGTTGGGCCCGAAGAATCCCACCAGGATCTCGCCAACAGACTCATCCTCTTCTGGGAACTCTGCCGTCGTGATGATGGATTCCTTGAGGGCGGGGGGCTGGGCTGAGTCGATCCATGGGCTGAGTGGGGGTTATTAGGACATGAACCTTGTAGCGATGGGGCACGATCGGCTGTGTAACCATACCGTTGAAACTTGGCCTCGAGCGACGGGATGTCGTCCTTGATGCTCTCTTCGAACTCGTTCAGAATCTCGAGCAGATTCTCGTGATCAGTCTCTCCAACAATGACGAGGCAGAGGTTTCGCGGCTGGTACATGTCGCGGTGGAACTGGCGAATGCGCTCGGGGGAGAGAACGCGGAGAGCCTCGGTCATGCCGCCTGTTTCGTAGCGGAAACCGACGTTCTCGGGGTACATCAACCTACGAGCCTTGAGATCCATGATCTCCGGGCTGCGGAACTGGACGGCTTGCATCTCCGAGTAGACGACGCCCGCATCGTTGCCCTCGCCGTCAATATGCCACACCTCGGTGACGATGGCATCGTCGGTAATGACTGGCAGGATAATGTGCTCCAGGTAGACGGGAAGGACCTGGGCGAAGCCGTCCCAGCCGGCCGTCTCGAGGGTGTAGGCCGTGTGGTCGGTGGCGGTCCAGGCATTGGTGCCAGAGTATGCGCGAGACGACAGCTTGTCCAGCAGGCCCTTGTAGCGGTAGCTCTTGGACCCCATAAAAATGAGATGCTCGAGGGTGTGGGGGGCACCCGAGTCGTCGAAAATCTCCGTGGCGAGGGTGAAGTAGCCATTGATCTTGGGGCCCTGACGGTCGGCGACCACGACCTGCATGCCGCTCCGGTCTGAGACATACTGGGTGATTGTGCAGGGCGCATAGTCCGTCTTGAAGGTCTGGACCTTGCGGAAGCCCGTTTGGGATGCTGACGGCATGTTGGGCACTGGAGCGCCTGCGAGCACCGACTGTAACCTGACTCTGAGCATGGGTCAGCGGGTGAGGTCACGGGTGCTTGACAGGCTTGCTTGAGGGCAGAGCATGAGACAGGGATGTGACGTGAGATTTTTGCGATTTGTGAGACTCGGGCTCTTGGAGGACAGGGCCCTGGGCTGGGCTTCACTGGGGTCTGAGATGGTCCAGGGGAGGGAATGGAAGAGGCAACAAGGGGGGGGCCCTCGAAGAGCGGCAAGCTGAAGAGCCATTTCCACTGACTTTATTAACCTTGAAGAGTGAACGCCGTCGTGTACGATGGTCCAGCCTGGCCAGTAGAGATTGACGAAGATTCCAAGCACGAAAGCCAGACAGGGAACGACAAGAAGGGCGGCGATATGTGGCCGAGACCACATCCAAGCCCGGAGCGGAGGATTGAGATGCCGGCAGAGAGCGAGACCTTGGGCACGAACGGACACTCGTCCGGTGCCGAGGAGCGTGATGCCGAGATGGCGGGACCAGAAGAGATGGAATGGAATGGACGGGGGTGAGGGCTGGAGGGGGGGGAATCGGCCGAGGGGCAACAGACGTCAAACGAGGGGCATTCGATTCTTTCTCTGGCGGGGCTGGCCTGGGTGTTAGCACGTACCAGAGCAAGTGGCGAGGGTCCCGGCCTGTTGGAAGGAGGCGTCTGGCGACGGCGGCAGAGGGAAGTAGAGCGTCCCACGGGCGTCGGTCGAGGGCAGCCCGGCAAGTCGAAGCGTCGAAGCTGGGATGTGAAGTGAGGTGCTGGATGTGATGTGATGTGATGCGACGTCCGGGGGCGGGTTTGCTGCACTCGCAGGCGGGTGTTGGTGTTGGGTGGGTTTTGGGACGCCTTAAAGTGGGTTCCAGCTTCTTTTTGGCGGCTGCTACCCCGCTATGCCCGGGCCCTTGGTTCCAGGTAGGTAAGGTAGATTCCAGGTTCGCTTGGAGGGAGTCGCAGCGCCCGAGGTGGACACTGGACAGGGCACTCACCGCGCAAAAGATGGACGGGTTATGGCGGGGTGATGACTGATGACATGAACGCAACAGGCCGCGTCTCCTCCCCCTCGTCCTCCAACACACTTATACGTCGTCCCTGATATAACAAGGCGGCCCCGGCCACAGACACTGCTAGTCGCGTGTCCACTGGCTGCGTTAGAACCTGCACGCGTCAGTTGAGGCGGCCATAGCTTGGTGGCTTTTCGACGCTGGCCTCCAACCAGCCATCGCATCGCCTCACGCCAGCACAGCTGATCCAGGCCGACTCTCAGGCGCATGTCAGCACAGGCACAGCATGGTGGGTGTGCTGGCGGCCCAGGGACAGACAATGGCGACGGTCTGTCAATCCTTCTCCTCAGTGCACAGCATATCGAGTGCCAAGATGCCCCTCCATGTCTGCCCCGTAGCCGTTGATGGTGGGCGGCCAGTGGCTGTCGAAGGGGGCGTTACGCGCTCCGACCGCGCCGCTGGCTTGCTGGTCATGTCCTGCATCATGTCCGTCTATGTAGCCACGCCTACACTAGCACATCTTCAATCTCCCCATTTTGTCCAACACGGCTGGCCCAACCCGAGGTTGCTGTCAGTTCTCCGCATGTTCTGGGCATGTGCCATGTTGTCGCCCGCCACGTCGCCCTACCCTACACACAGCTGTCGCTTTCGGGGCTCCGAATTTGGCACGGGCGCCCAAGACACCCGGACTGCAGGTGGTCTGCCGCTAGCGCCTGATGTGTCTGGCTTGTGCCTGGGGCAGCCACCACCACCACCACCGATGACCTCAACTGCCACCCGGCTTCCATCAAAAAAGTGGACAGCTTGAAGCCACCAGCATCCTATCCTGTCAACGCGCCAGCCAGCAGCTATCGTCGACTCCCGCTGCAACACGGCCACGCACGCCGTCTACCGACAACGCACCCACGTCCAACAACCATTGCACATGCATCACCTGCGATGCGCCCTTGCCACGGACACAGCTGCTCTTCTCGCCTGTGAATGACACCGTGGCTCCCTAAGCCAGGTCCCCCTCGTCCGACCCGACGTCCGTTGTTGACGCGAACCGCCACGACGCACTGCGACTCGGATCACCGCCTGCACCATGGCGACGGCTGCGCAACCGCAGCGGCTCAGCGACGCCATTCTCGGCTTCGCCCTCGACGGCAAGTTCCCCGACGACATTGCTGAGCTGCCGCCCGTCTCCGACACCGACCTGCAGCCCGCCATCGACTCCCTCGCCCGAACCACGACGGAGCTCGAGGTACGCCTCCCAACAGCCTGGCCGACAATGCAAGTCGCTCACAGTCATAGACCGAGATACACACGATCAATGAAGAAACCAAAGACGACGTTAGCTCGTGGGTCAGAAACGCCAAGACTCTGCAGGAGGACATCATCCGCTCCAAGGCCATTGCCAACGACATTGTCCGCCAATCCGAAGCCCCTGATGTCTCCGGTGAAGCCATAGCAGACGCCGAGTCAAAAGCCGAGTTCCTCAATCGCGAGGTGCAATACACGCAACAGCTCTCGGGTGTCCTCCACAAGATTCGCCGCGTCAACCAGCTCTTGAGCGACGTGGAGACGGCCAGGGACGAGCACCGCATCCTCGACTCCTTGCGCCTCTTGGAGCGTATGGCGCCCTGATGCCCTCTGCTGCGCTGCCCTTCCCTTGCTAACGCGGTGCAGAATCTTGGGCCGCGCTGGACGATGTCAGTGTGAGCAAATCGTGTCGCATCATACGCCTCCTCGACGTGCACGCTTTCGAGCTCAAGTCCGATGTCCACGAGGTGTTCGATAATGTCTGGAAAGCACTCGTCCGTGTCGACGTTGACACCGGAACGGTCGCCATCTATGACAAGCTTGAAGGTACCCACGGCTCTCGGATGGTGTCGGTTGATCTCTGCTGACCTAGCCAGGGGATCCCATGACTCTCTCCGAAGCAGTCATCGGCTTGAAGGCCTACAAAGAGGTAGACGAGCGGATGGAGCAGCTCTGGCGCAACATAGATGCCGCTCTGGTGACACCGCGCATGAACACCGCAAGCGCCAGCCTGCCCGCCATCAAAGCAGGTCCGGACGAGCTGCAGCTGGAAGGGCAAGCAAATGGCTCCATTGACGCCCTCCTGTCGGACCTCGAAAAAGTCTTCATCTTGCTAGCGCACAAACTGCCCTCCGATCTGCTCCAGTCCCTGTCGTCGGTTATGATTGGCGAAATTGTACCGCGACTCATCCAGAACTGGCTCAACCCTTCCGTGCCTACGTCTCTGGCAGATATGGGCACCTTCCAAACCATGGTTCACCGCACGACAGCCTTTTGCAATGTTCTGCGCCAAAACGGATACACCGGCTTTGAGAAGCTGTCGGGCTGGGCGGACAAGGCTCATATGACGTGGCTTGAAAAACGTCGAGAAACTGCCCTTGATATGGTCCGGAAGAGGCTTACCAGCGGAATTGGCCAGTCCAAGCAAGTCGAAAAGGTGGAGAAGCACATGGTCTCCGTGTCGGAGGGTAAAGAGCTCGCGACGACCGGCGCCGGCGCGGCAGCCGATACCAACGAGTGGGGAGATGACTGGGGCGACGCGTGGGGTGACGATGGCGACGCGGAAGGAGTTGACACAGCACGGGCTAAGCCTGAGAGCGAACCTCCCAAGGGTGCTGAGGACGATGGCACGGATGCCTGGGGTTGGGATGAGGAGGGGAGCGCCGGAGACCCAGCGCAGCCAGCAGAGGCGGACGAAGACGACAGCGCCGCAGCCTGGGGCTGGGGTGATGAGGAAACCGCCCCTGAACCGTCTGTCGCCCAAACCAAGGCCAGGGGTACGGCCGGCAAGGGTGTCCGTAAGGAGGAAACGAGGGAGCTTGTGTTGAAGGAGACATACAACATCTCCTCGATGCCCGAGCCGGTCTTGGAGCTCATCTATGCCATCCTCGAAGATGGTGCGGCTCTTACAAAGAACAGCGACGAGTACAGTCTGGTCGCATCGACCGCCCCGGGGCTGTTTGGCCTGCCGACTTTTGCCCTTGCACTGTTCAGGGCCATCTCACCACACTACTACTCTTTAGGTGTCGGCGGCAACATGTGAGTTTCCACTCAGTGCTGAAGGTGACGACGCTGACAGATTCAGGTTCTTGTACAATGATGCCATGTACATTGCCGAGAGACTCTCTGAGTTCTCGGCTAATTGGAAAGAACGCGAGGATCTGACCCCGAGGGCGAAGACGATGCTGCGACTTGACAATGACATAAAGACCCTGCAGAGCTTTGCGAATCGAAGCTACGGCGCCGAGATGAACCTCCAGAAGACGGTTCTTCAGGACCTTCTCGGCGGCTCTCAGAGTCTGCTACAACAGGACGACATGGAGGCGGCCGTGGAGGCTGGCACTGCCCGCATCAGGACCATGGCCGCGACCTGGGAGCCGATCCTTGCTCGCTCGGTCTGGTCCCAAGCCATCGGCTCTCTTGCTGATGCCTTGGGGACGCGGTTGATCACCGATGTTCTCGATATGTCTTCCATTGGGCAAGAGGAAGCATACAACATTGCCAAGCTTATTGCATCGGCAACCGAGCTGGACGACTTATTCCTGCCCAGCAAACTGGGGGGGACGGCGCCCTCCGAGGACGAAGTCCCGGCGACGGCGCAATACGCCCCGAACTGGCTACGGCTCAAGTACCTGAGCGAGGTGCTCCAGAGCAACCTCAACGAGGTCAAGTTCCTCTGGTGCGACAGCGAGCTAAGCCTCTACTTTACGGTGGACGAGGTGGTTGATTTGATCAACGCCAGTTTTGAAGACAACGCCCGGACGAGGGAGACTATTCGAGAGATTCAGAGAAAACAAAGGCCAATGAATGCAGCCCGCGAGGGTTGAGGAGTGTTGGAACGGATTGGGCTATAGTGTACCGGGACTCTATCGCTGGACCCCCTGGTGCCTTTCTCACGTCCGAGGCCGAGCCTCGGGGCCGGTACAATGGAACCCGGCATATGGAACGACAGACTATTGCCGGCGACGCGACCCGGGGACGGCATTGCATACGCCACACAATACAACATCACTGACTAGCGGAGCCTTTTGCGCGAGTCCCCTGTACAGGGTCAGGGGACACTATAGACTGATAATGGCACGTTCCTGAGCCGATGGGCTACTCTATCGCCTCGTCTGAGCGCTGATTTCCCGAGTCGCAATCAATTTTCTGTCACCAGATGCAGGGCGAGCTGTGGATCGATCATACACCAGGTCTTTGTGCTACAATGGCAGTTGTGCAACCGCCGAGGCAGCGGCCAGATTACTATCAGGCTGCTTGTCCCTACATTATACAAGGTCGTGCGTCTGACCTCGATGCCAAGACTCGGCAAGATCCTGCGTCTATTGCACCACCTGCATCTATGCATACATGCGTACGGCTTACTGGGTGATGCGACTTTTAGGTCGGTGGTCTGGCGATGCGTCGCACGACAGAAGGACTGGCTCGCGTAGTCAATCCAGGGATGACGGATGTGAGCTACGACAAGACGACTCTACGGAGGGCGATGGCGGGAGGCGTGGGCGCAACGACAGGCGATCTGTGAGACGCACGCACGCATGCTGCGACGCCGGCACAGACGAGATGCATCGCGTGACTGCGGTGGCACCCCTCGTCGCGGGCTTTGGCTACGCAGGCTGGGACCGCGCCGGTCAGGATTCAATCGATACAGGACGCCACGGGGCCGCGGAGCGCGTGTCAATTCGTGCTCGGTTGCGATTGACAAACGGAATCGCTGGCACGGCGGGGGGCGCGAGCAATGATTGCCCCATGCCGGCGATAGATCGCCCGCATCGAGCACATCACGGGGCCCTTTCTGTCTTCAGCGCCGGCAGCCAACGCATCTGCGAGCGTCCAGGTTTCCGATCCGAGAGGGGAAGGGCCTCGATACCGACATGGGGGACATGGCGATGGTGAGCTGCAGGTTCGCCAGCCTCACTCTGGCCTCTGCCGGTGACTGGCCGACCAGGGAACCGGCAACAGAGACGACACGGTCAGCGCTACACCTGCAGCAGCCTGTCTTGGACAGCGACGTTCAACGGCGGCCCGTATGACAATTCGTCTCGCTTACGGCGGACTCTTGGCTGTTGCTCAGCTCGTTATTGGCAATTGGCGCAGCAATTGATAGGCATGCGCCGGTCCTGGTGTCGCTCAGAGACTGGACGACGGTCGCACCGCAGGACAGGGCCGAGGCCCCTCCTCGGCACTTGCGCGGCGGAAGCCTAACTGCGGGCCGGTCCTTGGGATGTGAGACCTCGTGCAGGCATCACGCTGACGTCGCCGAGCTCCAAGCTGGAGCCACGTCAGTGGGGCTAGCGGACAGAGGCGACGGGCGTTGATCCCCAGGCCAGGCCAGGTGAGGCGCCGCAGCGACCGGTGAGGAGAAGTCGCGCCTTGGGGTGGCCCAACCAGACCACCTGAGGAGCATGTCCGTGGCCGAGGAGGGGAAAAGCAAAGGCAACAGGCGCGCCCCGGGCCGTGTCAGACCACCCAGCCGGAGGCGTTCACGGGTGGACCTCGCAGCCATGTGTCGGAGAGCTGCAAGGCGCCCAAAACGGCTTGTATTTGTGCGCCGCCTCGGGAGGGGCGTGCTGGAGGCTTGCCATTGAGGGCTGCCGATGTCGCTGGATTTGCTTTTGGGGCTGGGCGTTCCTGGCCGTCGAGAGCAGTCCACGGACGTCGCCTTCGCCTCTCGGGCCGGAGCAGGCGCTCTGTCTTACACCGGACTGCTTCGTATCCTACCTCGGCAAGAAGTAGGTGTTGGCTCTCGCCGCCACCTGGGGACATGGCTCTGACTACTGTTTCAGCGGACAAAATAACCCCGTACAACCTCGGCCAAGCTGGCCAACGCCAACCGGGCGACCAGGCACGCCCAAAGGGCACCACCCGCAGGAAGCAGCTCTGGAGTGGTCGCGCGAAGTTCTCCACCTGTCGATGGGAGCAGCGAGAGCCAGCGCGGTGGTGGTGGCCCGTCCCGACGCCAAAGTGACGAGTCAGTCTGCAGCTCAGCACGTGGGGGGTAGCTGATGAGGGGTGCCCGCCGACGGGCAATGGCCGAGCGACCAGAGCAGTCGGAGGAGCACAGCAGCCCATATCCGCGGGCGAGGACGAAGTCGGCTCTGCGAACTCTACCGCGCCCTGCTGCTGCGGAGTGGACGGAACTTGGCGTGTCAATCGAGGACTCGGCGGCGGTCTCACGCCCGCCGCCACTGGAGGAGCTGCGCCGTCGCGATCCTGGCGGAACGCGTCATGGACGGACGCTCCAGTCCATGGAAACGACAAGGTCCTGGGCTGTCGCGTGGGGCGAGGGGGGTCGATATGCTGCAGGCATTGCCCGGCGCTCTTTGGACGGACGAGAGGCAGCCTCCGCTGGCTGCCTGGTTGGCGTGGGCTGACTGAGTGATGAGTCCCTGCGACTGTTTCGCTTCTGGCTGCTGTGCCCAAGCGGCGCGGGCTGCATTTCGCTCGCTGCGCTGCGATGCGATGCGCTGCACGTCAGCGAGTCACGCAACAACGACAGGCAGGCAGGCAAACAGACAGACAAGCCAGAGGCTGAGAAGGGCAGCACTTCCAGGGTTCCATTCCTCGTCCCGGGACTGTGGTCCAGAACTGGGGGACCAGGGCAGGGGGGAGGGAGAGGGGCGCGCCGCAATGCGAGGAGGGGTCTGTCCGCCTGCCTGCCTGGCCGCCGCAGCGCACCGCAGCGTGCAGCAGGCCGCGCAAAGCAACAGGACACGAGTGTCCGCTCGAGACAGGGCAAGCCAGGGCAGCCCAGGGCGTGTGCTTTGGCTCCGACTGAGGCTGTCCCAATTGCAGGACAGAAGGCAGAGTGTAGTGCAGTGCAATACATGCATTTCTCCGCTGCGTTGCCTGACCTGTCGAAGTCGCCTTGCAGGCCGGCCAGTCTGACGGTCTGACGGTCTGTCTGACCGACCTGCTGCCTACCTATCAATCAATCGGCAAATCAGCCAGCCAGCCAGCCAGCCAATGTATGCATTTTTGTTTTGTCGCCGGCGGTAGGTGGGCTGTGTGTGACGAGCTATGTCTGTTGCTTACTGAACACACGCATGGCATTGAACATGGAAATGCGATGGCGCGCACATGCACGTCTAGTGTACTTACACATTACCCGTGTATGTGCTGTGCAGTTTTACCTACCTCGGGTACAGTACTGTACAAGACAGTGCTGTACTGTAGTACTGTACTGTAGTAGGTAGATACAGTGAATGAAGCAAAGGATAAGAGTAAGAGTGCACTGCAGTCAACACATACCCATGTAGTGTACTCCTGCATATTGGCCGACTTATTTATTGGGTCAGTCACGTAAGTACCTGGTCATTTTATCTAGGTACGTCCGAAAAGTCATACTATGTCGTTGTGCTTCACTGTGTCTCTACTGTACATGCAGTACCTACTGGGTTGAAATAAACTGAACTGGACAGTACAGTACAGTACTGTACGGTACGGTACGGTAAGGTACGGTTACATACCTACGGTCTGGTCTGCGCGTATTTGTAGAGATAGAGAGAGAGAGAGAGACAGAGAGACAGAGTGAGAGTACAGTACAGTACAGTAAGAAAGAAGCATAACATGTCTGTCTCCTCGCCTCGCCTCGCCTCGCTCAGAGGGTACGGTACTGTACCGTTCCGAAAGGACGTCGCGCACACACGCACGCACACACGCACGCACGCACGATATCCCTGCCATTAAAATGCGATGCGAAGCTGAGCTGAGCGCCCAGCTGAATTCCTTCCTTCCTTCCCTTTGGCAGACATGCATGCATGACTGGCACGCATACATGCAAGCGTTTGCTTTTTTTTTCTTTGCCGCGGCTGCCCAATCTGCATGCCATCTCCATGTCCATATCCCCAGACCCTGACTGACTGTGTGGTATCCGACACAGTACGTACGCCTTGGACATGACGGTATATTATTACAGTGCTGGTGAGTCATACAGCATGGATTGCAATGCCGCCCAATGCCTGGACAGAGATAGAGATATGCACTCGTTGGCTTCCTCCACGCGCAAGATACCCTACACGTCTGGCGCCCTGTTGGTCGCCCGGTGCCGGGCTTGGGGGCGTGTAGCTCAAACCCGACGGGCCTTCGACGATACAACTAGAATACGCGGATACAGGCCAGGGAAATGAAATAGACGATGGGTATAGATGCTGGGCAAGGACCAACGAGGCTCATCAGGGTTGTTGCTTGGCATGCAAGCCGTGGCGTTACCGGCGGCAAGCTGCCGAACATGTGCGTTGAGTAGAGGGCCGTGTCGACTTACACGCCTTTTCACTCTAGCGGGCGCCCTGCACTCCCGCCCTGTCAAAGCGCAGCCTGCGGTCAGAGAAAAGCAAAACCGGCTCGGCACTGACCGATGATGCGGCAGTTGGGAGAAGCACCTGGACCGAGATTCCTCGTGCGGCGGAAGGCATGCATGCATCACATTGACGGCATCGGAACCGAGCCGGCAGCATATGACCGCCTCATTTCGCGCCGTCCGACACTCCGTCGGGGTTGCAACAGTCATCCATGTCTTTTCCCGCTCTGTAGTCGTAATTTGGCCGCGCTACGTCGTGATCGGGCCACAATGGGGAGGGGACATGCAAGCGGGAATATACGTGCGCAGACAACTTTGCTTGTCCATGAGGCAACGGGAACGAGAAAATATGCATGCTTCTGGGAGAAAAGAAAAACGTTAGAAATAGATTCGACGAGATGAAGAGGGGGGCCAGGCGAAGCAGAGCCCAACATTGACTTTCTCGTGCGAGACGTCGCCAAGCATGCACGGGCGGTCCTTGCGTGGCGCGGCTCGAAACAGGCACTTCATATCGCAGGCTCGTCTGAGAATGAGACGATTTCGCGGTCTGTTCGCCATGTCCTTTTCGCGCAGAGCTCTCAACTTAGAACAGGCGACGAGTCAGGCAGAAAAGAACCCAAGAAAAACTCGACGAAGGTTTGTGTCGGCAGAGTCGCGGTCAGTCCACAGCCTCTCGGAATTGCCGTGTTTTGAGCATAGCAGAGGCAGACGACTGCTCAGAGCCGCTCCTGTGCACACCTCGCAATCTCGAGTAGAGGGAGATGCAGACCCATACTGGTGTTTGAGGATAGCCAACGCTGCCGTGAGGCCTTCACCCGATACGCTCGACACGGTGGCGTGGTCGCGGCGTATGACTTTCAGCATGCCAGAGGCGCATCACAGGCGAGGCCAAGCTCGACTCCGTCACAACGTCTAGGGGCCCGTGACGAGAGTTGCGCAACGTCTTGGCCGGCCAAGAGAGTCTCGTGTAGCATACACACCCGACGCGTGGTTACAGCGCAGGTTGCCCGTCCAGAGCGATTAACACAGACGCCTTCGCTTAGCCGCCTCTCGACCGAAATCAGAGGGCTACCGTTGACGGGCAGTGCCGCATTAGGATGGCTCACACCCACCAGAATTGAACATGGCACGCCTATTCCTTCGCGTCACACAGCATGGCCCCATCTCTTCTTCCTGGCTATGCGTAGAACCACGAGGTCCCGGCGTTGCTGCGGCCAGAAGCAGAAGCTGAAATGCCTGTCTCGCAGCATGTGATGAGTCGCCATGCTCAAGACTCAAGAGTGTCGCATGCTACTGTCGCAGGGCATTGGAGACTATGCTTCGAAGCATGTTGCCGAGCTACCGCACCAACATGGGTTCTGACAACCGCCCGAGATGCAGATGCACCTCGAATGGGGCCAGCACCGTTGCGTATGCCCAGACATGCCCATCCGCGCTTGACGAGAAGGAGTAGTATCAAGACATAAGCGGGATCGCCCGGCGCTGCCATTGCAGAACTGACACAGACCTATGCGAATGTCCGCAAGAAGCCGCGACTTTGTGATCAGACCAAGACAGCATGGTGGCGAGCTGATGAGCTAATTGGCCAAATCACGCTCGAATAGAGTCGTGGGCGGCGCCTGACGGTCTCGCAATCGCACAACTGAAGAGACATGCTGGCTTGCGTGCACCGAGGCATTGGCGGATGCGCGGTAAAGCCTCGTAGAATACGCTGACCGACTTTATCGGTCTTGCACGCAGGGGCTGCAGTGTTCGGCGCCGGTGTCTCTTGGCAACCTCGTATTCCCGTTTTCAGTCCCTCGATAACTCCGCGTACTTTTGAGAGGGTAGTACTGGACCCTAGTCCGCGGCTCCTCACTTCGCGAGGTGGCCGACAGAGCGAAGCCAGTACAGATACCAGTGCCGCAGCAAGTGACCATAGCTGAGTCGTTGGCTGGCCTCGGCATCGCGCGAACGTCTGGCAGGGTCGGATGGCCTTCTGATGACGACTCTATGACGATACCAAGCACGCCGCAGCGCGGGGAGGCTGCCACGACAACGATGGACGCCCTCGTGTCCCCTTGCAGGTGCTGTGTGTGCTGTTGACATACAGAAATGGCGTTTGCAGGACGCGGGGGCCGGAGCGACGGAGCCAGTCGAGGCAGGCTGCGCCTTGTCGCAGTCGCCCTCTGCATGGTGCAGGTGTGAGTGAGGTCGAGCTTCAGTGGACGCAGAGCTGTGCTCTATCGCAATCGCTGCTGACGCCCGTCATCCTGCTGCTGCTGATGCCGTTGCAGCAGTGTTCCTCGTCATCAAACCGCCCCCCGCCCCCTTCGTCCGTCCATCCATCTGCTGCCACGCATCCCAGCACCGTATCCACGTGAGAGCCTGACGCGGGGTCGCCCAGGGCCGTGGTTGGCCAGGTTGCACCATGCTCAAGTAAAACGCGATCCAGCCAAGACGGCCCAGGCAGTGATTCCCAGTGCTGGGATGGGGCCGGTGACTGTCGTAAACGTGCTGGCCTTCTAGAAGGATTCCCGTTCACGCAACCCCTGGGTGGACGCTCTGGAGCTGGGCCTGTGTCTGCGTCTTCTGGCCATCGGTCGCGGGTGGGTGCGTCCTGGCCCGCTCTTTGAACCCTGTAAACTCGTCCGCGCTGGTCGGCACACGGCGCTTGTAGCAATTCAAATTTGGAGGACCGCGTTAACGGTAACAAGGCCATGCCGGGCAAACGGGCGGATACTTGATCAGCACCAGGCGATTTTGCTCGGCAGGTCGAGGGCCCAACACCCTCTTGAGAGGCAATATGTTTTGAAACGTTAGTAGCCTTCAAGCTTTCCAGGGATCGGACTTGTAGAATCACAGTCAGCAGATTGGTGCCAACCAGCCAACGCAGTCCCATGTTGACGATGAGTGTGCAGGACAAAAGCAGGTGCCCGACGGGGCAGCGCAGGATCTAACGAACACTGCCAGACGTGTCAGTGCCTCCCGTCCAGGCCGTCGCGCCGCCGAGGCACGTCCGGCCCTTCCGCCAACCACCATGCATCAGGTAGTATGTGCGACCCTGTGGTGTCTCTGCGTCTGCCCTGCGTCTTGGCAACGCCGCTCCCGCGCCGCAACAATGGCCAGTCGTGGTAGCAAGGACACGCGACTCGAAGGCACGAATCTTCTCAAGAGCCATCCCCCTTTCCTGAATTGGGGAGGTCGATCATCCGCTGCGAGAACAACCCATGCTGAAACGCATGCATCGACTGACATGCGAGTCATCGGCGCGTCTCGCTAGCCTTGTGTCGCATCCCCCGACATTCCGCATTCTCGGGTCTCGAGGATGAGGCCTTGCCGCTCATCATGTTCGCCCTGGTCCTCGTCGGGGGGCCAGCGAGCACGGCGTCGCAGATTCCAGGCACACCTTGGTCCTCGGGCTGATCAAACACCATCTGCTGACAGGTGCTTCGCGCTGCCGGGGTGCCTTGTCCATGGATATCCAAGACCAAACACTCGGGTTCGGGTGGCTGGCACGCCCAGGTTGAGCTGCGCCAGCCTGGCGGTCGACCGAGATTCGCACCTTCACCGGCAGGCCGAGGACCGACAGTTCCCCGAACGTCGATTTGCGCCTCATTCTTGGCACGCTCTTTTCGAGACCAGTCGAGCCGACACGGTGGTGGTGCATGGTGTCATGGCCAGCCGGACACAACTCCGGCGCAATAGACGTCCCTGGGGGCTGCAGCTGCGGACCGCACACCCATTGTGAGCTTGCCAGCTCACGTCGATGAGATATTTCGAGGCCGGCGGAGTCAGGCCCCGACCAACCAACCCGTGCGAACGTGCGCCGCACACGTACATGCGTACCTGTTGAACCTTGGATTGAAGAGGGAGCTACGTATTTTTCCGGCAGTAGTGGCATCATGTGCGTGCAGCGGCCACGCGATAGAGAGCGCCCGCGGCCCCGGGATTGTTGCTGTTTTGGGGAAGTCGGCGATGCCCAACGACTGACGTTCTCAAGGCAGCACGGTTTCAAGTCGCCTTCCTGACAGCGAGGTGATCTGTGCCGATTATCGTGCCACGCACGCCCCCAGAGATTTGATGCGATCGCATCAGGGTCATGTAAGCCCACTTGCTGCAATTCGCTGCAATAAATAGAAGCCGGGTGTGGCTCGGCACGGGACGCAAAGGCCATAACTCTGCAACCTTGGGGTCCAGCTGACTCGAGGAAAGGCCTAAAGAGTCCTATATATGCGGTAAGCTCGATCCTTTGGTTTGAGCCTTGACTGCGGAGCTGGGCGTGCACCCCGTCACGGGAAGCAGGGCCGTCTACACTTCCGAGTGCTGGACCTTGTCGCCTATGCAGGGACCAAGCAAGGCCCAACAGATTTGGTCCTGAGTCGGTGACGAGAAAATGCTCTATACTTGATGCGCCAGAAATGCGTATTACGGGATGTCGTAGCCAAGCCTGTTTGACGCCTCATCGACAGTGCTTATTCGCGCCATGGAGGTCTTGCCATTCATGTTGTTGGCAGACCCTAGTCTGCACCGTGCCGCGAGGCGGCACCGACGCACTCATGACGCGCGTTGCTGGGCATGACATCCTGGGCACTGTTGCTGGGAGGGCGGCCCATGTGGTGCGAAAGGATTTGGCGTCCAGCGACAATCTCAGCAAGCCGAGGATGACAGGTGTCAGGAGATGAAACCCGGCCTTTCACCGACGTCCAGGGCGTGCCTCGACACAGCAAACAGGCGTCTTCCAAGTTTACGGGCTGGTACTCCATGAAGACAGCCGATTCCGTCTTGGGCTGAGTAAGAAGAGGTGGGCATCCTTCTGGCTGCACAACCATTCAAGCATGCCAAATGGTCGTGTTGGGGAACAACGGCGCACCCGGACCACGACAGACGCAGCGCGCGCAACCGGGCCCAAATGCCATCCGGAAATACCTGAGCCTACGTCAGAGCGGGTCGAGCGTCAGTCGTGGGCGACCTGGCGAGCATGGGACCGGGGCAAGGGCCGGCCCATGCTTCGTACCTCCCGTGGATCCGGGTGATGCTGCGATGCTGCAACAGGCCGGCGGTGGGCTGCCAGTGGCCTCATCTGCTCCTTTTCCCAAGTGCTCCAGAATGGGTACCAAACCTGCGCTGCGAGTGCGTGTGCCCTGCGACACCTCTTCATTGTCACAACAAGGGCTCCTGCTGGTTCAGCGTTTCCTCGACCCCTGGCGGCGAGTCAGCGAGTCGTCAGGAAGGGAACCATTCGAGAAAGCGCCCAGGAGTCGGGACGTCAGCTTGTCTCAGAGCCCTGGCGCTGGCGCAGTCCGTCCAATGTGCTGGCGGCATCCCATGTATGGATTGGCAAAACCCCTCTCCCCCCCTGGTCCCGGCCCGTGTGCTCTACCAGGGCTGGCTGCACATCGGCCAGCGACGATGGCGTCTCCCGATTGGGCACGGCCGGGGCAAGGACGTCATCGCACTTGTCGGCGCTCCAGCAAATGGGTTCGTCCGGGGGGGGGCTCGCGGTGCCCAAGCGTGGCCCAGCTCGCCGGTTCCAGCCATCTGGACAGCGACTTGGCGTTGGCCCTGCGGCAAGGTTGGGGGGAGGGAGTGTGACGCCAGGTGCGCCAAAACCGAGACATTGCTGGCGGTCGAGGGGCAGCACAGGCGGCTCTGCTTGGCCTCACGCCACATCTGCGGCTTTGTGCGTCTTCAACTTTCGCAGGCTGATGCGCACTGCTGCGCTGATGGCAGCAACCAGCCCAACATGCAGTCTGCCCAATGATGGATGCCTTGTGACTTGTTCCCTGTGCGCCGCCGATGCGCGCAGCCAGTCGAGCCGCAGATCGAGTGGTCCTGGACGGCTGCTGCAAGATGGACGTCGTCTATCGAGCTCGTCCACGTGAGGATCTCCGTGTCGAAAAGTCGGTGAAGTTGTCCTCGTCCCGTTGTCGCTTGCAAGAGCCGTGGATTGGAACATGCATCAGCGACACCGCTGTGTCGTTGGGGCCGGCGTCACCGAATTGGACAAGACCCCGCCGGCGAATGTCGACGCGGCCCAGCCCAGAACGCTCAAGCACGAGGGCTCTGCTTGCGTGGTCCGTCTGGGGGTGGTGATGATGCTGACGACACCATGTGGAGTAGGGCTCCAACGTGCCATTGACGTCGTTGGAGAGCCCCCGGCGATTTCTTTCTCTGGCCAGACGCAAGAGGACAGGCGCAAAGGCGAACAGGTGTTCTATTTCGGACCCTGGGCGAAACCGGGGGGCAGGGCCTCGCTGCGCCTTGTCGGTCGGATCCTGCAGCATCGGGCATGCGGACTTTGGTGGGGGGTGGAGCGAGGCGCGGCGGTGCCTTGGGGATCTTTGGGGTCTCGGGTGCTCTGCGCAGTGCTGCGCAGTGCAGTGCAGCGAAATGGAGTCGGGCAACCAAGGTCGGGATGGTTGAACAGCATGCTGCCCCCCCGTGGAGGATTGACCCGCCGCCGTAGGGCTTCGCGCAGCGCAGCGCAGCAGCAGCTTCGGTTGGCCGTCATGGGACCTGACAAGGCTGCAGATGCGGGCGTTGCAACGTGAGCGCCGCGCAGCGTGGTGGCATGGCATGGCCTGGCACGGCATGCGCGCGTCCCGTCCCCAAGTGCAAAGTCTGAGCGAGCCACGGCGAATTGGCGCGGAGCGGCTTGCGCTCGCGTGAGGTGTGTCTTTGTGACGGATGCGGATGCGGCAGAGGCAGTGCCAATCAACGAATTCGCCGCGGAACAAGACGCTTGAGAGCAATCTGTGTCTGCATCACGGGCAGCTTGCACGAGCTGCATCGCTGCGACGGAACGGGGCAGTCCAATGCTGCAAGGTAAGGTACATTCTACTCTGGGCAACCTGAGGCAGGACACCTATCCACTGCCCGACATCACGGGGGGAAGCAGCAGCCGACCTTGGTGGTGACAAGGCAGGAGCGGAACCGAACAAACAAGAAACAAAGTCGAGGCAGCTGCCCCAAGCTTTGCACCCGTTGCCAGCAGCTCTACCCAGGCGACTAAACTGACTGTAGAGCTTGCATAGGTGTCCGTGCCACAATAAAAGTGGCCGGAGGCACGGAGCCCGTTTTGCTACGCTTGCGGCGCTCGCTACTGGCAATCAGCACGGCCAGCCACTGGCGGCGGGCTGGCTTAAGGTCTTGTACAAGCCTTTGCTCGACCTGGGCTCCCGTGCTCAGTGCCCATGTTCTGAAACTCAGTGTAAGGTACTCAGTGAAGAATAGCGGTGTCGACCCCAGAGCGACTTGCGCTTCTGCCTGGCCATCCTGCGTCGTGCCTCTCCTGCCTCCTGCCTGCTCTCCCCGGAGGCATTGGGTCGTGACAATGGAAGCGCCCGACGATTTGGACAGCGAGCATGGGCATGGGCGCAAGTGCTGCATCCAGAGCGCCCGCGTGCCAAGCTGCAGCGTTCCGCTGTCTCCTTGCGCCGCCGCCGCCGCCGCTTGCTGCTTCCCCTGCGCTACTTGCACTCCTGGCCGGGCTCTATCGCCACCCCCGTCGGGCCCAGACTACCGGAAACTCAAAAGCATGGCCAGTGCTCAAGCCGCCTTGGAGATGAGACTTTCGGGCACGCATATTTTTCTGGTGATGCCGTGATGGCCGGCGCCGAGACAGCAGACTGTGGCTGCTTTGTGGGGGAGCCGCTGTCATGATCTCATCACTGCTCGCTCCGGGACTTCCAGATCTCAGACAAATGCTGCAGTCCGCGGGAAAAAGCAAACCTGGCCGGGGCGGCGACGGAATCCAGGGCCCGGCACCCCTCCCCCCAAGCCCCCAAGCACCAAGAGGAAACCCCCGACACCAGCGGCTCTGCGCCCGCGGCACCCTCTTTACGCGAACTAGTCGCGCACGTCGCATTCTTCTTCCCCGCGTTTCCTGGGTGTCGAGGACGGAGCGCCCAGGTTCCCCAGGTGCTGGTGGAATGTGCCGGGCGCCGACGCCTCCCCCCAGAAACCAGCAACGGCCCAGCACTTTGTAGCCGGCGCTCGACGGCTACTGGCAGATGTCATTGTTCAGCATGGCGCTCGAGTTGGCGTTGAACCACCAAGGTTTGCCAATGACGACTCCTGTCCGTCAACCATGCCAGGTCGAATCACGCGAGTGGCTTGCGGTCTTGGGCTCCCCCGCACTCCGCAAGCGACGAACAAGAAGCAATCGGGGAGGCATCGAGTGGGCGGTGCCGTTTCGTGGCCCTGTCCTGCCACTGCGAGACGAGGCGAGGCGAGGCGGAGGGCCGTTGCGCAAGGTTGCCGCTAACCCAGACGCCTCGCCAGCGGGAGCTGCTGTCAAGCAGGTTGAGATGCGCTGCACCTGGGTGGAGGCTGATATTCATGGATGTTGTGCTCCATATCCATGGATGGGTTGGACAGCAGCGGCCAGTCTCGAGGTTAGCCGACATTGACCGGTTTTGCCGATCCCGTCTCGCGCCATTGTGCCCAGAGACATCTGCGTCTGTTGTCATGTTGCTCTCCTCGTGACACGTCACGTCTCGACAGGCTCGAAGCCGTGTCTTTCGCTCGGCAGCTGAAGCTCCCAGGGCGGGTGAGTCAAGGGGCAAAGGGAGGGGGTGGCCGGCGCATCCTGTACTGGCAGACTAACAGTGAAGAAATCAGGGCCGTTGCGCGATCGGTCCATTCACAAGTCATAACAATAAGCTCCAACGCAGACCGCTTCGACGGCCACATTACAGAACGCCAGGGCGGTCGCGCCATTCCGTGCGGCGCGCGATGAGGGAGACGCCGAGCTAGACTAGGTCGGCCTCTCGCCTCACGTCCTGGGCGATCAAGCATGCCGCTCTGCCTGGGCGCCGAGAGCCAGTTGCCACCACAACCACCACTAGGCGGGCGGGTGGTGAGGTGAGGTGTGCTCTTGATTGCGGCGCATGCTTGGAAATTGCCCAAACTGAGGCATGCCCGCGCGTTGCGACAGTGCACAAAGGTGCCCGCCCACGGGTTGCTCGACATGCCCGCCCACCAAATGAAACAAGACGGCGCCCCGGGCAAGGGGAAGGGGCCAAACCCGTACGAAATACGCTGGCGCCAAGGCCCAACAGCAGCCGAAAGCCCGCCTTGGTATTCAACCGTGGGCCTTGGCAAACGGAGGACGGAAATGGGGTACGCTCAGATGCCCGAAACGGTTTCCCAGAGGGGGCAGCGCCGGGCGGCTGTTGGTCAACGGCGTGTACGGAGGGTGTGGTGCGTGTGAGACTCTGGTGTGTCGCTGCACCGTGGCAGCCGAGTCGCTCAATTGCAGCCCCCGAGGGTTCCAGTTGTCCGCAGCGACACCCAACGTCTGTCGCTGAGTTGCGCGGCATAGGCCCCCAACTGAGCCACGTTTTGCAGGTCCGCCACATGATTTTCCTGCGCGGCAGAACGGACGACACGGGCAGGGCGCAGCGCGTCTGACGGCTCCCAGGTCCAGGGTGCCACGATCCAAGGCCGCTGGGAGCTGCAAAGAGATTCGCGCCAGCGTTGTATCGAACAGGGACGGGCTTGCTCGGCGGCGGCCTTCAGGGAGGGACGGACGTTGCCACCCGCCTGGCCAAAGGACATGTCAACACCATCAGAGCAGCCCCAAGCCATGAGCCTTGACCGCCGGCTCCCATCCAGGGCCTCGTATCGCTACGGCTGCAACAGCGTCGCATGGCCTCCCGTCTGATAATGAGAGCGGTTTCTGAGGGCAGCCTCTATTGGCGCTTCCGTCGTCGGCAGCTTGCCAGGTCCGCGGCGGTGTCCGTCATCTGTGCGCAATGGTCATGCGGCCTCGGAGCTGCAGGCCTTGAATCATCCACCACCACCCTTGCCGTGGGCTGACGGCATGCCGCGTTCGAGTGCAGCGCAGCGCAGCGCAGTGCCATGCCTTCCCTGCCATGCCATGCCATGCCGTGCCATGCGCTGGGTGGTTGGATGGGCACTGCCCAGCTGCGACCCCTGGTTGACGCAATGTTTCGTGCGCGAGGCCTTCGCTTCCGTTTGGCTCGGACTTGACTTCCAAGGGCCCTTTTGCGGGCGAATCTGGGCTCTCGTTGCACGACCGGTCAGGCCAGGACGGGGCCGAGGCCAGTTGGCTCTTGTGCACACGGAGAACGGTGTGCCTTGACGCAGTCTGTCGTGCCTTGCCTAGCAGGTTGCGTGGCCGGGGCTTTTGGTTGCTACACGCACGTCAGGGCAGGGGGAGAAATGGATTCGAAATGGAAGACTCGAAGAACAGTGCCTGCCATCCAATGGCGCCGGGGATCGAATCCTGGTTTGTGGGGTGGGGGAGGGCAGGCACATGGCAGGACGATGGTAGGGCAATGGCAGGTCGGCGGGCTGCCAGATGGAACCCTCGACCGGCTGTGCCTGCTGTGCCTGCTGTGCACGTTGGCCCGCCGTGCCCGCTGTGCCATCTGCTGCGCTTCGCCGTGTCCCTCCGGGCCGATATCCATCCTCAATGCGGACTCAAGTCGCGAGTGCAATGTCCCAGTCGGCAGGGTCCTGGAGCGAAGACTGCGGCGAGGCAAGGCAAGGTGAGGCAGGTATTACGCACCGCAAACCTTGCTGCCCTGCAAAGTACCCGTACAGCCTCACGGCAAACGTCAGCCCAAGTCCACGACGGACCCGAAGCTTCCGCCGACGTGGGGTACGCGCGCATCGCTTGCCCCTGCCAACCCTTCGAGTCCACTGGCAGGCTCTCACCGAGGCTGACGACGTCTCAGGACGAATTTAGACGTGCCCGTCGCCGACAATTTTTCGTTTTACAGAAATGTGATTTTGATTGTTATTATGATTAGGGCTCGCGTAGTCGGGCATTCCTTCCCTACGTGCTGCTGTCGGCTCCCCTTTCCCCTCTTTTCGAGAGGCACCACCAATGTCGAGCGTCGAGCAAGTGCGACGCGACGTCTTTCCTCGAGTCTTGGTTCTTTCGCCTCCCCCTGACCGATCGCTAGGCACACACCCCACTCTCACTGCGACCCAATGGCAGCGCCCAAGCTGCCAAGCACCTCACGGATGGCCCTACGAGTGCGTGCTGGACCATGTCACTTCACTGGTGTGTGCCAGCCTTCCCCAGTGTCCCTCCCACCTCCCCAGAGATGCAGCCCTGACTGCGTTTGCTGCCTTGCTTTTGAAGCTCTGCCCTGCTCTCAATGGCCTCGCAACCCTCTATCTAAGCTTGCGCCCGTTCGGCCGCACGACCACGAAGCAGTCGATCAGCAGGTGCAGGCCGTTCCCATCCGAAAGCTTGCTCGCCCGAGCTCGGGCGCACGACACGTCCCTTGGCCCCGGCGACTGGCGCGCGAGGTGCTTGCTGTGTGCTCCACAAGGCAAGATACCCGTCTCCCGCCCGCCTAAGCAGCGTGTGGCAGCGACGCCTGGCGGGGTTCAACTCAATGGCCGTCGGGGTCGCGGCTCGTGGGTGCTCTCCATAGGGCGGCGAACCGGTTTTGTCTCCTTCCTGGCAAAATCCGAAAGGGAGTTGAACCGCCCCGTGGCCCGGGCCCGGCCACGCACGCGAAGGCAAGCAGGTAGAGGCTTGGCGGACTGGAAGCGGGCAAGCACAGCAGCGTCCCGGTGATGACGGGCAGCGTCATGCTTGCTGTACAAAGTCCCGTGCTGTGCATCATGACAGGGACGCCTTTTGCTGCACCACAGCCGGGAGTGGGCAGGCAAATACAGGCCCCCGTCTGTTAAAAGCGACTCCCCGACACGGGAGAGTGAGGCTCTCTGTTTGGAGTGCAGGTGGGCTTGTTGGTACTTGCCCTTGCGAGGGCGCTGCCAACAACCTGCCGGCACTCGTCCCCGAACGTGGACGCGCCTGGTGGGGTGCCCATCACTCGCAGGTACTTTGCAAGGTACCCTCCCACGTTGCTCTGGCACGAGCAGTACTAGGTAAGGTACGTCACCGCCAGAGATTACAGTACCCTTGGCTTCCGCCGTGCCTCCTTTCGTTGGGCTGGCCAGGTCCGCTGCCAATGTACCTGACGTAGTGGTGCAGCTTGGGCGCCGTCAGCCCATACCTTACCTGTCCCGAGGCAGCCTGCACGATGGAAGGCAGGGCCACCCGCAATCAGTGCCTGGCATGGTATGGCATGGCTTGGGTATCACGTCTTGCACGTCGTCCATGGGCTGGCATGACCTCGTCCGGAGAGGGGGGCCGATCGTTGCAAATCCCATCTCCCCGGGGGTCGCTCGTCGTCGTCGTTTGGGCCCCTTGCGTGCGAAAGCTGCGTGGGTGCCTTTTGTGCGATGCCATCCATGCAATGAATGGGCTGCCCCCGTGGTGCCTCGGTGCGTCGAGCCATTCGCGGTCTCTCGTGTCTTGACCGCCTACTCGTCAGTGCTGCCCTGCCACGCTCTGCCCCCGCCTCGCCTTGCCCTGTTGTGCAACGACTGGATATGGACGGCTGTGGTCCCTGGGCGGATGGACGACGGATGGATGGATGGATGGATGGATGGATAGGGAGCCCTTGGCCTCACTTCGTCACCCTGCCTGCCGCCCTGGCACGTCACTCCACGCCTGGGCCCCCGACCTTCTGTTTGGTCTGCTCGGGGCTGTTGTCGATGTGCCTGCCAGATGCCAGCGCCAAAGGTCATGCCACGTCCTGTCAATGCGCGACCGTGTTCTGATCCCTCGCTCAGGCGCTGATTGTCCAGGGGCGTCGGCGGGCGCTCATCTTCATCAGCTTCGAGGAAGGCCCCCCCCCGTCGTCTGCTGGCCAGACCCCGTCCTCGCTTCTCCCGGTCATCCGCTCTGCCGGCGCCGCTGCAGGATCCCAGGATCCCAGAATCCCAGACCCCCGACCGACACGAGTCCGTGTGGCCTGGAGGAAGGGGAAGAAACGACGACTAACTTAGTAGCCCGACCAGCCCTGGCCTGCCCTGTCGGCGCTAGCAATTCGTATCAGAACGAAGCGGCGTGGAAGCGCAACGACATTCCACCAGCGCGCGTCACCTCCTCGAATATACGAGTCGCCTCGCCCTCAGCGGCAAGGGCGCACCCTGGCCGGCGGCCATGCCATGCCATGCCTGGCTCGCGGCTCTCTCTTGCGTCTTTTTGCATGTCTCTGGTCTCCAGCACAATCTCCCCCAGAGCTGCCTGGCGCGGCGGGCCCAGCCCCCAGTGAAAGTCCGATAATAAGACACGGAGTGACGGAGCGCACGCCCCTCCCTTCCCTTGCCTTGCCTTCCCTGCCGCCCAGGTGATGGGTGCCAGGACAGCCCATCGCCTGTCCCCTTTTTCTGTCCCGTCATCCTGGGCCGGCGGGCGTGCGTGGGTGCGCGCTGCGGGACAGAAAAAAAAAATCCCAGCAGCACAGGCGGGCGGCCGCGGTGCCAACCACACCTCAGAGAGCTAAGCTGCTAGTTATGGGGACCTTGGCAGGGAGGGAGGTCCATGTACCTTGGGCTAGCTGTCCGGCGTGCTGGTGAGGTGGTGCTGGGCGTTGCTACTCCCCACACCCACCCGCGCCGCCGTCGCCGCCGCCGCCGGGCTGCGCTGTGCTGCGCTGTGTTGTGCTGCGCACCCAGCCCAGCAGCAGCCCGGCCCAGCAGCCCAGCAGCCCAGCCCAGCCCAGCCCTCCTCCTCCTCCGCCTCCACCTCTCCCTCTCATCCTCCTCCTCATCCTCCTCCTCCACATCCGCACACACGCACACCTCGCGGTGGATCCGCGCGGGCGTCCAGACATTCCCACACCCCTCCCCCCCGGCCCTCGACCACCGCCTTCAAACCCAAACCTTTCTTTGCGCGCCCGAAAAAACCATACCACCCTGCTGCTACCCACAGCAGCCGCGCCATGGAGTGACTGACGGACGGGCAGCCTGCCTGCCTGCCTGCCAGCCTGACTGACTGCTACTACTACTACTACTACGCCCGGATCCCACACACCCCCGTCCTTTGACTCAACCACCTTTTTCTTCCACCGCCAGAACCTCTTTTTCCATAATAAACACCAGCGCCGTCCGCCAGCAAACGACAACACGTTGCTCTGGCCCGCATCGACCTGGACTTGTTCTCCCGTTGACCGGCTTCCCGCGACGCTGCATCGACGTGCGCCCCGACATCACATCCGTCCCTCGCGCAACGGCCCTTTGTCCAGCCCGCCCTGCAGTCTGACTAAGAGGCCCATCTGCCGGCACCGCAAGAGGCGCTTCTGGTGCAAGGAGCTGCTGCACCTCTGACGACAGACGACGTCCTGCTCGCTGCGGCTCTGCGGTGGACGCGCAAAACACCAGCCACTGCGTCTTTCCTCGACCTGGCAAATTCAATTCGATTCGACTCTGGGCCGCTTGTTGCAGCGAGCGAGCCCTTATCTGCGAACAGCTCCTCCCTTCGGCAGCAACGGCATCCTGCGCCAGGACCACCGATTCGCAGCCGCTGTGCAGGGCTCGCCAATTGCGCGCGTCCCATCACCGAGTGCGCTGCGCCCACGACTCGCCTCTGCCCTGTCTGTTGCCCCGGACCCTCTCCTCCTGGCTCTCGCGGAAAACCGCTAGCCGACGGGCGTTGCCCACGGGACACAGACTCGTCGCATCTCACCCGCGCCCGGCCTAGCCTGCGTCCCTGTCCTCTGCGACTTCCTGGCTGAAGCGCAACAACGAGGCCTCTCGGCCTGCATCGTACGCATACCCCAAAGCAGCGACTTGCATACGATACCACCACCACAACCTGCTGCCACCTCACCACTCCCACCCGCAACATTGGGCCTCGCTCGAACCTGACAGAGACGGCGAGATCTGCCCCTAGCTCCCGTTCCCGCTTCCGGCACCACCACAACGCCGTCCACCACTCCTGGACCTTGGCCAGGGTCGATTGTCTGTCGCGAACTGCGGAGCCTGCTGCTGGACGGTTGGCGCTGCTCGTGCACAGCACACGAAACCCGCTGCCGCAGCCTGCTGCCCTCGTCGTGACGGCCCCATTGGCAAGTCGCCTCGCAAGACACGCATCGCCAGCAGCTCCAATACGACCCCTGACTCTGCTGGCCAGGTGAACAGCCACCACGCCGCGGATCTGCTATTTCTGACCTCTTCCCCGCATTCTGTTCCTGCCCCGGCCCGTCCCAACATGCATGCCGGAGCATACCTGGGCTTATAAATGTCGACTCTGCCTTCATAGGCGCGCACCTGGCTCGCTTGCTGTGTGTCTCGTGCTCCTCTGGCACGACCATGTCGAGCGACCTGGACTCTAACCCAATGACTTCAACACAACCCGTGGACCCTACAAGGTCCTCATCGCTTTCTGCCCAGCTTCGGCGCGCTCGTCCGAGCCACGTCCAGACAAACCTGCCACCGTCACAACAACACCAACAACACCAATCGCACCATCCTCACCATCAACCGTCCGCTTCCGCGGCTCCCGTGTCCGCCATTAGCTCCTCATCCGTGGCCTCGAGCTCACGCCACGGCTCGCCCATCATGTCTCCGGAGACGGCGGTCTTGACGAGGAACTCGTCAATACAGGCGTCCCCGGAGCCCATCCGGCCCAAGGACGAGGACCAATTCCCTTCAAGCTTTCAGCTCCCCGACTCCATTTTATCACGAAAACCCAGTGCCAACTCGCTCGGCCACAGTTGGTTCAGCAGCACTACTAGCCCCATTGCGGAGGCTGCATACAACAACAGTAGCACCATCAACCCCGTACCAAGCAATGGACCTTCGGCGACCTCCGCCAATGCCGCTCCCGGTAAGGGCAACATCATCCGACGCCTGTCTAGCCGAGCATCGAGGAGCATCACTAGCAGGAGGCGCCAGTCATCTGCCGCCCCTGCGAGCCGCGATGGAAGTGTAGGCCCGTGCTTTCTCAGGCGTCGAAGCGACAGCAACACCACGGCCCCACCAGAATACGCCGCCGCCCTGTCCACGGACTCGGAGTCAGACCTGGATGAGCGCGATGACTTCGCGTCAATCAGGTCCTTGTATCTCGATGGCGTGCCGCGGGGCTCTTCGGCCAACAGCACCACGGGATCCATCCCGGGGAGCTCCAATAACATGGCCGGCCCCGTCATTCCCCTGCAACTTCAGCGCGGGACTTGGTTGAGGAAAATTTCCAAGAAGAATCGCTCCAAGCGAATTCGCCTCGTCTACGAGCCCGAGACAAACAGGCTCACGTGGGATCGGGCGCGACCGAACAAGTTTCTCCATGTAGATGAAATTCGGGAAATTCGCACCGGCTCCGATATCCAGCAGTATGGCCGCGACTTCAACATCCCCGAGTCCGAGCGGTCCACGTGGTTCTCCATCCTCTACTCTATTCCCGAAAAGTCCAAGACCAAGTTCCTCCATCTCATTGCAGACGACGTCGAAACATGCTCGACCTGGACTATCTTCTTGGACGCCATGCTCAAGCACCGACAGGAGGCCATGACGTCCCTCATGTCCTTCAATGACCGAGCCATTGCGCAGTACTGGCAGAGTGAGATGACGAGGCAATTTGGCGATCAGCCGCGAGGCGATGCGCAGGAGGAGATGGACATTGCGGGAGTCATGCAAGTGTGCCAGAACCTGCATATCTACAGCTCGCAGTCCACTCTGCAAGCCAACTTCCGCCTCTGCGATGCCAGGCGCCGCGAGCGGCTCAACTTTTCAGAGTTCCTCAACTTTGTCAGGCTCATGAGGCAGCGGTCAGATATCCAGTGCATCATTCGCAGCATCGCAGCTAAGCCGCAGGCCGGACTGACCTTGCCCGAGTTCCTCTCCTTCCTTCGCGACGTGCAGGGTGAGGATGTCGACTCGAACACGGCCATGTGGGAGAGGAACTTCAACAAGTTTGTTCGCAAGCACAGGGCTGGTGATGTAGACGGCTTTGACGTGGACAACGCCGCCAACAACATCATGTCCGAGGCGGCATTTGTCGGCTTCCTGTCTTCTCAGCACAATGGACCGCTGGCCGATGAGCCCCAAGAATACACCCTCGACCGACCCATGAACGAATATTTCATCTCAAGCTCCCACAACACATATCTGATCGGCCGCCAGGTCGCTGGCCAGTCGAGCGTTGAGGGATACATCGCTGCCCTCGCCCGAGGCTGCCGCTGCGTCGAGGTGGACTGCTGGGACGGCTCCGATGGCCAACCCCAAGTCGTCCACGGCCGCACGCTCACCACGGCCATCAGTTTCCAGGAGGTCATGACGACCATTAACAAGTACGCCTTTGTCAAGTCGAGCTTCCCCCTGTGGATTTCCCTCGAGGTGCACTGCAGCCCCATGCAGCAGGCCTTGATGGTGGGCATTATGAAGGAAGCGTTCGGCGCGCGCCTCGTCACGGAGCCCCTTGATCCGACATCGGACAAGTTGCCGTCGCCGTCCGAGCTTATGGAGCGGATCCTCATCAAGGTTAAGAAGCCTGGTGGCAACCACGACAGCTCTGTCGCCGATGTCACCGGCAGGCGCCGAGGCAGCAGCCTGAGTTCTCCCCTCTCTAGGCCCACCGTTCCTGACACGAGCGCCTTTACGCCGTCTCAGTCGCTTCCACAGAGCCCGCTCCTCGCTGCCAGCAACCAAGCTCGCCGCTTGGTGAGCAAGAGCCGCGTCAACACCATCACCGAGGGTGAGGTGCACGAGCTCATGAGCAGCAGCACGAGCGACAACGAAAGCGGCAGTGAGGTTAGCTCCATCGGGAGGTCGGCAAACAAGACGACCAAGGTGCTGGGTGCCTTGGGTGTGTACTGCGCCGGCGTCAAGTACTTTGGGTTCGACAGCCCGGCTGCCAAGGCGTTCAACCACATCTTCTCCTTCATGGAGACGAGCTTTGCCAAGCACTCTCGCACCAAGGAGGCAAAGATGGCCTTGGACATTCACAACATGCGATACATGATGCGAGTGTATCCTGACGGCCGGAGGTTCGCATCAAGCAACTTTGATCCGCTCATCTACTGGCGCCGCGGCGTGCAAATGGCTGCCCTGAACTGGCAGACGTTCGACCTGGGCACCCAGCTCAACCACGCCATGTTCGAGGGCGGCAGGGACGAGTCAGGCTATGTCTTGAAGCCACCTGAGCTGCGCGACATCCAAGTGCGGCCTTACAATTCCGCCATTGCCGAGGGCAAGAAGGAGCGGTCCGTGGTGTCGTTCAGCATTGATGTCATTTCGGCTCAGCAGCTCATGCGACCGGCCAACCTGGCGGCGGCCAAGTCCATGGACCCATACGTCGAGGTCGAGGTCTTCCACGCCAACGACAAGCGCGACAAGAAGGAGGCGGGCTCGAACATGTCGTACGAAGGCGATTCGCCGCTTCAGTTCCAGACCGAGGTGATTCGGGAGAATGGCTTCAACCCGAAGTTCTCGGGCGGACAGTTCAAGTTCCAGGTGACGACCAAGCACCCTGACCTCATCTTTGTGCGATGGTCCGTCAAGCTGGCCAGCTACGGCGAGAGCTACAACAGCAAGGAGGGGGCCGCCATCGCCACATACACGGCCAAGCTGAAGAACTTGAAGCAGGGCTACCGAACCCTGCCTCTACTTAACCATGCCGGCGACCAGTACCTGTTCTCGACGCTGTTCTGCAAGATCCAGGTCGACCCCATCGAGACGAGGCTCTTTGACGCTCCCTTTCCGATTCAGGATGTGAGCAAGTTCAACCGTCTCGGAGGCAAGGTCTTTGGCCGCTCAAACGGAACTGTCAGCCCACGCAGCACGTTTGAGAAGAGCGGCGCGGAAAAGAGCAGCATGGAGAAGAGCAGCTTTGACAGCTGCCCATGATGCCCGCGTCCGTCACTTGCCGGGCATCTATGCAAGGCACCAGTGGACTTCTTTGTTCACGCAAAGCGGTGCCGTGGAAAACCCGCACTGCACCCAGTCCCACGATCGACCATGATCCTGGCGCGCACCAGAGCGGTGGGACTGGCGGGTACGCTCTCGTTTTCTTTCTTGAGATTTTGGGCCGGCTCGCCATCGTCCGTGTACGACCAATTTTTTTGTCGGTTTGCAAGCAACCCTTTTTTTCACTTCTCATTTTACTCTTCTACCACCAGCCTTCGGGATTTTGCAAGAATTGGCCTTTTTTTTTATTATTCCCTTTGTCTAAAGCTGGCGCACGAAAATAGGACGGAAAATACCCCCCACGCAGGCGGAGTGCTATACAGAGTTGGTTGATTGTGTTGTTAAGGTGGTTTCGGGCTTTGCACAGTGGCGGGGGTTGCATATACCATGATTGTTTTTCTACAGGGCATGGGAAGCATAGCACTCGAACAAGGGCAAGATAGACAAGGAACAGGCATGGGCAGTCATGTTTTCTCTCCACTTTTTTCTCCTTTTCTATTTTGCCGTGTCTCTCGGGGCGCGTCTACCCGGAGATGCACGAGGCTGCTGAGGAGAGGTTGCATGGGATCCTATGGCGTTGAGCTATTGATGCATTTGCGTTGGAAAGGGAGGTGCCGAGGGCGGCGTTGTAACATGTGCTCTTTTTGTTGACAAAAGACGTTGTTTACCCAGTGGCTCGCGCTGCATGACTCTTGGCTTTGTAGCCTATGATGTACGGAGGGGGTAGGGATGGAGACGATTTGGGCTCTGCTCTGGGAGGCGTGGACGGGGAAGATCCCTACATAGCTGAGAATACCAGCGCATCTACCAAGTACACACCTGGGAGCGAAGTGATCTGCCGTGATTGACGCGTGCCGGTGATGAGGGCACGAGGGCTGGAATTGGATATGACGTCGATGTGGGTTTTTTGCGACGATCTGGGGTCTGGGGTGAGTGTCGGTCATGACGATGTGCTTCAGATCCATCAATGAGTGAGAGGGCGATGGGGTTACCGCTTTGGGAAGGGAGGGAGGGAGGGAGGTGTAGAGGGAGGGTGCGTGCGTGCGTGCGTGCGTGCTCGGACCCTTGATGTTCGAAGGTGAGGCGAATGGGTGAGTCGATTGTGGCGGGTGGAGGTGGCATGTGAAGGAGAAACATGGCGGGGAAGGAGAGAGATGTCGAACTGTTTTGGGTCATGTCGGTTGGCATTGCGGTGTATCATGCATGAATCATGATGTAAGTACATAACTGGTTGGGCGTGTTTGGGTTTGTGTCGTTTTGTGTCGTTTGATGTTGTTTTGTTTGGACTGGCATTGTTTCGTTTGGTTTCGTTTCATTTGTTACGGATGAGCGGGCTGCTCTTGGGCTTCTCTTTCGCTCTGCCTTCTTGTCAACGTTCCTTTTGTGCGATGAGTCGTGATGGATGAAACGACACCAAACAAAATGCCAGCGCCAGCGGCCGCGTGAGGCGTGCGGCTTTGCAATCATGTGGCTTCGGCGCGCATCATCCGCCATCTCATGGAATAGTATTTACATATTACTACGTACTGCGACATGCACGTTGTATGCACCCCAGATTCTGGGGCAGCGCGTGGCAGCCACGGCGCGCGATGGTACGCTGTCGACGTACAAAGTACAAAGCGCGAGCCGCCGTGGCGCCTCCCCATGCGGGCCAAGCAAGCCGCAAGGAACATGCCTGCTTGCTCGGCCGGGTCTTCACCCTGCTGTCTACGTAGTACTCACGCCATGTAAAATGGAAACGTGGGCTGGCCTACGCCGTGTTGCGCCCTTTCACTTATCGCACACCATGCGCCATCGCAAGAACTTTAGGCGGGGGCGGGCGGGCGGTGATGGGGAGTAGCGCAGGGAGGTGTAGGGATTGACGATGTGAGGGAAGGGAGGGAGGGGGATGAATGGTGGGATGGTGGGATGTCGATCGCTGGGGTTTGAAGCAGAAGCAAGCCAGCCAGCCCGCCGCCGCCGCCGCCCTTTTCCTCCCCGCATGAACCGGTCATAGCGAACACACGCACCAGGGGAGGCAAAGGCAGTGCGGCATGCAAGTTGGTTTCTTGCGCACACGCCCCCCTCCCTCCTTCTCTTCTCCTTCAGCTTGAAGCCTGGAGGCCTGGAGGCCAATGCCCCTGGCGTGCCGCCCGCTGGGAGATGCTGGCTCATGGTGTTGTTTTGTTAGCTGATCTTTTCAATGGCTTCTCTTGTTTCTTGCTGTCGCTCTTCCGCGAGCACCCTTTCGCAGGCCTTCACTCCTTGGCCAGATATAACGCACCGGGAATGCTGGGCTCCTCGTGCCTCTCCTTATCTCGCTCCCTCTTTGTAGAGGTGCTGGTTAGCTACCCCTGAGTACGCCCCCCTCATCCCCTTTCCAATTCTTTTTTATTTCCTTTCTTAATCTTGCCACCCGAGGCGCTGGCCCGGCGCTGTGGTACTGTTTCGATTTGATGGATTGAATCTTTTCCCAGGGGTTTTCTTTCCCCCTGGTCGTGGGGGCCGACCGTTGACTGCATGCATGTGCATGCAGCCTCTTTCCAGGAGGCGGCAGCCCGAGAGCCAGGGGGGCCCTGAAGGGTCCAGATAATGGGAACAAGCTGCCAGATGTGTACGAGTAGTCTGCTGAGGACAACGCTCTACAGGGGCTGCGCGGAGATACAAGGACGAACGTACGTTGTCAAAAGACTGTGGCTGGCCACGGTGTTGGCACACGGCGGGTTTGTTCCGCGACGACGGTTCCTGTCCTGGGCGTTTCATGTTTTCCGCGTGGAGGCGTTTACTAGTTAGCCTTGCCTGGCTGGCTGGCTGGCTGGCTGGCGAGGGGAGGGGCGTGTGGCGACGAAGAAGCGCCGTTCGCCCTCCAAACTTCCAAGGCCTCCAAGCCTCCGTCCCTTGTGCTATCTCGCCAGTTCCGCGTCCCCGGATTTTTGCCGGCCTGGCGTCCAGGGTCCATCTGCTGTGATAGGGGCGCACGGATTGTGCAGCGAGTCGTGATGTACATGACGACCACGACGGCGGCGATCCGCCACCGCGAAACCAAGCCCGCTTGCCAGGCCATCACCCTTTGAATTTTCCAGGCGCGGGCGGGCCTTGCGGGATTCGCGGGGGAGAAAATGCAAGGGCCGCTGGGGAGCGTTGTAGTGGGGGCGGGGAAGTTGAAGGAAGGGAGGGAGGGAGCAGTGAGAGAGGCATGGAGGGCGTGTGTCGAGCCAGGCGGCTAGGCCGGCAGGGCATCTTTTTCCTTTGCTCAATAGAAAAGAAAGTGACCAGTCTCTCTCCTCCTCTTCCTCTTCCAACGCGAGTCCTGTCAGTCCTTTAACCCCGGATATTCGCGGCGCAAAGAGTGCAGTGAGCTCGGCGTGCCGGCACAAAAGAGCTCGAGCTGCTGGTGGCGTACCGGGCGATGGGATGGGGCAGAGCTGGCAGCTTTTTTGGGCCAGAGAGAGAGCTCAAGCTTAGGCGTATCGTGTGTGTGGACCCTGGATTTGACCCGGTATTGCTGAGGGCTGTCGCATGCATGCAGGCACTTACAGAACCGCCTCCTACTACCGACACGCCGCGGAGAAGTGGTTACGTTCTTTACTTGTTGCTTGGACTAGGCTTGCCAGGGACTGTACTGAATGCAGCCAAGATGGCGCCGGGGACGACAAACGGGTAGGGGAAAACAGGGGAGGAGGGGGGGTGGTCGCCATCTATTTACTTGTACGACCGACTGACCTTTAGATGCTGGAGAGCGGAGTTCCGGGTTCCTGGGACCGGATGCCAAGCCAGCTCTCGGCCGACGAGCACGACGACAAGGCCGACGATGCCGGACGAAAGGAAAAGAAGAAGCAGAGGAAGCGCGTACTAACCCCTGGGTATCTATCTATCTGCTTCCCCCGAGGTGCCCGTTCTTGAACACTCCATTGCTTGTCTGCCTGCCTGCTCCGTCGGGGACCCAAGCGAAAACAGCACTGATTGCAGGGACTCTTTCTCGCCCCCATCCCGCCACGGCCCCTTTTCCTTGCTACTTGTTGGCCCCCGGTGGGCGGCAGAGGCAAGCTGGCGGCTCAAGCGGCTTGAGTCAGCCGCGTTGCGGGTGGACAAAGCCGCCGTGGCGGGCGCCTGCGCGGTGCTGGTATTGGTAGTAGTGGTGGTGGTGGCGGGTGTGTGTGCAGCGAGCGAGGGGGGAGCGAGTGAAAGAGAGGCTGCATTTGATGGCTGCGCCGACCTTGGTCCCTGCAGTAGTTAGCACGAGTACCTGCGGCGGTGGCGGCGAATCTGCGAGATTCCGTTGCGGAATATCAAGACGCCTTGCAAGTTACTAGATGGACGCCGTGCATGTAGAGAGGCTTGTCGATGGTCGTTCGCGCGGCCGCCCATTGCTGGAAGATACCTCGTAAGCTGCAGCTACGGTGCTGCTCCAAGCAAGTTATCATCGCGATGGAGTCAAGACATTTGTCAAGTCGGGCATAGAGTATGCAAGTTGACAAGGCAGGTAAGGCAGTAAGCACTGCGACACTGACGACCTGCATCACGTCAAGAAAGCCCAGTCGACCATCCAGGATTGCTTGATTCTCTTCATTTTCCAAGACCGTTACAGCTACCGTACTGAACGCTGCCCGATTCGTCATGCATCCGTTCAGCAGGAAAAAGAAATGCATACATAGAGATACAAGAAAAGAGCATCAACTCCGCAGGCCATGCATGCATTATGCCTCGCCCATCGCCCCTCGAGTGCGCGCAGGCGAGCCGAAAACCACCCCTCCGGGCCTCCTTGAAGATACCTCGTAAACATATGCAGGGCCACAAACAAAACGCTGCCGCCTCCCCGTGTTAGTGTGCGAAAACCAAGGGCCCCAGAGTCCGTCCCTCCGGTCTATACAAACGGCCCCGCTCAGTCGACGCCATCGTCCTGGAACTGCGGGCTCACGGCCCCCGTGCCGCCGGCGCTCTGGGAGCTCCCCTTGCGGAGCATCCCGCTGGCGCCGCCACGGCCCCACCCCCGGCCGTTGGTGACCACGTCCAGCGCCCGCCGTTCGGCCTCATCCCGGCTGCCCGTCCCCGGCGACGGCCCGTTTGCCTCGCCGGCCGCCGCTGCCGCATCGTTCTCGTCGTCCGTGTCCAAGAGATCGTCCTCGAGGTTTCGCCCCTTGGGAGTAAGGCGTTGCATCTGCATCGTCTGCGTGCCGTCCGCGTATAGGTTCGGGTCCCGGCCAAGGACGCGGTCCGCCTTGCTCGGCGGTCTCCAGCCTCCGTGGCTCGCCGGTCCCGCTTGCGCGATGGCGTTGCCGTTGCCAACCGCAGGTGCATACGGGTCGTCATCCGGCGCCCCCCAGCCAGCGCTTATCTCTCTCTGTCTCTGGCGCTCGCGCTCGGCCCTCATCTCTTCGCGAGCCTCGATCCACTTCGGACTCGGCTCCCACGACCACCCATCGCCCGTGGTGTTGCAGATCGGGAAGAACCACAGGGCTGGGACGGGCCCCATGAGGTGCTGCAGGTTGCGCTTCCAGCCCAGGTCAAAGGCGTTGGGGAGCTTCTCCGACTCCTGCTCGTCGAGGTACTCCTCGTATCGCTTTCGGGACTGCTGGCGCTCCAGGTCGTCGTACGACATCTGCACCGGCCGCGACCCGTCCATCTCGAAGGGTCGCTCTTCGCCCTCCTCTGGGCGCGTCACGCCGGGCAGCGCATTCGTGTGAAAGTCGACAAACTGCTGCGCGGCCTGCGGGAGGTGGTTCGCCGGATTGTGCGCGTGGTTGTACGTCTTTCGCAGGGGCGACAGGTACCGCGTCTTCTCGAGGCACTCGATCGTCGTCTGGCCCTTGGCAGCCAGCATAATATGCCACCCGGTGAACGCGCCGACGACGATGCCGATGATGCCGCTGATGACGCTCAGGACGATAAAGTTGACGGGCATGAGGGCGTCCGTGTACCGCGTCTGCTCCTCCACGACCTCGCCCCAGACCCACGTGCCGCTGACGGCAAAGGCGTAGAAGCTGAATATCGTCGTGTATATCAGGAACAGCAGGAACGCCTTGTGGTTGCGCAGCCCGATGCACGTCGCCAGCCACGGGCAGTGGTGGTCCATCTTCAGGACGCACCGCCGGCATGTCGAGCAGTGGTGGGCGCGGTCGGGCTTGCGGGCCTGGCACTTTTTGCAGAAGCGGAGCTGGCCGTTGCTCTTGACGGTGAAGGACGTGGCCGACGGCGTGTGGCCCTGCGTGGTGGGCAGCAGGCCGTAGCCATCGTCGTTTGTCGTCGAGCCGGGGCTGGTGAAGACGGCCGTCGTGTACGACCAGTTGAGCAGGGCGTAGAGGATGAAGCCGACGACGGACGATCCGGTGCCTGCTTTGCCGCCGCGCCTCCGTCAGCTAACCAGACGACCATAACACCCTCCCGGAGGTGTCGGATGATGCAGACGTACCTATCCAGCTGCTGTCGACGCTCACCAGGCCAATGTTGATGACCACCCACACCGCCCACGTCGTCAGTCCGTAGACGAATATCAGCGGTATGTACGTCGCAAACGAGCAGCATGCGCGCTCCAGCTTGCGCGCGCACCGCCGCGACATCGTGTCGGCCCCCTGCCTCGGATGGGCGTCGTCGTCGTGCTCGTCTCGGTCCAATGCGGCGGCTTTGACTGCGTCCCGTGCTTCGATGGATGCATGTGTCTTGCTCGAGTTCGACCCTCTCAGCCCATGGCCCGGGAGGTTGGGGGGGCGGCAGGTCGGCTGCGGAGTTGTTGATGTAGCGGATGATGAGGCGCTCCGGCATGCCACGACTTTGCGGGCGATGGTGTTGAGCTCGCTGTTCTGCGGAGCTTAGGTCATCAGGGGCCACAGCCACTGCTGCGCCGCGCGTAAATGCGTGTCTCACCACCGCCTGAAACTCCGCCGAGTAAAACGGCCTACCCGGTACCAAGGCTGTTAATGAACTGCTCGACGACGAAGATTGTGCAGACTGGACACAGGTAGCCAGTTGCACAACACCTGAATGGCTATAAACGTAGTATGGAAATCACAATTCAATGGCCCCTGCCTCGAATGACTATGCCCACCAACGGCGTCACATCTCCACATTCATGGCGAGGTTTTGCAACCTCACCTGCGTCTTAGACAACAGCCTCTCCAAGGCGAGACATGTGTAGTGCAATGTCTTCCCATCCAGCATCACAACACAATCCGCCAGGAGAACAGCAACTGTGAGCTCGTGCGCCCCGGACTTCCTCTGAATGCGAGGTGCGGAGCTGACAACGGCGGCGTACGCGCTGCCGTTGCACTGAAACGTCACCACCTCTACGTGCCTGGTGGGATACAGCACAACAGCGTTTGCTGCCCGCGTACGTCAACGCATAAACGTACAAGTCCAACAACGTAGGTGTGCTCGTTACCTTTGATGAGTGCTAGAAGTGCACCGGCATTGGTTTGGTTGCTCATCTTGGGTTGGAGTTTTGATCGAGTGGCGAGACGAGCTGGTCGACGACGGCCGCGGGAAGAACAGGAAAAGAGTCAAAGGCGAGTCTCGATTTGTATTAAAGCAACTTCCTTCGTACTGTGTACTGCCCCAGGATCACGGAACCTCGCCAAGCAGGGCAGACGGCTGGCCATGTTCGTCCATCACTACCTCCGCATTGTCAAAGCCTACCAATCACTTGGTGTATCGCATACGTACACCATTCCAACTGCTCCCTGCGTAGTGCTTTGACGAGAATGACGACTGACCGGTTGGCTTTCTCGCTTCCACCGCTTTCGTCAAACTTCTGACAGTCCAAACCAGTGCAGACAAATTCCTCCACGTGGACGTAAAATGGCGCCATGACCCGACGTGCAGGCTCCTGTTGATGCCTGGCGAGGTTCGCTACTCTTTGAAAGCAGCACTGTGTTGGCGCTTTCCCGGTTTGGATGTACTGGCGGATCCAGGGCTCTGGACACCTGGGTTATTGAGGCAGGATCCTCGGTTGACCACGGATTTCGCATTTTCGAAAGGATTTCCCTGGTGGGTGGAGGTATTCGTGCCAAAGGCGCCAGTGGATGGCTTGCCCCCAAAGGTTTGGCCCGACTGCGCCGTCACCTTGTGCTTGTTCTTGCAGGCGTCAAGAAGTTTGTCCACCTCCTTCCGGGTGGCCTCCCACAGCTTCTCCAACACCTGCAACACCGTTTCGTAGGGAGGGTATCCCTCCGTGTCCATGACGGTAGCCATTGGGGCGACAGGATCCCAAACCAATGAGTCAGGGTTTTGGGTACGGACGACAGCGCAGTAGGTCTTGGTACCGTTGGCCGTCCAGATGTTGATATTCTTGTCGGGGAAAAGGACGAGGAGGTTCTCTGTGAAAGCGGTCAGCTGGCTGTAGGAGTGTCGGAGACACGGAAACCCGCCTTCGATTCTGGAACGAAGGTCATCTTCCTCGCTTGTGGTGCTTCCACCGTGTTCAGACATGGCTGGTGTTGAAGTTTTGTATCTCCACGCGTCGTTGCTTTTGCTCTCGATGCTTGCAAACGTCCGTTCGCAACACGCTTTGGGCCGTTGGAGAACTTCCCAGCGCGACGATGAAGAGAAACAGAGGAGAGGAGGAAGGCGGAACTGCAATCGGGCGTGTTCGACTGATTGGAGAGTGGCAGGCTAGCCGCTGGAGAGGGCCTCTCGTTGAAATGGATGAGAAGGGAAAGGAAGAAATATCTAACGCGTACGCGATTTGCTTGGGATGCTTGCAAACGTCCACGCGCGATACGCTTTAGGCCGTTGGTGAGCTTTTAGCGTGGCGTTGCAAAGAAGAGGAGAAGAGGAGAAGAGTCGGACAGCAGGTGAGCGTTCTCAACTGGCGTGAGCGTGCGAACGCGTGCTCGCTGCTGGGGAGCTTCTCGCGTGAAGTGGGTGAGAAGGGACGAAATCTCCACGCGTTCGCCGGTTTGCTTTGGATGGTTGCAAACTGAGTGAAGAGGAGGAAGGTTGGATTGCGGCCGGGTGTACTCAAATGACGTGAGAGTGCTGGACGCGTGCTCGTTGCTAGAAATCCTCCTCGTGCGTAGTGGACGACAAGGAAAGAGGTGGAATATGAAAGGTTGAAGTGCAGGGTGCGTGTGTTCAGTCAGATGGCAAGGGGAAATGTCCGGCCCGCGAACCGAACAGAACGAGAGCCAGGGAATCGGGGAGGCGGGCAACGCACTCGGCTAGGTAGGCACCAGAACCCGTACATGGCAAATGTCGGTGCCAATCTGGCTGCCTTGCTCGCCAAATCCCAACTCAAGTTCTCGTTCACTTGCACTCTCACTATTGCAAACGCCCACCCCCAACCCCATCTTGCGCGCCAGCTTCTCCTGTTATTCTCGCCAGACTCGCTTCCCGCAATTATCACCTGATCTTCCGCCGCCGCACAGCTTCCCATCACGGCCCCTTCTTGGCCTTCTTAGCTCTCATGTTCTCGAATCTCCTTCCCCCAGAAGAAACCGCTCGGGAATGCTTGCTTCACCTTCTATTTAAATCACCATATTTTCGGCCACTGATGCTAATGATAGCAAGCGTGGATGTGACCTGTTTTGCTTATGTTGACCTCTTTGACCTACTGGGGGCGCTGGCTCTACATATGCTGGCAGGCTACTTTGACTTTCGCTTCTCAGGCACCTGTCGAAAGGTTACACATCCCTGCCTTTAGCAGTACATGAAGCGGCATCGCGCTCAATACGATGGCCAATGATGTTGTTTCCGGGTGGTCAACCGCCATCGACCACTCGGCCAAACGTCAAGCTTGTCTTGGTTAAGCGCAGCTCACCCCGGCGGGGCTGCGGGTGTTCTGGTAATGCACTGGATATGCCAACGGACATCTTGGGGAAACCAGTTCACAGGCTGCATCATGGCGGGACATGGGCTGTTGTTCAACGTCAACTTTTGTGCGCTGACTAGCAACCGTGCAGTGCTGAGTGGTGATTGCTCCATTTTCCATCGCCAGCCCCTCAGTACCGTAACGTCCCATCATCGACCTTTTTCTCTCCGTCACAATTTGAATCCTGCTTCCCCGTGTTCAGCGTCCTTTCCAGACACCCCCTCAAACTCCGTACGCCGCAAGAGCCAGCAACAACCAGTCAACACCAACAAGCCAAGCAAGGTGCGCCGCCAGTCCAAACCCGTTTCCGTGTCCTCCATCCATCTCCGCTCGTACAGTTCCGTCATCACCAGAATCCCACTTTCTGGGTCGCAGGGGGCTTCGATGCCTTGACAGCTCCTTTGGAGCCACCGTATTCATCCCAGGCCGATTCGGGCGTGATGAAGATTTTCGTTCCGTCCACGTGTCTGTCGAGGTTGACGTTGACCAAGCCAGACGTGAGTTGGTCCATGTACGCGTCATAGTCACTGTACTTGCGAGTGCTGCAGCGACTGTTGATTGCTTCCGCATGCGCCAGAGCCGACGCCCTGGTCTTGAAAAGCTTGTGGCACCTGGGGCAGGTGATTTTCTCGTTTCCGTGGCTCGGGCCACGGAGATGTCGGATGAGTGCCTTGCCTCCGCTGGCGCCCTTGAATACTTTTCTGAAAGGAATAGTCAGCGAGGCTCTCGTACTGTTTCGCTCGTTGTGACTTACATGCAAAAGGGCATGGGGCAGCTATAGCCATCGTAGAGGTTCCGGAACTTTTCGACATTGAAAGAAGGGTGATCCGGATGAAGGGGATGCTTCGCGTCATACGTCGGGTTCAAATCCCGCTCAGGAATGGAGGCCATCTCCTGCGCCGTCGGCCAACGAGTCGACGCAACGTTTGGGTCGGCCGACCAGACACCAGTGGTGTCGTCCGTGGCTGAGACTTCATGGTCTGCAGACTCGCTTAAGGTGCCAAGAGTGCCAGCCGTCTGGCCGCTAGGTGTGACGGACTTTACAGACCAGTCGGCAACTCCGACACTTCCAGGGAGCTTGGGGGTGCTTGTGTCGGCCAGAGAAACGAGCTCGGAGGGGTTGTCAGATCCGCTGGTCGTCTTGGCCCAGTCGCTGAGTAGCTTGCTCGGCGCGTCCTGATCAACCGGCCTGTTTACCTCATCAATAGAGGCAGCCGACGGAGTAGCTGCAGGGCCTCCGCCCTCAATAGCGATGCTGTCGATCCATGTATTGATCCTGGTAGAGGGCTGAGTTGCCGCAGGGGTTGCCTTCTTAGACTCGAGAAGCCACTCCCGGATACCAGATCCGCCCAAGAGGGTGGGAGCCTTGGTGCCTGCATGAGACGACGCGGCGTCTCCAAGGGTCCAGGGCATGACAGTATCCTTGGTGCGAGGTGCGGAGCCAGAGTTGCTGCCCTCCGAGGCAACGTCTCGGCGATGAAGAAAATCGGCAAGGCTGCTGGTGGTGTCCAACAAGGCGGAACGGGCATTGTCCTTAGAATTTCCCCCAATGAGGCTGTTGGTGGTGTCCTCCCACAAGCCAGATGAAGTGGCGTCCTTAACGTCGCTTCCGGCAGATGACTGGACTCGCTTGGCACTTTCGCGAGCAATCTTGTCGAGCTCTTTGAGGCCCGACACGGGCTGCATGTGGTTGTCGACGAGAAGAGTTCCGTCACGGGTAATCTGCTCGACTTCCCAGACGCCTCTAGCGTCTAGGGCTGCCGGAATAGAGCCCTCGTCATCGGTTGCCCAGACGTCTCCCTTGAAGTAGCCGGGTTTGCCCGGGTTGATATGGTTTGCAAAGTTGCCGCGGACGGGTCGATGGGTCATAGCCTCGAGGTCGCGCGAGAACTTTGTCATGTCCTCGGTCTTCTTGTTGAGCATGTCAGAGTCGATGCGAGGGCATTTTCCGTTCTCGATGTGGCGAATTACAGCCGAAGGCTGCGCAAACGGGCCGGCGTTGCAACCGGGGCACCATAGCCTCTGCGGCTGAGGATGGGACTGGAACCGTTGGGTTAGTTACAAGGAACCTCTCTGGAAGAGGAGAGCAAAAGCCCGGGAAGAGACTTGCCTGAAAAACGTGCTGGCTCTGGGCTTTCTCGGTCTTGAATCTCTGGCCGCAGTGGATGCAGCAGATGTGCTTGGGGTCCTTCTTGGCGCGCATGGCCTTGAGGTGCTCAAAGTACGAGTCCCATTCCGCGAAGCCGCGTTTGCAAGGCTTGCAGTAGTGCTGCCCGTCGGGCTGCAGACCTGAAGGCATCGTGTTGATGTGTTGCGGCACGTCGGTGATAGGTTTGGTTCAGCTGTGCCTGGATCGCACGCGATTTTCAGGAAGGATCGCGTGTGATGAAAATAGAGACGCGAATAGATGCCAACGAAGGCAGCGATGGGTGTGTGGATAGATTTGAGATGCCAAAAAGGCAGAGTGTGGGTGTGAGAGTAGGTGTTGAGTGGGAGGGCAGCGGAAACTCGTGCACGCGGTGGGTGCGGGAGTGAATGAGTGCTCTGGTAAAGGGAAGGAGTGACCACTCCAAGCCGAGGCGAGGGACACAATAAATAGCCACCTCCATTGTTGACAATCAGCCAGCACAGCCATCACTCGGGCAAGGTTTTGAACTTGCAAGGCATGCGGCCATGTTTACTTCGACGAGCGCGTTGCTACGCGATCCATGACACATCCGCGCGAGCTGCCTCTCGCTCGTCCGCGCTACACGCCAAATTAACCGCCGCCAGCAGAGTCAAACGCGAAAGAAGCTCGCTGCACTAGAAGCTTCCTTTCCCCTTGCTGTACCACCTACAGCCCTGACTGGGCCGCGAATCACCCCAACACGGGGAACCCGTCGTCGTCGTCCTCCCCCGGAGCATCAGAGTCCTCATCGTGTTCCTCGTGATAATCGTACGCCTCTTGCACTGGGTATAGATCCTCCTCCTCCTCCTCATCTTCATCGTTCTCTCCGTCGCTGCCGGATTCTTCCTCCTCATCGTCTTCGTTATCATCTTCATTCCCAGACAGATCCTCCTCCGCTGGTTCTTCGTCCTCGGGGACGCCACTCGCAGGTGTTTGTTCCGCCGCCACGCTGGGGGTCCTGCCCGGGTCTCGCAAGCGAGCATTGTACCCTGTGCTCTTCTTCTTGGGTGGCTCTCGGCCGCGAAGGAGCGTCAGCTCGTCGTTGGTCAGCTGTAGGTTCGGCAGCGGCAGATGGAACGTCGTGGACGATGATTTGGTGGGCGTTCGATCCCCACACTCGAGGGTCGGGGCGAAGTCTAAGCGGGTCAGTTGCCGCCCGAACCGGATAGCCACGAGTTTCGTCTTCATGATAGCCTTGACCTTGGCCCATAACCCGCCATGATACCATCCGCTGTTGATGTCCCATGTCGGCCGCACTTCAGCGTTGTCCAAGAGCTCCTTCAGGAGCGGGTCGCTGATGTCGCAAACCTGCCAGACTTTTCCATCTGTGTGGTATGACTCGCCGTCGAATGTGTGACTTTGCGCCTGGTCCACGGCGTAATCCTTGTTAAAGCTAAGCTGGGATCGCCGGAGCGACTGCCATGTCTGGTCCTGGCTCGGCAGCTTCTTCTTGGACAATTTGAACATCAGGGTCTGGTATATTCGGTACTTGGGGTCTGTTCTGGGGTCAATGCCATAGGGAACGACCCCATCCCTCCACGGACCGCCCTTGAACTGGTACGCCGTGTAGTTGAGATACTTTTTCAGCTCGTTCCAATTTCTAAGCTTGCCAGCCAGGTGGTTGAGCAAGGAACGGCGGGTCCAGACGGGGCGATACCGGAACGCCTCTTCGAGCTGGGCAATGATCTCCATGGTCCGCGCATCCGTCACGTCTGGGGGTAGCTGCGGCCCGGTAGGGGCAGGATCATCGGCGCTGATGAAGTAACCGACCTGCTTGACAGCTGTCGTGTTGATGGTGTTGCCATCTTCGGTGGTGCGGACATAGGGATTCTGCGAGTAGTAGTAGTTGAATGGGAGGCTCATGTGCGTGAAGATGGGTGGCGGGAGAATGTCGACGTTTGGACCGAGGTCCATTCCGGGGTCGAATTTGAAGCTCTTCAACTGTTGTACTGCAAAACACGTCAGCCGAGCTTCAGAAACACGAGGTTACGAGATTGGGCGTTACCATCACCGGGAAGAACCTGCTCTGTGTATCTCCGCGCAAACGAGGACTTGGACATGTCCCAGTAAAAGTCGGCCAAGCCTCTGAACCGGTGCGTGTGCTTGACGGTCCCGACTGCCTCGACCTGGTACTTGTCCACGTTGTCTGCGAGCTGCCGTCTGAGCTTCTTGGGCTCGTCTAAGCGGGCGATGGAGCCGACGCCATGGCTTCCGTCGGGTGGGACGGCGGCATTGGCGTCGGCGAGTTCAACATCACCCTGCCATGGGTCATTGGTGCCGCGTTTGCGCTTGCGCCCGGTGCGCTTGGGGACGGTAATTTTGAGCACGATGTTGTGCGAGCGGGCGTTGTGCGACATGATGGGCGGGCAAAACGGGCTTTCTGGGTTCAGATACAGCGGTATTGACGTCCTCATGGGGTCCAACGTCTGGAATATGGGCTGTCAGTTTCAAGCACGGAACTCAAGCGGTTGTGCAGACTCACATGGGTCAGGGAGGAGACTCGTCCAAAAGCTTTGACGGCGCGATCAATGTTTTCCACAACGGCGGGAACCTCCACGGCGGCGAGGTCGCGCGAGGGGATTGGATACCTCGGGGCTCCGTCTTGCGATGCATCGTACTGGTCATCCTCGGCGGCGTGGCCGTCAGACCGGTCGCTCAGGACATCGTCGTCGCTTTCTGAAGACGAGGCCATGGCCGGCAAAGTGTGCAAAGGCGGAGCCAGGCTTTTCAAGGCTGGACGCTGCCTGAACAGGGCGTGAGATGAGTCGGGGGCATCAGGTCTTGATTCGATTGCCAGCAACGGCGAAGGTGGCCCTCCCGGTTCACGAGCTCGACTCCGAGGCACCTATTGGTAATAGCACCTCAGCGAGGCTATGCTGCAGATGACTGAGGTTTGTGCCGTGCGTATTGAGTGCGGGCGGACTTGGACTCGATGGCGGGTGCAAGTGTGAGATTGAGGTTGACGTCGCTGGTCGCAACACGATTGGATGGTGGGTGTCCCGGGTCCCGACGGGAACAACAGTGCCGTCTCTGAGCGTCGGGTTCCAGGTTTCACGGTCCACGGGATTGGTGGCCGTGCAGGCCCCGCCGCAGCTTCCAAGGTTCCATTCCAGGGACCCGACCCCAACTGTGGCTGTCGCCTTAGTGGCCCACCAGAGCGACAGGGCGGCCGGGGCTAAACTACAGTGGGAATGCATGCGCTGTTAGCGGTGAAGCACTCGACCATCAAATTACATGTTGGCAAGCTGGAAACAGGCCTGGCGCCCGCAAGATACAGAAGCCATAATATTTTGATGAATTAACAAGTGCAGACTGTGTCTAACCCGTTCGTTCTCTTGCAAGTCAAACGGGTGTCTTCGAAGCAAACAATTCAATAGTCAATACGCACACGCCAGCAATGCCACTGATACTACGGCATCCCTTGGCCCTCTGACGACCAGACACTGTCAATATCGAAGCTCAGCGCAGCTCGACAGGATGCTACTTGCTCCTCAACTCACTGGCAATGCCAAAACTACACCGTGAAACCTGGCGGTATATGGTCAAGCCTTGTGCCGTTCGCAAAGATGATGCCTTGAAAGCCGCCCAGCGTGTTCGACGCCGCAGACCCCGATGCCGATGGCTTCTTGACCAGCGGGTTCTTGGCCGGACTAACGTCGCAATTCTGGCTGACCATGTAGAGGTTTAATCCGATGACCAGTGTCTGCATCGTGGCATCATAGTATTTCTCCGTGATCTTGTCGATCTTGGACAAGCCAACCGAGTCGTGCAAAATAACCGTCGGGAATCTCATGGGCGTAATAAAGTTGAGGCCGTAGTGGTAAAGCGATGGGTTCGACTCCAGGACCGCAATCTTCTGTATGCTTCCGAATGACGTGCATTGCCACTGCATAATGTAGTACACGTTGTTGTCTGTGTCAGCGCCATTTCGCGTCACGCTTGAGAGCGCCTCTACCTCTTTTGGCGCAGTATCCCGAGGCAGCGCCTCTTCGGCCCAGACATCTTTGCGGTTGAGATACTCCGGGGCATAATAAATGCCTGACCTGGGACGGTCTTTGGGAGCTTTGTCACCGAGAGCGGGGTCCCGCGCGCCATCTGTGAGAAGAAGAACGCAGCCTTTTCCGCTGTTGGCATCCATAAAGGTTTTCATGCGCAACTTGTCAAAACTAGTAGAGTTTGACATATCCGGCGGGCATCGACTGTGGATGCTCTCGAGCTTGTCGAAGAATTCATTCGTCTTGGCAATGCTCCAGTACCGATCAGAGTCATCGCTGAGGTCGATCATGTATCTGATCCACCAAATGACTACTTCGCCTGGATAGTCGTTGGTAAACCGGTTCACGCCGGCGATCAGATCATCGAGAGACGCGCCAGTGGCCCCTTTGGGGTTATCACTGAGTTCCTTGTCTACATGAGCACCGTAGAACGCGCCACCATTAACGCTCGCAATGCGCATGTCAAAGTAACGCACGCCAACTCGTAGCTGGTTGTAAAGATCGAGGGTCTGGGTCTCCGTGTTGTCCGAGGAACCCCAATTCCACCAACCTTTTGTGCTTATCTCACTCATGGCGGCATCGTGTGAGCCCGGGACAACCACATGGCGCAGCTGACGATCCTTTATAACGTCGTACAAGCTTCTCATCCAAGCGTAGTTGCTGAAGTCAAGAGAGCTGGTATAACCATACTCCTCGCTCCCGGCAATGATGAGCGTTACGGGTGCTTGCTTTCCCGGAATTTCGTACTCCCTGGCGCCCATGTTCATGCCCTGAAGATCGAACCAGACTCGCTGTTGATACTCCAGATCATCCATGTTGGTTGTCATGTGGATTACAAAGGTCTTATTTGTGCCGTCAATGCGATAATTCGCGTATCCATTCGTGTCGGTAAAGGTGCCCACTGTTTGGTCGTAATCGCCTCGATTCTCCCTCGACTTGCCGGAAGGAATGTCTCCAAAATCCCATTTCGCAAACTGGTATGGCGTGGGACCGCCGGTGTGAACGAACTTGTAGGGCGTGAGATTAACGATCGTGACGTAGGCTGGATAAATCTCGCTGGCATTGCGGGAATTGTCAAGCTTTGTGCCTGCCGACGTAAGTCCTATCAAGTACTCGACGGACCCTGGAGTCCAATCGGGCGTGTAGTACCAGTAGTCCTTCTTGTCGCATGTTCCCTCTGGGGGCGGCGGCGGCGGCGGAGGTGGCGGAGGTGGCGGAGGGGCTCCAATCGATAGCACTTCATACAAGCTGATGTGCGACCACTTTGGATGAGTTGTAACAGCCAGGTTTCTCTCTGATGTGATTGACTCCCCGGTGCTGTTAACAATCATGTTCTGTGCCCCAATGGTAATGAGCTGTTGTACGCGATTGTTGTCGTAGTTGTCATCAACGAGCCACAGGGACTTTTGACAGCTTCTCGTATCCACGCATTCTTGCGTATACGTAGTGAACCATGAATAGGTCCCGGCAGCACCAATGTGCACGTTTTGACAGTTTTTCATGATGACAGCCCATGAGGCATCACAGCCGATCGCATCACCTCCCCCGCAAGCATAGTCGGGGTCGCCGGGAAACTGGCCCACGGCAGGCTTAAACGGGTCGGGTGGCTTTGGCGTTGGCTGATAGTATGGGGACTCAGTCTGCAGGAAGGTAGTAAAGATGTTCCTGGCGCCGTGGAAGTTGTACTGGTAGAACACATTATGTTCCGAGGCTGTTCCGTACAACCACGTTGCCTTTTGGCTCTCGATGAGTACGCCACGAGCACTATAGACAGAAAGCTGCGTCAAGTTGTTGCGAGCATCATTGAGGTCGGGGTCGTCGATCTGGTGATCGGCAACCCAGCCCCAAAAGTTGTCAAAGTATCCTGATGCCTCCTGGTGATGTGTAGTAGCAGGCTGGCAACTTGGCACTTTGGCGTGTTGGTTTCACTAGTGCTGGGAGGACACTCGGAAGGCGTGAGGTCTGTTCCGACGGCACCTCCGAGACGAACGTGGACGTCCCATAACGCTGCGTCGCCGGCGTTCTTTGCTTGGATGTTCCATTCCATCATAATGGCACCCGGGGCCGGGCCGGCGGTGGTCAAGATCAAGTCCTGGATCTCAACTGTGCCAACGTCCCCCGGCTTGCCAACTCTGAGCATGGGAACGGGGTCCTTGAATTTTGCGAAGTTGGCACCGCGGGCAGCGAACTGGGACCATGTTTCGCCCACGATTTTTGCGCCAACTGGGATTGTGACAGTCTTCTTAATAATGTAGGTTCCTGCGTCGACGTAAATGATCTTGCTGCCGTCTGCGTATTTGTCGAATGCCTTTTGTATGGCAGAGGTATCGTCATGCTTGCCATCGCCTTTCGCGCCTAGGTCTTTGAGGTGGACGAAATCGGACGCTGACTTGTCCGTATACTGGTTTCTCGGTCTCTCGAAGTACGGATCCACCTCGAGGCCTGAGACCGATGCACCCAGAAGTGATTTTTCTCGGGTGTAATCCATGGGTCCCTCGGTCCATGTTCGCCCTTTTTTGTACACGGTGCCAATGACATACTCCGGCGGTGTCAGTAGGTCGTCCTCGCCTAGCGACAGTCGAGGAAAGACTTACATTCTTGTAGTAGCCAGCTTTGAGTATCTCCTTTGAGCTCCCGTAGTCCTTGATTTGACCTCCCAGATTTACATTATCCAGGACCAGCCCTGTAAAGCCAGAGTCGCTTTTGTCGGCGGGAGTAGCCATTTCGATTGCAGCCTCCTTTATATTCGAAAACGTGGAGTCCACAAATGTTGCAGATCCAGGGACTTGTCCGCTAGCTGCGTCGTTATAAAGCCGGAAGCCCACCTTGGCGTTGTTGACTGTGATGCTCTTCCAAACCCAGCCCCAGTCCCAGATAAGCTGCACCGCAGTATTGCAACCGTTGAAGGTAATCCTGGCGGCACTGAACTGCTGACTTCCACCGTCTGCTCTGGTATAAGTGTCTGGCAAGCGAACAGGTAGTTGAGAACTTACATATTCCAACATTTCCGCCTATAAATGTGAGATCCGACATGACACCGCCACTGCCGTTTTCCGCAAACATCCCCTGCTGAGTCGTGCTGGAGTCTGCAATAAACTCGACGTTCTCAATGGTCGTGGCCTGTGCAACTTGATAGTGCACTCCAGCAACGTAGGCACTGGCCCTGGTTGCAGTGATGTCGATCTTGAAGTTGCGAATCTGACCGTAAAAGCGAGCCGTATTGACGTACCACTCTAGAGCATTCCCGTCTGGGCCACTACCACCGTTGTCGACGTATACGTCTGTCGACAGGACCCCGAGGCCGATGAAGCTCTTTGCGGCAAGAATTGTCGGTGGCTCAAGGGCATCACCAATCATCTGCGTACCAAAGTACACGGCGATGGAGCTGGAAACTAGATATTTACCAGGCGGGAAGTAAACTATGGCATTCTTGGTCGTTGACCCGTTACAGCCGGCGCCACATCGCTTGCCGTCGTCGATGGCTTTCTGGATTGCTTTGGTCGAGTCCTGAGATCGCGGTATCAGCATTGGTTAGGTAGAGGATATGAACATGTCAAGTGTGTTGACTTACGCTTGCACCACTAGGATCAGCTCCGTAGTCTATAACATTTCGGAAAACCTACGTTTCCGTCAGTGCTGTTCTATCGCTGTCCTTGGACTCAACTGGAACTGACCTGGTACGATTTGTCGTCACCCCATGGGACTGAGCCTTTGTGATCCAAATTGCCGAGCCAGAAGGACCCTGCTCTCTTCTCAACTGGCTTAGATTGACTCGATGACTTATTTCTTGCATCCAGTTCAGCCACAAGGGCCGCAGCTCGAGCTAGGTCATCGGTAATTTTGAGCAGAGGTGGAGGCTTTTCAACGCTACGTTTGGATGTCCGAGTGCCGGGTTTCAGCTTGTAATCATTGCGGGCAGGCTTGTCCAAACGGGCTTTGTTAAGCTTGGTCATCTTAGCAATCGCATCTTCAATCATAGCGCGAGCCGTCTTGATATCAGCAGCAGATGCATTAGCGGCGGTGACGAAACGAGACAGCGAAGAACTCTGCTCTTGCCCATTTTTGTCTGAGCCAAGCACTGGCGAGGGAGTTGCAGGTTTCGCAAGCGATTGACCTAGAAGGCAAGCCCAGGAGAGGGCAACCCATGGTTTGAGTCGCATAGCAAAGTGCTGTTCCTTCTTCACAGTGTCAATGGAGAGGGCTTTGAAGACACAAAACGAAACTAGATGAGTGGCTCTGTAGGGTGCAACTTAGGGACTCTAGTACAGTATATATACTTGGACTATGGCACGTTTGATGTTGGGTCGACGACAGCTCCCCGCGGGAAAGCTCGTCGGGAGAGCGACACCTCGTATTACACGAGGGTGCCATGTTGGCTGTCTGCAAGACGAAGGACTGTAACCCACTTCTCACGGGCAACTGGTAGTTCTGGACCCCTCGGGAGGGCAAGCTTCCATCACTGCGTCAATAGCGTTACTGTGACTGCTACTTTCTGCCTAAAAAGCATGAGAAATGTGGTACAGATGCTATCCGGAGGGTAGATCAACGCTGACCGGATACTGCAATAGCTGACATGGGTCTACGCCCCTACGTGCCTCGTGGGTTAGATGAAGCCTGATGAATTCTGGCGAGTTTCTGTCCTTTAAACTGACCCTGTCTCCTGCGGGAACTCCTGTGTTTGTCACCTGGATTCGACACAAATTCTTTCCTTGTTTATCTCGACAGTTGGATGAGCAGATGTCGAGGTCAGAAATGACAGACTGGGGGCAACAGCTCAGACTGAGTTCCAGGCCTCGAAGGTCGTTGTCCCGCGTAAGCGCTTACAAGGAGCTCAGGTTCGTGCAGGCCGTCGTTCATAACCATCGCCAACATCAGGTTGTGGAGTCCGTTGTTCAGAACAGCCGCCAACAGAGAAGTCAGGTCTGGAAAGCCGCTCTTCAAAGCCGTCGCCGGATCACATGCAGTTTCGTGGACGCGGTTGTTCGCAGTACGTGCCAACCGAGAGCTCATGTTCGTGGACCCGAATTTCCAGAGCCATCGCCAACATGGGATTTGGGCCGTTGTTCAAAGCAACCGCCAGTAGAGACATGGAGTCTACGTCAGTTCAAGCACAGTACAGTAGTCTCTCAGACGTTCATTCTTTTATGTAAGTGAAACTCTCACCGGAAAGCCGCAGATGAGTGACTCAACAGACAATACACGAAGGAAAAGTAAAACCACCGAAGCGCCCATTGCCGCGCCTATGAGCAGAGATATACATACGTTTGCCGACTAAGATTAGCGCCTGAACAGAACACGAAGCGACCGAGGCACCAACGTGGTGCTGTTCGTCCTTCCTGTTCGGGCCTGTTACTTGGTGTTGTCTGCACGTTCCGACAAAAACTCTCCGAAAGCCTTGGCTGATGTCTGCTCTGTAGGATGTAGGAGAGGATCGCGGGGTAGCGGACCGTGAGAGCCCATGCCTTTGTTTGCGATCTAGCACAGTATGTTCATATCAGACGCGCGGTACGTTATACGAGACGCAACCGACTTGCATCACGGCTCTTGGGATTGGAGGGCTGGGGCCGTTCATGTGTTGGTCGAGTTGCACAAAGGGTACGGGCTCTCTTCACTCCCGACTCCCAACTTTTCCACCTTCGTTCTTCACCCCTCCGCACCAACAGCATACCGCGACCTTCTGGTCGAATCCGGCTCATCTCACAATCAACACAGTGCGCGGTTACGACACAGTCCTCGCGCGGCACTTTGGCAGAGCGCAAAGGAGATGTCCTCAGTGTCGCCGATAGTATCTCCATCCTTGAGCGGGAACGTGACCTCCGCATTAGCCATCACTACAAGGCCGACGGTGGCCATAGCACAACCCCTAACGACACCATTCGTGTTCCCACCAGGCTGCGGCGGCCACTTTTCCAGCACATATACTGTCACGCAGCATCGTGTGAACGCTTCTCCCGCGATTTTCAGAGTTGTTGCCTCTATTCCAAGCCAAAATCCAACATGTCAACCAAGGGGGTGGAACGCGGGTTCCACCCCCTTTGTCTTCAGCCCAGCCGTTTGCCCCAGTGAGTGGACGGCTTATGAGTTGAAGGTCTACACGTCGACTTGGGAAGAAGATATTTTCACGTTGAATTCAACCTACACGAGATACTTGAGCACTGTTGTGTCTCAGGCATGTTGCTGCTCCAAGTACGTGATCTCAATAGGCATGATATTCCCTACCTCGAGGTCGTCTCAGCGTTTCCCCTCTCGGTCCAGGTTGCTTACTTCGTGAGACAGTGGCTTCAGCTATTCCAAGTTTCTTGGCGGCAACATAACTGGCAAGGAAAGTGGTGTTTGTTTCCAGGAAATATTGACGTCACATATCACCGACGAGCAGCTGTCAACGGTCACATCGGGAGCTGTCTTTCCCACCGGCATGCGAGCCCACTACGCATGGCGAATCTCCTGGGAAGGATCCGACACTGCAACAATCAGCCCAGCTCCGCCGAGTCTCATGGACTGCACCAATGTTCAAATAGCTACGTGGGTTCCCGGCGCGACGGTTGACCCGAAATCGCGGGCGTCTTGTGCACCGTACCAGGACGGCACAGATAGACGGGACTATCTCCACGAGCCTTCAATCCTGTCCATCATCATTATTGGCTCAGTCAGTATAGCTGTAGGGATGGCACTATGCGCTTGGCGTTGCGATGTGCGAAATCGGAGGCGGATGAGACGTATGCAGCAGGGGACTGGAGGAGACGGACAAGGAGCGAGCAGCAGGTAGAAGGGTCAACTTTTGACCTGCTGGACGATGCAGTTGGCGGTCACTATCTACCCGTACTGCAGTCTATTTAACGAAGACAAAGTGTTAGCCTCAGGTGATGAAACTCGAGCACCGAAGGGCATGGCAGCCGAACAATCACGAGAACATTTCCACCGTGCCGGCGTTGCAGCTGCGGAGAGAGACGTCCATGTAAACAATGGAAACTCAGCGTGTGGCGCGCTGGAGGTGTGTAGGTACCGATCTGACTTGTCACTGCTGCGAAGCTGCTCGTGGAGTGCATCACAGGAGCGGCGGCGGTTGAAAGATCTAGGGACTTGTGCCAGTTGGGCGCAATGACAACTTTGGGTCAATGTATCGCATCCTCGAGATGGACCTCGATGTAGGTTAGGAGTCAGTGCCTTGTCCATAGGAGGGGCGGCCAGCAGCCACAGCATGCAGCTCTCGGACGAGCGCTTGAAGGTGTTGGTGGCTGGTGCTGGAAGCAGGCTTGACGCAGCCGCACGCGCGCCAGAGGCCAGAGAAATGACCCCGGTTTGATGAGCCGCAATTAAAAGAGAATGTGACCCTTTGGCAAATTGGCGCATCCGTGCCTATTGGGCTTCATCCCTTTGGCCGCCGTTGTTGGCGTCCAAGTTTCAAGATCACGTCCAAGGCGCGGTCCAAACTTGAAGAAAAGGTACGGAACCAAGGCGGGACGCACCAGTAGACGCTCACCGTTCCTGGGTGCCTGAGTACCTACCTGCCAGGTACCGCAGGTGGGGCCAGTTGGCGGCGGGCAGCTACAGTCTTTGGCCTAGGACCTGAGGCGCTCCAGGTCAGCCACTTCTGGGTTCATCAATGGGTGCAGTGGCGGGCGGCTGCCCGTTCTTTGTGCTGTGCGGCCCCTGTGACCTGGGCTCCTCCGCCCGTCGGTGTGGGCCCCCACACTCGAGTGGTAAGGTAGCGTCATTCTGCAGCGCCCAGCCTCTGCAGCTGCCACTGAGGTGCCCGACAGTTGTCAACAGCGCCTGAGCTGCAGCCTGGGCAATTCCAATGAGCGCAGGCGTGTAGGTACCCGTCCAGCGCCAGGGCGGGCCTGGGAGCGTCAACGCTGGAGCCGACCTGATGGATCCATCGCGCCGGGCAGCGCAAGGCCAAGGGCCCCAGAAGGCACCGCCGGTACGGTACCTGCCTCAGCGGCGCGGTACCGCAGCTGCGGGCGCCTTACCTGCGACAGCCAAGGTACCTAACCTGGTCTGGCCGCCCGCCGCCCCGTCCTTCATCTCTCCTCAACATTCCAGCTTTCCGACAGGCGGCTCGCACCCGCGTCCAGCCCGCCGCCCGCGTTAGCTTGTTAGTACCCTGCCCTGCCCTGCCTGCCCTGCCTGCCCTGCTCTCAGGGCTACCTCGCCAGACTCGAGCAGGACCCGACCTTTGGCCCCCGCCGCCTCGCCATCACCTGCCCGCCAGCCATCCACCTCCCATCCAGCCAGCCAGCCCGCCAGCCCGCCAGCCCTCCACCACACCTCCTCCACTTTACTGTCCATCAGGCGGCCGGCTACCTCTGGCGTCCCAGTACCGGGCCACCTCCACGCCTCTTTGGCTTCCTCCTCCCTGCCTCCGCCTCCATTGTCCCCTCTCCCATCGACAACATTTCGACCTCGAGCTATCAACCCGGCGCGTCCATCGATCCCCTACGGTCCGCCGCGAGGTCTTTCTCTATCCAGCGACGAAGACGACGACGACGACTTCGGCGACGACAACAACAACCATAGCAGCATCGTCACCAGCTCACCGCTGCGGCAGACGACGCCAACCTCGAAGCTCCCCGCACAACCACACGCGCTGGTTGCCCGGTGCTGCGAATAGCCGATTGAGCCCGCGAGCCCTGCCAGTCTAGTCTCTCCTTAAAACTCAAGGCCGCGAGGGTCGAGTGCAGCACAGCGTCGAGGCCCGATCGCCGCAGCCACTGCCTGTCAACCCACCCCTGCTGTCCCTGCTGCAGCTCGCGTCCCCCCCGGCACGGCTCCGTCCTATAACCTGCCGTCTCTCCTATCCGCCCTCCCCCACAGCCGCTGCGTCGCGGCCGACCCGACTCGAACGCTCCATTTCCATCAGCACGCGCCTGCGACACCCAAGCCAGCGAGGGGTAACCGTCGAGGCCAAGCTGTTTTCCCTTCAATCCACGCCGCCCGCCTCTGCTCGCCCTGCCCTGCCCTGCCTCGGGCTCCCGCTTGACGTCGTCGGACCGCTTACCCCACCGCGTTCGCTGCATCCGCATCGTTCGCGGCCCGACAACAGAGCGACTGCGCATAGATGTTACAGTCAGCCAAGATGAAGCGGTTCGGCCAAAGAGTCGTAAGTAGACGCCCGCCTCGCCCTGCCCTTCGCCAATCGAAACTTCCGCGCCATTACACCGCTGGCTGCGCTGCACCTCGTTGCGCGGAATTAGCTAACAGGGGGGCTCATTCCCCAAGGCGCAGCTCTCGCGAGGCAAGGACGCCAGCAAGTCCTCCAAGAAGAATAAGGATTCCAAGGACGGGACGTCGTCTCCTTCGTCCCGAGACTCTGCCAACCAGTCGCCCGTCCTCACGCCCACCTCGTCCACCTCGACGCTCAATGACATCCGCAACAAGCCGCTCCCCCCAAATAGCGCTCCCGGCGGAGGAGACCACGGAGCTCCCAACCAACCTTCCAACCTGTCAAACGTTGCCCAGCAAGGCAGCGTCCCCGATCGCTTCGGCTCCATGGGCGGGGCGTCGAGCCCCAACGGCGGCAGTGCCAATGCGAGGCTACCTCCCACGGTGGTCATCAGTCCAACTCCTGGCGTACGTCGTTTGATTTCCCCCGCGTCTCCAAAACCATGTTGGCGTCCGCCTCCGGATCCACGTTGGCTGACTGACACAACACAGCATATTCCCCCTCCGGGTGCCGCCGAAACCATGCCCCACGATCTCGCTCCGCCCAAGGCTGGCCAGAAGTCGCTGCTGATCCATCGGGGCATCGATAATCGCGACGCCATCCCCGAAGGCTTGCGGACACCGAAGCGACAGCACTCCTCGCGATTTGACATCTCGGCGCACAGAGAGTTGGAGAAGCTTCCCGGCTTCCACGAGGTGCCTCCCAACCGGCGGCAGGAACTGTTCATGCAAAAGATCGACCAGTGCAATGTCATCTTCGACTTCAACGATGCCAGCGGCGATATGAAGGCCAAGGAAATCAAGCGGCTTGCACTCCATGAGCTTCTCGACTACGTGGCCAACAACAGGCAAGTCATCACGGAGCCCATGTACCCGCGAGTCGTCGACATGTTCGCCAAGAACCTCTTCCGACCGATTCCGCCACCCGTCAATCCCCAAGGAGAGGCATTTGATCCGGAAGAAGACGAGCCGGTTCTCGAGGTCGCCTGGCCGCATATTCAAGTGGTCTACGAGTTCTTCCTGCGCTTTATCGAGAGCCAGGACTTCAACACCAACATTGCCAAGGCGTATATCGATCACAGCTTCGTGCTGCAGCTGCTGGATCTCTTCGACTCCGAGGATCCACGAGAGCGAGACTTCCTGAAGACGACCCTCCATCGCATTTACGGCAAGTTTCTTAACCTCCGATCCTTTATCCGCCGCTCCATCAACAACGTCTTCTTCCAATTTACCTACGAAACCGAACGATTCAATGGCATTGCGGAGTTGCTAGAGATTCTCGGGTCCATAATCAACGGCTTTGCCCTGCCGCTGAAGGAAGAGCACAAGATCTTCCTGACCCGCGTGCTTCTTCCTCTGCATAAGCCAAAGAGCCTGAGCATGTATCACCCTCAGCTGGCCTACTGCATTGTCCAGTTCCTGGAAAAGGACGCATCTCTGACGGAGGATGTGAGTTTGCGCTTGATTCCTGGCCAGGACCTCTGCTACAGCTACTGACTCACCCCTAGGTCGTCCTTGGTCTACTGCGATACTGGCCCAAGGTCAATAGCACCAAGGAGGTCATGTTCCTGAACGAAGTAGAGGACATTTTTGAGGTCATGGATCCCGCCGAATTCGCCAAGGTCCAGGAGCCTCTGTTCCATCAGCTGGCCAAGTCAGTTGCTAGCCCGCATTTCCAGGTCGCCGAGCGCGCATTGTACTTCTGGAACAACGAATACTTTTGCAACCTCGTGAGCGACAACGTCGAAATCATCCTGCCCATCATGTTTGCTCCACTTTACGAGAATTCTAAAGGACACTGGAACAGGTGCGTTACCTTCCCCGGAACTGTCTGTGGCACACATTACTGACCACGCGAGTAGAACCATTCACGGCATGGTGTACAATGCCATGAAGCTCTTCATGGAAATCAACCCACAGCTTTTCGACGACTGTTCGCACGACTACACGGAGCAGCAGAACAGTGCGGCTGAACGGGAGGCGTTGCGAGAGCGCAAATGGGCAGCACTCAGCGAAAAGGCCGATCAGCGACGGGCGTCGCTGGGCAACAGCGTCGGCGAGGTACCACCCCGTGCCCAGGGGAGCTCTTTGCCGCGCGTTGATGAAGTCGATCCGGCAACCGAGGACAACCAAAAGAGGCTCGATTCTCTGAAGCTTCAGGATGCTGGCCGTCGCCCAGCCGGCCATGAGCGCCAAAGCTCTGTCGGCTCTACCCGAAGCAGATGACGGGCTCCGTGCCAACTGCCTCGTACGCATCGATAGACGAGGCTTCGCAGCCCTTGGTTCAGCAGCCAGGTCATGTCTTCTCTGGTCTGCACAGGGCCTGCACGATCCGAAATCACGACCAGCTTCCATGCGCCTTATAGGAGCACATTGGAGTCTGGAGAGCAAACATTCATAAATTTTCTGCGTATTTCTCTGGCTTGGCGCGACACGGCTTTTTCGCGGGCCGCAACCGCCATTCAACAAGACGACGAGTGACTGAGCAAACGTGTGGGGTGCATGCAGAAAGTCGTCTTGTCTGCGATGCGGTGCTTGTCGCACATGTCTTGTCTTATTGCGAGGCTTTGTCGAACAGCGAGCATCAGTCCGTGTGACAGCTTGATGATCAGGTCGACTTTTATTCTGGTGCTTTACCATCAAGGATCCGTGAACACACGGAGACAGCCGCACTTGCACCTTGAATACGAAGGAGGAAAGGCGTGACGGGCGGCACTGGCTTACAGTGTTTGGCAGTTCATGTGCGTTTTCTTTGGTGTTGCCACCTTCGCCCCGCCTCAGACACTTTGGGGTCCCCCGTTTCGTTTGGGGAGGGTGCGGCGGAAAAGTATAGGATGCAGGGAAACACATGGCGCAAGGCGGCGGCCGACGGGCAATCGATCGATGGAGGGCGTTGTAAACGCGGTTGATCAGGGAGGGGGCAGAAAAGTCGGCGAGGCTGGGTGTTTCGCAGCCTCGGCGGCCTCGGCGCGTGACCGCATACCGTGCTTGGGTGGCGCTCGCGGCGGGAAGGGGAGTCGCCGGAGGCTGGTAGACGGCGAAGAAGGGCAGCAGGACGAACGTTGAATCCGATAGACTTTTCTAGTTTCTTTGTCAATGTGGTGCTGCGGCGTCATGACGCGCTTTGATGGGACTTGTTGCCTTGTGATGTGTGCCGACGCGCGTGTCTGGACAACGGTCAACTCTCCAAGGCAGGCGAGGTGATGAGCGATGCGAACGACGCGAACGATGCGAACAAGGCCGATGGAAGAAGTAATGTCGAATCATTTGGCATTTGTACAGGGTATATAGTTCCAACAGCTCTCAAAACGTCTCCCAACCCCCTGGGACCTCTCTCTATCCCAGTCCGTTTCTCGTCAGGCCGTGTCCGCGTTCCCTCCCAAACCAGCCCCGTTTCCCGGTCATCGTACAATCCATAGCCGTTGTTGCGAACAGAAGCGCCGAGCGCCTCCCAGGCGCAACGTGCGCCCACTCGCAGCTGGCGCGTGCGTAAAGAGGACCGTGGCCCCCTAACAACATTCGAAAGAACAAGAAAGAAAGGGAAAGAGAGAAAACCACTGGCGAACTGTGCGAGCGTATCGGGGGAGGTGCTGTCGCTCCGCGGCTCGAACGTGTCGCCAAATGTCGCCGTCAAACTCCGTGGCGCTTATCATCTCTTAGGCATACAGGAAACACAATCCGTGATGACTTGCCGAAGCGTGACGCTCTGGCAAATGTCAAAAACGGGGAAAAGAAATGGCACAACATCGTGCTTTGCCTGTCTCGTTCGCACAGGCTTCCATGGCGCTTGGCCAGTCGTTGCCAAAGGACTTTGTTACATAGAACAGCCATCGCAGCGCCGGCAGTTCGCCAGCGTCATCGTATCAGCTTCTCAATGTCAGTGTCCATCGAATAGACCGCATCAGCGGCGATATCTGGGTCTGTACTTATTGTAGCCGCCTCTGCCACGACCGCGAAATCCGCGACCACCACTACCGCCACCTCGGCCGCCTCCTCGACCCCAGTTGTTCTGCTGGTATCCGTTGAACTGAGGCGGCGCAGGGCCATGAGGTGGATGGGCACCCGGGCCCCAAGGCCCGCCTGCTGGCGGGAAAGGCTGCATTCCAGGCTGATTGGGGTTCCAGCCGGGGGGAGGCTGCGGCGGCCAGGTCCCCTGATATCCCATCGGGGGAGGTGGCGGCACGGGGGGTCCTAGTGGTGGTGGTGGTGCGACGTGCTGGCTTGCGGGGCCTTGAGGAGGCATCTGGTAGAAAGCCTGCGATGCTGCTGCAGCGTTGGGTGGCTGAGCGGGGCCGCGATCGTTCCTATGAGAGTGTGAGCGGGGAGACGGACGTCGAGGCGCTGGCTGCGCCGAGCGGGACCGCGAACGAGATCGACTGTACGAGCGACGTCTGTGAGATCGGCTTCGTCGCGGACTGGGGCTGCGGCTGTAGCTGCGGCTCCGACTGCGACTGTACGAGCTGCGTCGCTGACGGGATCGACCCGAGCGGTGCTGGTGCGAGCTTCTGTTGCGGCTTCTGCTGCGGCTCCTGCTGCGGCTTCTGGAAGCGGACGAGACGCGACGTCTCTTACGAGAACGCGATGGCGATATGCTTCTTGGGCTGCTAGAATACGCGTCTCTGGACCGAGATCGGGACGCTCGGGCGCCGGGCGAGCCCTTGCGAGGTTCAAATCTCTCCTTCATCCATGCACAAAACTCTGCGCTCCAGCCATAGTAGTTGGTTTGTTTTTCGGCGGGGCGGTCAGGTTTGATGATCTGTCCCAGGGCGTTGATGTCGCAACCGGCAATCTCAGCCAAAGGCTTCGGTCTGTATATATCCTCGACCTCGCGAATGGTCTCATCCACCAACCTGTCGAGCTCTTCATCATTGGGCCCAGGGTAGATGGTGAGAGGGCGGATTTGGTCGGGGCGAATGGGGGTGGCAGATCCGCGTTTCAGGTGCGGAAGCCAGCACCCGGCGGGTTGTTCGTGCCAGGGAAGCGACGGGTCGCCGTGGATATAAGGCTCTTTGCGGGGCGCGGACTTGGTGTGCGCAGTTTCTTCGTCCTTGGGGAAGATGGGATAGCCAGAGTGCTTGTCGGAGGCGAGGCTGACAGTCTCTCTGAGGCGTTCGAGCAGAGCCGTAGGGATATAGTGCTTCTCCTCCCAGATGTCAAGAAGGTCCCGAACCTTTGCAATGTGCTTCGGGCTCTTGTCGAAGAAAGAGGCGGCCATGACCATATCGGGTAGCTGGGCTCCCCAAAGGGCGCCGAACCCTGCGTTGCCCAGGCGGACGACAACGTGGTGCAACACGTCGCTGATGATGTACAGCACGTGGAGTCTTCGTCTCCTCACGCTGGGTCGGTCGAAGTCGTCTTCCATGCTCTCGGAGAGGGCGACCATGAACTTTCCAAAGGTGGTCGTGCGGCCATGCGAGTGGACGATGTTGGCGGCAATCCAGTTCTTGCATTCCTGGAACAAGAAGTTTAGCAGGTCTCCAGGAGAGTGTTCAGGTACGGGAGAGACGGCAGCTCTCGAGCGTAGTAGCAAACCTGAACGTTTTCGTGCGAGCACTTGTCGAGGGTGCGGTCGATGAGGTCGATTCCATCCTCGATGGCGCCGCGAGGCACAGGCGTGGGGTCGTCGCGAAGTAGCGCGGCCGTGAGCGCGGCCTTGGCCACGGCGAGATCCGGAGTCGACACGATCATCGTCGCGGCGGAAGGCGCGCTCCCAAGGCTGCGTTTCGCGTGGTGGGTGATCCGGGGTCGGGCGAGGTGCTGAGGTGAAGGGAAAGAGCAGGTGGGAAAGGTGGGTGGGCGAGGTGCTTGAACAGCTGCCAGGCACAAAGTCACTGCCGCGCAGCGCAGGTCCTGACAGCTGTTGGCAGGGGTGGGGCGAGGGGAGCTTCGTGGTGCCCGGTCTGGTGGGGCGGCAAAGCTTCGGGCTGCAGGCTGCGTGTCATGCTGCTGAAGATCTGCGAGGCCCTATCGATGGAAGCCGTCGAGCTCTCTAGGTTCTCCGTTTGCAGTGTACTTTCTGTTCATTTTGGGTGCCGTTTTGCAGCGGACGTGGCCGATTGATACATTGTCCGCGGCGTAGTCCATGTGCGCACACCCGTCACGTCAGGGAGGATTCGGAAACCGAAACGTGAAAAATCACTGCATCGCCAGGCGACCATGCGAAAGCTACCTAAGGATGCGAGCATGAAGCCATGCCTTCAGTTTGAAATAATTTGTCTGCATGAAAACCAAGTCGCAGAAGGAAATCGTCCACTGTGTGCAACAGATACCACGATACATTCCAAGTTCCCAAACGCCGGGTACAAAATATACAGGCCCGGTTCTTTCCGAACTTGCTGCGCGACAGCCAATTTTTCACGAGAAGCGGTCACCCTTTCGACTGCGGTATGGCGTGTCGCTCTCGTATTTGCTCTTCTCCGCGACGCGTTCCGACTCGGTGGCCGGCGCGTGTCTCGTTGGCGCGGGATCGTTGCTGGCTTCCTGGCTCGGCGAGCCGGCGCTGTCGGTCCTCGCGGGTGTGCCGTTGGCCGTCGCGGCCGTCGCAGTCGAGGTCTGGCCGCCAGAGTACTCCAACGATCTTATATCATACTTCTTCCGGCGGGCCTCCTCGAGTTTCGCCTTGCGGTCTGCGTTGATCTCCTTCTTGGCAAAGTAGTAGGCGCCGGCGCCGGCTGCAGCGAACGGAACGGTCAGCAAGCGACGACGTCGATTGAGCATTGCCAGGCACACTTACCGACGCACAAAGAGCCCCAGCCGAGCCTGTTCTTGTCAGCTCCCATATTCCGTCCGTGCCGAGCGGGTGACGAACCAAAAGGACTTGACCTGTGGTGAATTAGCATCTCGCGCCACCGCAGCTGGTCATCATCGCGGGCTCACTTACAGTGTTCATCTTGACTGCCTGGTGGAAGAAACCGCGCGCTCCGAGGGTGGTCGTTGCTGTTCCTTCTGGTGCTGTTGGCCACAATAACGAGGTTGTCGTGTGCGATGCGGCGTGCAACGAGGCAGCTACAGGAAGAGTTTCCGGGTCGGAGCACCTCTGACGTCGAAGCTTAAGCGATGGCTGCAAACTAGCGCACAAAGTCCAAGTGTGGTGCTAGAGGACAGTGCGCCGAAGTGCCGGGAAGAACTCGGAGGTGCTGCCAGCGGGGCAGGCAACGGCTCCCAGGCCGGCCCCAGCCCAGGCCCACATGGCGGGCTGCTGTGGTGACTCGTGAGGCCCGCGTTGGAGCTCTGGCCGCTGCAGGGCGCAGGCGGTGCTCGGTCCAGTGTTCAGCGGCTTGTGGCACAGCTGGTGGGACCCGGCCGCCTGAGTTTCAGCCGCCACACTGTGTTTCGCGGCAACGTCTCGCAGCCACGCACAGTGCGTTGGCTGTCGTAAAATGGGGCCCTGTCATGTATGACATCCATCAAAGAGAGCCGGCCCTGCTGCGACCGCGCCCCAATCGCGCCGACGCAGCCCGTCGAAGACACGCAAGCCACTCTCAACGACCATCGTCAGCCAAAAGCAAGCACGCCCACGAAGCGCCTCTCCTTCGCACGCGACATCTGACCTTGCCGCGTGTGCTGCTGCAGCTTCACAAGCCCTGGGAGGATCGCGATGCCCCCTGCGCCCCGAGCTGGCGACCCTCTTTTCGAGCGCATCCACCACCAGCAACTGCCGACGTCGTCGTCCACCCCTCGCCATCCCTCCATCTTCGCAGTCGCAGCCTCGCCCCAACGACCGCGGCACGCCTTCCCCTGGCTGGCGCTCTAGGACGCAGGTCGTCAGCAGCATCATCGAATGCCTGTGCTATTCTTATGAGGGACGAGTGCATTGACGAATGGGTATAAGGGGCGCCTGTGACCCCGGAACCCCGCCATCGACACGCGTCGTTCGCCGAAGATGAATCCCTCGACGGACGACGGGCCCGATGGCTCCTCCATCGTGAGTCCCGCACCTGACATCCCGCTTATATGGATCCTCTAACGCCCTGCAGAAGCCCGTGTCCTCCCTTCTCGCCCGGTTCGAGAACATGAACCAGTCAACGGCCGGACAACAACCCCCCTCGCAGCCATCCGCCCCGTCAACCGCCCCGTCACGATCGATATCGCCGGCTCCGAAGCCGGATCGGTTACGAAGCTTCAAGCCTCTGCACGAAGGTGCTCCTGTGCCTCCAAAGACTCCCATCAAAGCAGTCCCGAAGCCCGCAGACCTGCAAGTGGCCGAGAGATCAGGGGCGCCGTCTGAGCATGAGGGTCCTCCGATTCCCTCGACCAGGCCCGCACCCACAGCAAAACCGCGCGGTCTCAGCGCCCAGCCGCCGGCGTTGATGGTGCAGCCTCCTCAATCACCACCCAAGGGGCGGGTGTCTGCCTTGACGTCCGGCGAGCACTCGCCCTTTCTCGATCCCCATTCGGCGGCAGCCCCTGACATGCCGGGGGGACTCCCGAAGCCGATCAAGATCCCGAGCCGGCCCCTCACCCCTCTCCAACCGCCTGTGGCTCCCAAATCCCCGCGGCTCTCCTCATCGCAACCCCCCTCGCCGCCTCCACCGCGCCGCTCTGGGGAAGTCCGCAGGGACAAGGAGGGGAAACACGCGCCGCCCCCACCAGCGCCACGCTTGGACAGGCCTGCGAGCACTCGTCCCATGGCGGCGAGCTTGCCGCAGTCTGTTGGCGGTCAATTGATCAGGAAGCCGGACTTGTCTAAGGAAGCATCGCCGTTTAACAGCCCACCGGGGAGCCCTGGGGAAGAGTCAGACGGGACGCCACCAGAACTGCCTACCCGACCAAGGCCGCAAGTCCAGAAAGATGCTTCTAGTAAGCCTAAACTGGATCTTGGGGGCTTTGAACCACCCCCGCTTCACCATTCGATCGCCGGGAAGCGGGTGGGCCGTGAGCCGAGCGTTAACGGCTCCGGTAAAGGCCAGCTCACGCCGCAGCAGACGGGAGAAGGCCGAATATCTCAACCGCCAAAGCCGGCACCCATGGGCCCTCCGCAGCGAATACCTACCGGTAGCCTTGCGATGCCGCCGCCGCGACCTCCGCGACCCGTCCCGCAGAGCAGCACGCCCAAGGCCGTGCCCATCTCCGCCTCAGCGCCGACAAGCCGCCCCGCCTCCCAAATCTCCGTCCGCCAGTTTCCAGCGCCGCCGACGCAGCAACTCGTCATCGCGAAGACTAGAGACAGGACGCCGGAAAGAGGGCCAGCCGAACGAGAAACAAAGCCCCTACCAGCCGTCGCACCGGCCAAGGTGTCCCTGACGTCCTCGGTTCCTGGGTCAGTGCCTTTAAAGCCGGAGCCGGCGAGTCAAGTAACAGCATATCCAGACGGTTCGAGAGCCAATCGACGGCCTCCATTCGTAAAAAAGGGCTGCTCAGAATTACAGACGAAATACGATCCAAGGATATTCGACGCTTGCGGAGAGCTAGTTTGCACCAGCGGCCATTTGACGCGAGTCTGGAGCCTCATGGACGGCGAGCAACTTATGAGCCTTGCTCACACAGAGGGCGTCAGGGCTACCGCTGTGGCATTCAAGCCTGGTACGGATGCCAACACGGAAGGCACACTGCTGTGGGTTGGAACCAGCTTGGGTGAAATCATGGAGGTTGAAGTCGCAACTCAGCGCATTCTGCAAAGCAAAGGAGGCGTCCACGCACGATGCGATGTCACTCACATATATCGGCACCTCAATGAGCTGTGGACCGTGGATGAGAGCGGTACCATACACATTTGGGGCCCTGATATCGATGGGACACCGAATTTGAGCGGCCACCCTCATCAAAGCAACAAACTGCCGAGAGGACATACCTTCTCCATGGTGGTTGGCGACGAATTGTGGCACGCTACTGGGAAGGCCGTGCGGGTCTTCTCTCCCTCGTTGGACGGGAGCAAGCCGTTCCAGGTTCTGGTGCGGCCACTGACTGCCGACGGTGCGGGCGACATAAGCGCAGGCACGCAGGTGAAGACGCACCCAGACCAAGTATTTTTCGGTCACGTCGACGGCAAAGTCAGTATTTTCTCGACCAAGGACTATTCGTGTCTGTCTGTTCTCAGCGTCAGCTCGTGGAAGATCAACGCGCTCGCCGGTGTGGGCGAGTACATGTGGGCGGCGTACAACACAGGCAAGATGTGCGTATACGACATGGGCCAGCAGCCGTGGGTGGTCAGAAAGGAGTGGCAAGCACACGACCAGCCCATCGTCAAGATGAAGGCGGATCCAGCGAGCTCCTATCGATTGGACCGGCTGCAGGTCATATCACTCGGGGCGGACAACAAGGTTCGGGTGTGGGACGGGCTCCTGCAAGACGACTGGCTGGAGGAAGACATGAAGTCGAAAGACACAAAGTACTGCGATTTCGACGAGATCCACGCCCACATCATGACCTGGAACGCCGGGGCTTCGACACCCCACAGTCTCCGGTATTCGGACGGCGATGCCGGCTTCTTTCAGGAGCTGGTTCAGTCGAGCGGCTCTCCGGACATTTTCGTCTTTGGCTTTCAGGAACTTGTCGACCTAGAGGACAAGACTGCTACTGCCAAGCGCTTCCTCAAGTCTTCCAAGAAGAAGGAGGGGACCGATCAGGAGCGGATGAGCCACCAGTACCGCGATTGGCGTGATTTTCTGATGAAGACGCTCGACGACTACATGCCGGCCGATGATTTATATCACTTGCTGCAGACGGCACCCATGGTGGGACTGTTTACTTGCGTGTTCGTCAAGTCGTCGCTTCGAGAGAGGATACGCAACCTCAGCGCCTCAGAGGTGAAGCGCGGCATGGGCGGCCTCCACGGGAACAAGGGGGCTGTGTGCATCCGGTTTCAGGTCGACGATAGCTCGCTCTGCTTCGTCAACTGCCATCTGGCAGCCGGGCAAACGCAGTCGAACTCTCGCCACACCGATGTGGCGGCGATTCTGGACACGGTCATGTTCCCCGAGGAGCGAGATTCGGCGGCGTGCATCGACAGCTTCACGTGTGGTGGGGATGGCAGCATGATCCTGGACCACGAGCTGTGCATCCTGAACGGAGATCTCAACTATCGGATCGACACCATGTCGCGCGACACGGTGGTCAAGGCGGTCAAGCAGCAGAACCTGAGCAAGCTCCTCGAGCGCGATCAGCTTCTGGTCGCGCGCCGACGCAACCCAGCATTCCGCCTGCGGGCCTTTGACGAGCTACCCATAACGTTTGCGCCAACATACAAGTACGACGTCGGCACGGACAATTACGACACCAGCGAGAAGAAGAGGAGCCCGGCGTGGTGCGACCGATTGCTGTACAGGGGCCGGGGCAGAATCCAACAGCAGGATTACAGGAGGCATGAGGTGCGTGTGAGCGACCATCGGCCGGTAACGGGCAGCTTTCGGCTGTGGGTCAAGAAGGTCAATCCGCGAGACAGAGCTGTCGCGTGGATGGAGAGCCAGCAGGGCTTCGAGGACCTGCAGCAGCAGGCACTGGCCGACGAGAAGTATGCGAATTGAGTTCCCCCCCGCCGAGGTGGATAAGGTGGACATGACAAGCTAACGCAGGGTGGCAGGGTGCTCTACTTGGTCAACACATGCGGATATGAGGAGGCGGCGAGCAGAAAGTACGTCAAGGAAAAAGCAGCCAGGAAGGCTCACCGGAGCCCAAGTAGGAACGCGAGTGGTCACTGAATACGAGGTTAATGACAAGAAAGAGCACAGCGGTTCGCCACGACGGGTCGCGATGGGACGAAGCTACACGGGCGTGGTCGGCTCGGTCACGGAGTATGGGCAATGAGCATGGACACGGAGCAAACTTAGACAAGCGGGTGGACCGCAGGGGCGATGCGGAAGCACAGGGATATAGCGGGCAGCATATCGTAGACGGCCGTCTAGAACAAGCGTGATTCAAGGCATAAAGGTGGCCGCGGCGCATCGCGGTGGAGCCTGTCTCCAGGGGACGTGGCCGAAAGCCGATACTCCGCATTGCTCGTGTTTGCCCGGGACCCGATAAAAAGCACAGCAAGGTGCCGGCATCGTCGGGAGGCAGCGTTATAGTGTGGCGGGCGTGGCATTGACGGGACGAGGTTGTGCGGAGATGCAGCCGAACGGCGCGCTTCTGCTTGCACATATGCGCTGCCGTCGACCGACACGGATGCGCGGCGATCCGGCCGCCGTTAGCGCCCGCGCCGGCTCCCTGTCAATCGGGAATCGGGGTCTCAACAATTTCCATCGTCAGCCGCCACGCTTTTGTGCAACCGCCTCCTTTCTTTTTCCCCCGTGCGTGCACCCGACTCCCGCTCTTTCCGTCGTCTGTCAGGGATGCAGTACAGGCAGGTCCTTCGACATTCATCGCAAGGCCAATTGCTCAATTGAGCGAGCGTTTCGGCAAACGAAGCACCCCCTCCTCACACGTCCGCATACCCTCGATTCCTCGTCGTTCTCCTGCTCCTCCGCACGCGAAACCCCGGCCCGTTAGGTCGGCCCGACCACATCCTCCACCAAAAACCCTATACCGCATCGCCGAAACGATGGCCGCCACCACCGGCACAGCAACGCCGGACGCCGTGGCGCCGCCGCCGAGAAAGACGCCGCTCGAGCACCCGACGGCCGACAGCAAGCCGGCGCCCCGGCCGGAGCTGACGGCGGAGCAGACGGCCAAGTACGAGGCGCTGCTGGACAAGGCCCGCAACTACACGGACATCAAGTGCGACGAGAAAAAGGCCGCGGGCAAGTCGGGCCCCGTGACGGAGTCGGAGCGGGCGTGGCTCACGCGCGAGTGCCTGCTGCGGTACCTGCGGGCGACCAAATGGAGCAGCGCCGAGGACGCGTCGCGGCGGCTGCTGGCGACGCTGGCGTGGCGCCGCGAGTACGGGCTCGAGGCGCTGACGGCCGAGTACATCTCGCCGGAGCAGGAGACGGGCAAGCAGATCGTGGCGGGCTTCGACCGCGAGGGCCGGCCGTGCCAGTACCTCAACCCGGGGCGGCAGAACACGGACGCGAGCCCCCGCCAGATCCACCACCTCTTCTACATGGTGGAGCGCGTCGTCGACGTGATGCCCCCGGGCGTCGAGTCGCTGAGCCTGCTCATCAACTTTAAGCCCAGCAAGCAGAGGCAGAACACGAGCGTGCCCATCTCCACGGCGAGGGAGGTGCTGCACATCCTGCAGAACCACTACCCGGAGCGGCTGGGCAAGGCCCTCATCATCAACGGTAAGCACATGACACTCTGCCTCTTAAGCTCGGCTTCTTGCCTGTCTTTTACCGTTGCTAACAGTGGTCTGTGACATTAGTTCCGTGGATCGTCCAGGGCTTCTTCAAAATCATCACCCCCTTCATCGACCCCGTCACGCGCGGCAAGCTCAAGTTCAACGAGGACATGCGCCAGTACGTGCCGCCCGAGCAGCTGTGGAGCACCGACTGGAACGGCGACATGGACTTTGAGTACGACCACGAGGCGTACTGGCCGGCGCTCAACGACATGTGCCGCGCGCGCCGCGAGGCCAAGATGGCGCGGTGGCGGGCCGCGGGCGGCGTCGTGGGCGAGTCGGAGGACTACCTCGCGGGGGGCACCGACGTGAGCGTCTCGGGGTTGCGGTACGAGGGAGAGGCGGTGGTGCCGGCCGCTGGTGCTGATGCTGAGAAGGCGAATGGGAATGGCAAGAGCGAGAGCAATGGGCGCGCGGACGCGAACGGCAGTGGGAATGGGGTGGACGTCGTGCGGGAGAAGATGGAGGCGGCGACGCTGAGCGGCGACAACGCGGCCACGGAGCACGAGGTGACGGCCAGCGCAGCGTGAGTGCGCCGTATACAACGCAGCCCGCAGCACACGCGTGAAGACTACAAGGTGGGATACACAGATGACGGAGACGGTTTCTCCTTGGCCACATCAGATACCATTACACAGACACTACACAACGCAGACCTATAAACTCCGGAGGATAGGGTAGAATACACATCAAAGCGAGCATGCTTGGCAGGGTAGAGTAGAATACACATACATTAAGCGAAGCACCGAGGCATTGTCTAGTCGGTAAGAGATGCCCCGGAGCCGGGGCGCGCACCAGCTGAACTCGCCCGGCGCGAGTCGCCCGACACCGGCTCCTGTCGGCTGACGTCTTTCGTGTCCCCTTTGCGCAAGGACAAAGGACGTGGACCGGGAGCGGTGGGTGTGGGTTGCACGCGCCACGGAGGTCGTGAATCATGGCTCATAGGTTAAAAACGCCCGGTGGAAAGCTAGCCAGTTGGAGCACGGAGAATGGCAATGATGATGGTTGGTGGTTGCGGTCGTTGTGGTTGTGCGGCTCGGCGCTGAGCTCGGTTCACGAAGATGACGATGCATGTATGTAGGCGTATGACTTACACGGCCACAGCTGGCGTAACTTGGGCGGGTCGTCAGCCTTTTCGCCACACATTGTCAATTGGCGGAGCTAGGCTTCCGTCCCTGTGACTCCTTTTCTGTCTTGCCATGGCAGTCTGACGTGTGCTGCCCTGCTGCCTGGCACTTAGCTTGGTAGCGGTCGGGCGGCGCATATGTGTGTGTGTGTGTGTGTGTGTGTGTTTGTGTGTGTGTATTGGTGTCCCGGGCACCCGGTGAGCGGAGCAGAGTGAGCAGTGAGCACGACGTTCGACAACGAGGTGGAACTCGGACGAGTGAGTGAGTGAGTGTGAGTGGGTATGTACGTTTTCTTCCGCCAAAGAATCCACGTAACAGGGGTTCCGCCCACGAACGTGGGGACCCGACCATCTGCTATCCGTACAGTAACGACAATAAGTGAAGGACACCCATCTCTGCCGGGAACCCATCGGGGCGATCCGCGACAGCTAGCTTCTACGGGTGGCATACACAACCAAGGACCCTAATCCGCGCTGTCTCTGTACAGTAGTACTGTATTATGTACTATTGACGATAGGAAAACACGACTCACTTATCGAGCTGACGTCGGCTCGCACTTCTGCTACCCGTTGAAGGCAGCGTCATGTTGCTGCTTCATCGCCGCTGTCGAGCAGTTGAGCATCCCCCGCCAGCCCAAATCCGATACTAACATTCTTCATGATCACCTTTCGTTCGTCGCCGATGATCGGATTCCAATCCCATTTTTCGTTCTCGTTATACGACCAGGCTGGAAACTCCAGCATGATCGGAACGACTTTTCCCGTATGCAGAAGCTCAACGTCGAATGCCAAACGCCCCGTCCGTCCCGTCGATCTCACAAACGGCCCTGCCACAAGCCCAAGTCCAGGGTCTAACCTGTACTTGTGGAGGCAGTAGAAACGGAACTCCGTCGAGACCGTGAGACAGGCCTTCCAGGTATGGTAATCGACGAAGTCCAGGATCCTTGCGTATATCTCTGATGGAAGATTCCCTCGTGAACTAGTTGCGGCGCGGCGAGTAGCGGCGACATCGAAGAAATTCACGAGGGCGGCAAGGACCGGGAAATGTGCTTCGAGGTTCGGTGCAGTCACCATGCAGTCGGAGTCATGGATAAGCATCTGTTCTCCGTGGTGGGACTGGGATTGCATTCCGTCCTTGAGCTCGGGGCGCTCTCGTGGGTGCGTACTCACACAGTACTCTACACGCAGAGGCGAGAGATCAAGTGTGTCGCTGACTTTAACGAAAGGCTTGTTGCCATCGCCAAGTGAAACCTCCGCAAAGACCACCTTAAAGACTGACAAGATGACGACCTGGAAGTTGACACGTCCCTGCTGGATGGCCCAATCGACCGCCTTGGTCACCGCCTTGCCATCGAGCAGAATATCTAGGCTGACCACCACACCCTCCACCCAGTATATGGTCTCCGTGGGTGACGCCCCTGGGGGTTTGCCCGGCCGATGGGACATTGAACCAAAAGGTAGAGGGGCGCTGTCGCCAACCCACATGCACTCATCCTCGACATATGGTATCGAAGGCCGAGATGCACTGTAGGATTCTGGCTGACGCCGCTGTCCACGAGGATCATAGAATCGTGCCTGATTAGCAGCAACAGACACAAGGGCGAACATCAACTCGCGGAAAGGGAACGAATCAGCGGTCCACTCCCTCCCGAAGTGCATGATCTCGTGGGTATACGCCTTGAATATTTTGGCCAGAGAAAGTGTGAGGAACGCGCTCCACGCTTCATTGAGAGTCGTATTTGGGGAGACAAGGCAGGAATCGAATGGTATAACCGGATCTGGCTCGGGAAGCTCCAAGGCCGGCGAAGCCATGTGCTCCTCCGAGCATATATCCAGGGAGATGGTAGGCTTGCCCGGGTAGATGCTTTCGGAGATGGCCTCCATCCATAGGTCGCCCTCGCGAGGGATATTGTCCAGCTTCCAGTGTATGCTGAAGTTCATTGTGAGAACTTCGCTGTCGAGGTTGATGATGTAGAAATACTCAATGCACCAGTCGTTCATTTGCCTTGGAAGCTCAGACGGGAGCTCCACGAACCCATGGTACTCCTCCATGTCCTCGGGCTGGGGGCCGCTACCGATTTCGAAGACTTTCTCTTCGAGCTCGTGCTCTATCGCTGCATGACGGCTTCGCATTGACTCGAGCCATTCTGGACGGTGTTAGCGGTCCGCTTCAATTACACGGAAAGGCACACAACATACTCTGGTATTCAGCAGGATCGGCAGGGATGCTTGCGACGATTTTGGCGCCGAGGCCCTCAAAGTAAGAGTCATACTGATGATAGCGAATGTAGTATCGCTTGCGGAAACGGACAACCTCGAGACCCCCTGTTCCCATGGCGGGCACAGATGCAATATCCCGTACCCTATCGTCAAGGGATGGGAAAACGTTGGTGGTAGAGGACCTCAAGAACGACGCAGTTACGATCGTTTGTGGAGACTAGCGTTGATGGCTACTCCGAGAAGAGAGAAAGGCAACAGGGCAACGAATCAGCAGCGTCGGCACGGTTTACTTGTGAGCGAGCAGTTGACGAAGGATTGAAGAGGAAGTTTGAGCAGTCCGATGTGTTGAGAAGGAGGCGCACAGTTATGTAGCCGCCGCCATGTAGCCGCCCGTGCAAACATCCACCACCCATCTCCTCCGCGTTCACGACGAGCGAGAAGTTTCGCCTTGCAAACCGGCCCCGAGTTTGCTACCTGGAAAGGCAAAAGCGGGGGGGGAGACAAACGAAAACCCGGTGTGTAACGGGCTTCTGGACCCGTGCTCAGCAGTTGCGCGCGCTCTCGCATGCGTGCGAAGGCAGGGATGGGGAGGCGCACGGTGGTGATTGTGTGGATGGTGGAGGAACCTGGCATGGATGGGTTGAGTGGAATCGGGGAGACCTGCATGCGCGACGAACAACGGGGTTCCGATATCCGTTCCTCTGCGCTCTCGCCTGCGTGCGAAAGCAGGGATGGGGAGGGGCACGGTGAATGTGCGGATTGTGGAGTAATAATCTGGCATGGATGGGGTTGAGTTGAATCGGGGAGACGTGCTTGCACGAACGAACACCGGGGTTCCGATATTCGTTTATGTGTTCAGCCTCACTTTTATGCCCTTTGCAGCGCCGCCCCCGCGCGCCGCCCCGGTTGCGTGAGACGAACCGCCAGCTAGCTAGCCATTCGGTCTGGCCTGCGGCGTTGACAGGAGCGCAATGAGGGCACGTCATGCAGGACTGCAGGTAGGCCGCGGCCCAAGGATGTACAATACTTCACCTCAGCATACACGGGGGGTCGAGAAGAGGAGAGGGTTGAGAAGTCACCGAGATTGACGGAGACTGTGAATTCGTTTACATGAGTTGTCGTTGAGACAGGTTCAAGAAGAACCGACTTGACGGGCCCGGTTGGCTCAAAGGCTCTCTCTCTACGAAGCCTGTGCCCAATGTGCGAGGCCTGTACGAAGGTCGTACTTTGTGGTACTAGTATGCACAAGGGTCTCTGCAAAGAGGCTGCAGCAGAATGCCTGTGCTGTGCATGAGGCAAGGGAGCAGCAAAGGCAAGTCATCGACTACCCTAGCCTGTTGCACTGGCAGCATGTGGGGATATCTGCACGCCTCGCACATCTATTGCATCGCGCACATGTGCCGCACCAGTGTGCCGGCCCTCGGGGACAAATGGAATCCCAACGGTGGGAGGAGGAGTAGGAGCATGGGACACGGGAACGAGCCAGGGTACCCCTTTTTTACACTTTCTTGTGTCGCATATCAGTGCGAGTAACGGCAGCTGCTTGGGCCTCTTGAAGGGGCAGCCGCGCAGCTAGACGACGTTGCACAGCGTCGTCTGCTGCCGAGGTGTGCCGCATTGTGTAAATGGACCACAAAGGGATATGGCGGGAGGGTGGCACGCGCGGGGGAAAAGAAGCCCAACAGGTTTTTTGAGGGGGGAAGGGAGAGTGAGGGGAAGAGAGAGACGGAGAGAGAGAGAGATGGGGGGAGAGAGAGAGAGAGAGAGAGAGAGAGAGAGAGAGAGAGAGAGAGAGAGAGAGAGAGAGGAAGGGAACCGAAGCGAGCTGCAGAAAAGCCTCGGGTTGGACGTCTTTGGTACCGCGCGCATGAGGGACTGCCTGATGGGCAGAGCGCGCACGGCGCGGGCGGATCGCGGGATGCTTGATTGGGCGGCCACGCGAGGAGGGAGGGAAGGACGTGTCTTCGGTGTGCGGCACAGGAGTACATACGAAGGGGGGGTTGGTCTGGGACTCTGGGGCACCTGAGGGATCATCTTTGGAATCAGGTGCCTCGTCTTGTGCTGACTCTGCTGAGGTGTCTGTGTGCGAGCGCAGGCGAGAGAGCAGAAAGAAAGAGGAGGAGGAAGGGGAACGGGGGGCGCGACGACGATGCGAGGTTGGGAGGCAGAGCGCAACTCGAGGCGGGGAGACGGGCGCAGAGCCGCATTGATAAACGGGCATCAGCAACAGCTCCATCGGCATAAGCACCAACACTCGCACCAGTCGGATAGCATCTAAAGCGGTTTGTTACGTGCCTTTCGTACTCAGCCCTGCAGGGGCCCCGCACTAGTAGAGGTTGAAAAGTCAACCCCGGCATCGTGGGAGCGGGCCATGGGCGGCGGTTGTTGCGCTTTGCGATGAGGCTCAACTGGACGGTTGGAGGCGGCGACAAGGTCACGATGGTTTGTCTGTCAGGTTCATCAGGTCCAGACCCTGGGCTGGCGCTGCCGCTGATGCGAACCCCTCCGTATGGGGGCTGATTGTCGTTTTCAATAATCCCTGCCCGTTTGCCTCCCCGCCCGCTCCATGAGTCCATAGACTCCATACGTTCCGTCTTGGGCCATGAACCGGGTACCCTGTCTCTGCATTTCTGCTATTCCTGCTTCGTAACTTGTGCAGGCCTATCGTTCCCGCGTCCTATGTACTATCTGAGCATGCGGCGGGGATGTGTCCTACGGATTCCGCTGTAAGTTGGTTGGGAATCGCGGACGAAGGCTGAGAAAGCTGCACCACCCCGGTGACTGCGTGGACGACGCAGGGGCTCTCTGGCGGGCCGGGCGGCAGCCGCAGCCGCAGCAGTCATCGGCCCCATTCGTCCGTCGTCGCCAACACGAAAGAGTCACCAGCGTGACATGTCGGCGCTGATCCGCCCGGAGCCTCCTTTTTGCCCCCCTCCCGTCCTCTCGCGGGTCGTGAACGGAGTGTATCGTACTGTGCTCGGGGCTATTACTGTGCACTACCCTAGGCATGAGTTGGTGCAGTGGGAATCACGGAGTGACTGCCCCGCCGTGGCAGGCAGGGCAGGCAGACAGACAGGCGTGGCAGGACAGCATGCGCGGTCGTGAATCGTGATGGGTGGTGGTGGTCGTCGTCGTGAGTGGTCGAGACAAAAGAGACGGACGGAGAGAGACAGAGAAAAGAGGCAGCCTGTCTAGTGGCCCGCCAGCGTTGGGCAACAACGCGACCGCCAGAACTCGCCACAGGGGCGGCCACGGAAACCGAGTCGCTGACGCGGTGGCAGCATGGGATATCTGCGGGATGTGGATGGATGGATGGATGGATGGATGGATGGAGGGGATGCGGCTGCGGCAGTGCCACGCCACCCACTACGCCCAGAAACAGACAGATTGGAGAGACAGACGCTGCACGTACACTCGCGCACACGTACTCGCACGCACGCACGCACGCACTAAGTTACGGCCGGTGAGGCCCGCGGCCGACTGGCCGATTCGCAGAGCGCCGTGCTCGCCGACCTCTTTTGGACTCTGCATGACGCCACGGGGGGCAAGCTAAGCTAGCACAGAAGAGTAGAGTGAGTGACTGAGTGAGCGATCGAGCGAGCCCACCGCAGCCAGCACGCGCGCGCATGCTGCCTGCTGGTCCCCAGGTCCCGGTGTGGTCGTAGATGATGGATGGGTGGCATGGGGGGCGTGCATTCTGCCTGTCCAAGTGCTGGCGTCCTCTTCCATGCAGCAGCTCACTCGACGCCCCCCAGAAAAGAGCCGCGTGTGCCTGGCCGCCCTGGGCAAGGAACTACTTAACTGAGCTGCCGTCCCGTCCCTTTCGTTGCAGCCCCCCATGTCCATCTAGGGGTGGGACGTCATTGCTGTTGTCGTCGTCTCCGCTGTCCGTTTGCCCTGTCGCCCTACCTCTAGTAAGTAGATCCCCGACTGCGGTGCGCGTGCGCGCGCGTCTCGACCAGACCGCAATGGCCGCTTCCATGATGATCTCGCTCGCCCGCCTGGGCCTCCAGCTGCCCGAGTTTCTCGGCCAGGGCAACGTCTCGTCGGCGACGTCATCGTCATCGGTGCTTGGCGCCGGCGGCGGCGGCGGCAACGGCTCCGGCGTCGGTGGGGCCGCCGACTCCGGGCCCGGCGCCGCACCGGGTGGTGGTGGCAACGGCGGTCCCTTCCCGGCGGGCGTCATGGACAGCTTCCTCGCGACGGCGGGCTACTCGTCGGCGTCGCCGCTGATGCAGCTCTTCCTCTTCGTGTACCGGCAGCTCGGGACGCAGCTCGGGCTGGACCCGTCGCTGGTGCTCACCATGCTGGGGTTCCTCTGGGGCGCCAGCAAGCTGTGGGCGCAGGTCTGGGGCTACGTGTGGGAGCTGCTGGACCGGCACTTCATGTGCGCCATGTACGTGGGCGAGTACGACCACATCTACTCGCAGCTCATGAAGTGGCTGTCGCTGCAGCAGAGCATCAAGAGCAGCCGCTACCTCATGGCGCAGACCGTCTGGAAGAGCGCCTGGGACGAGGAGGAGGAGCTCGAGAACTCGCTCTTCTGGACCGACGGCGACGACGGCGACGGCGAGTGCAAGTACCTCAACTTCTCCAACCAGGCCGCCCGCTCGGGCCCTCGCTACGTCCCCGCCATGGGCATCACCGGCTTCTGGCACAAGGGCACCTACTTCCGCGTCACCCGCCGCAAGGAGTCCCTCATGAGCACCAGCGGCTGGGGCGCCATGAAGGACCTCGAGGAGATTAAGATTTCCTGCTTCGGCCGCTCCATCGAGCCCATCAAGCGCCTGCTCGCCGACGCCAAGACGGCCTACTACTTTGACACCTACCGCAAGACGACCATCTACCGCCCGCGGCCCAAGGAGATGCGCCGCGAGAACGGCATGTGGCACCAGGTCGCGCGACGGCCCATCCGCCCCATGCGCACCGTCGTCCTCGACGGCCAGGAGAAGCACAACGTCCTCGCCGACGTCAACGAGTACCTGCACCCGGCGACGCCGCGCTGGTACGCCTCGCGCGGCATCCCGCTGCGCCGCGGGTACCTATTCCACGGGCCGCCGGGCACGGGCAAGACGAGCTTCTCGTTTGCGCTGGCGGGCGTCTTTGGGATTGACATTTACGTCATTAGCCTGCAGGACGTCAACGTCACCGAGGAGGACCTGGCGGTGCTCTTCACCAAGCTCCCCAGGAGGTGCATAGTCTTGCTCGAGGATATCGACACGGCGGGCCTGCGACGCGACGACGACCAGGAGGACTCCGATGCCGAGACCAAGGAAAAGGACAAGGAGGGCGAGGGCGAAAAGGCAGCGACGGAGACCAAGGCGTTGACCAACGGCGTCAACGGCGACCACAAGGTCAAGGAAACCAGCAAGAAGAACGGAAAGAAGGAAAAGACGAAGAAAAAGGCCACCAAGAAGAAGGTGGTGGACTCTGACAGCAGCGACGCTTCCGACAGCGACGACAGCTCCGACGTGAGCGAGAGCGAGAGCGAGAGTGATAAACAGGCCAGGAAGAGACGCAGCAAGAAGCGGAGCAAAAGGCGCGGCGGGCGCAAGGTGTCGTCGTCGGGGCGCAAGGTGGTGGCGCTCGAGAGCATCTCGCTGTCGGGGCTGCTCAACGCCATCGACGGGGTTGCGTCGCACGAGGGCCGCGTGCTTATCATGACGACCAACAAGCCTGAGTCGCTCGACGAGGCGCTCATCCGGCCAGGGCGCGTCGACGTGCAGGTGGCATTCATGAATGCGTCGAGCGAGCAGGCGGCGGAGCTGTTTTACCGCATGTACGAGGCGTCGCGGCCGCGGCAAAGGGGGCTGCCGGGGAGTTGGTCGGCGTCGCAGGAGGAGCAGAAGAAGGAGAAGGAGAAGAACAGGAGCCACGAGCAGCAACAGCATCAGAAGCGGCATCAAGATGAGCAGAAGACGGAGAAGGCGGAGGTCAACCAGAGCATCGAGCAGCCAGGGGCGGCAGAGGCGACGACAGTGACCACGACGTCAACCCCCGCGGAGCAGCGGCCGGCGGTCGAGGCGATGCTCCTGCAGCCGCACGAGGAGCTCGACGTGTCCGAGGAGGAGCTCAAGGCCATCGCCAAGGAGTTTGGGCGGCGCATCCCGGCGGGCACCTTTTCGCCGGCCGAGATCCAGGGGTTCCTGCTCAAGCGCAAGAAGAGCCCGCGCAAGGCGCTCGAGGACGTCGAGGGGTGGGTGGAGGCGGCGGTGAAGCAAAAGGAGGCCAACTCCAAGGTGTCGACGGTGCAGTGAGTTTGAGTGTGTTGTTTTGACTGTCGAGATTTATTACCTACACAGAGAAAGGGGGGTGGGAAGACGGGAGAGGGTGGGCGTTCTTTTCTTGTTGTTGTTGGTGTTGTTGTTTTTCCTCCCTGGCGCGGCCATTCTGCATTTGGAGGCGGGCAAGTCACGAAATTGGGAGACTCGTTGAATAAAGTATACCTGCATTGTCGAGTTTTGAAAGAGAATACACTTATATGAGGCAACGATGAAGACTGTGTCGCGCAGCTTTCGAGGAGCGGATGGATGGAGTATGGTCAGTGTCCACTGTCCAGCGTGCGTGAACCCCACCATTTATTTGCGGATGGAACCCCACGTCCTGAGTCCCTGGCTGAGCCCATCCGTCAGTCAGCCTGCTGTAGCTCTCCGTTCCACTCGCTCCCGTCACTAGGTGGACGTCAAGCTTCATCCCTCCAACCTCAATCCACCCCCCTCCGCCGACACGGGACCCGGGCGCATAACCACGCAGCTCTCTCTCTCCACCCATCGCTCGCAGTCCAACCGCAAGCAGCTCCCCATCTCGTCCAGCCGACCAGGGGAGAGCGAGCGCTCCGAGAGTCCCCGCGGGCAAGTCACCGCCGCCCGACCGCCCGCCCGCCTCCAAATGGCCAACCTCGAGCCCGGCGGCTCGTCCGCCCCGGCCGTCAAGGAGCCCGGCCTGCGCGTCCCGAGCAACGGCAAGACCATCTACCACCGGCCGCTGAACCGCAGCAAGACGGCCGAGCTGAGCCAGGCGAGCTTCGCCTACCTGTTTGGCGAGATGGTGACGTACGCGCAGCGCCGCGTCAAGGGGATCCAGGAGCTGGAGCAGCGGTGAGTGTCCGGCCCTTTCGTCTGCCCGCCCGTATTGCGCCGCGGGGATGAGCGCGCGCGCATGCACAGAGGTCCCCAATTCAATCCTCCCCTCTGTGCGGACAATGAGCTGACGACCGACCGCCCCCCGCCTCTCCAGGCTCAACCTCCAGGGCCACCCCATCGGCATGAAGCTCCTCGACCTCCTCCTATACCGCGAGCCGCCGCGCACGCAGCTGCGCCCCCAGACCATCATCTCGCTGCTGCACTTCATCAAGCAAAACGTGTGGCAGCACCTGTTCGGGCGGCAGGCCGACCGCCTGGAAAAGTCCAACAACCCGGACACGCCCGACGAGTACATGATCATCGACAACGAGCCCCTCGTCAACCACTACGTCAGCGTCCCGCGCGAGATGAGCCAGCTCAACTGCGCCGCCTTCGTCGCCGGCGTCGTCGAGGGCGTGTGCGACGGCGCGGACTTTCCCGCCCGCGTCACGGCCCACACCGTCGGCGAGGGCGACATGTGGCCCGGCAAGACGGTGTTTCTGGTCAAGTTCCGCGCCGACGTGGTGGAGCGCGAGGGCTTTCTCGGCAAGACGTAGTCTCGGGGCGGCAGAGTAAAACGCAAAGGAACGGACGGATCACCTGAAGTTGGGGAGTTTTGGCGTTGTTGCGCATCATGGGTTACCTTCTCACGGCTTGAACTGGAACCCATAAAGAGACCAAATGCTTTGTATCATATCATAGTGCCGGGTCAAAGGCTCTACAATATACCCTCATGACGCAGAGGATGCCTTTTCAACAAATCCAAGGCAGCACTTGTATGCCAGACCCAACGCCAACCAACGCCTGCCTCAAGGCACGAAAAGAACTAACCTGCTACTCCAACCTCGTACCGCCAACGCTGCGGGCACCGCCGTCACCGCGGCAGCCCTTTGCCCTTGCTCCCTGACGTCGTCGCGGCCGCCGCCTTGCCCGCCGCGGAACCGGGCCCGGGCCCCTTGTTCATCAGGTCCGCGAGGCCGAGGTCCTTCCAGGCGGGCTCCCTCGTCTTCTGGGTGGCGCGCTGGATGCCAAACGCGGCGTGCTGGTCGGGCACCACGTCGTCCTCGTCCTCGGGGTTGATGGGCTGGTGCTGCGGCGGCACGTAGATGTCGTCCTCGGGCAGCTTGTCCTTGCAAAAGTCCTCGAAGAGCTCCGCGTCGGCCGCGCGGTGCATGTGCACGTACGTGAAGGACGAGTCCTTGTTCTGGCGAGCGCGATGATGAGTGAGCGAGCGAGCGGGTGGTGCGCGCGGCGCGTTTGAGTGATGGACGGATGGGTTGGACGTACCATGGTGGGGGGGCTTGCTCGTGGCCGCGTCGAGCTGTTGTTTTTGCTTTCTTGCAGGGGCGCGCGCATCGGCTTGAGCTGATGTGAGTGATGAGGAACTTTGAAGCGGTCGTGAGATGTAGTGTTGACCAGGCGGGCGGTTTGATGGTGGAGGACGCGCCGCTGTGGAGGCTCCATGCCTAGATGCCCCGCCAAACCTGGAAGCCTGCCCGTCCAGGCCACCACCTACAGCTCGCCTCCGCGCGTTAAACCCCCCCACCACAGCGTCTAGCATCTTTGACAATCGAGCCGCCTCATCCGTCAACGCTCACGATCCCCTGCGTCTACATCTGCCCGCCATTGGCCGTCATCCGTCAGTATGCCACGGGCCTACGCCACCCCTTGAGCGAAGCTGCCTGTTCCCATGCCATCGGCTTCCATGGATGCGCAGAGCCGCAAGCGGCAAGACGGCGACGTCTCCCCGTCCGATGACCGCCAGCCGTCGAAGCGCTTCCAGGTCCCGCGGGCCTGTCAGCGCTGCAAGTCGCTCCGCCGGGGCTGCGACGAGCACCGTCCGTGCCAGAGATGTCTGCGCGCCGGCCTCGGGAATGAGTGCGTCGGGGGCTCTTCCTGGCCGGCGGCGACGCCGATGCCTGCTCCGGGTCACGATGCCGCCGCTGCGTGGGCGAGAGTCGTTGCGGAAGCTCAGGGGCCGATCGTTGAAGAATGCGCGCGGCTCTTCTTTGAGCTCTGCCACCCGACTATTCCCATCCTCACGCTCGACTACGTGGCCCGTCTTCGAGACGCCGCCATGAATCCGCACACGGGCATCGAGGCCTGCACGCTGCTCGTCGCCATGTGCGCCCATGTCCTGCTTCACGTCGAGGTCCCGGCGAGCAGAGGCCCTGGCAGCGCGATCCCGGATGACTACGAGGTCTATGGAAAGACCCTGCTAGACACAGCGTCCACGACGTATCAAACCATCCACTGGCCACCCACCCCTACGCTAGACAGCTGCCTCCTCGCCTTCTTCATCTACGCTGGCCAGAACAGACTCGCCCGGCACAGTAAAACCTTTCTCTGCCTGCGGCAGGCGACGACGCTCTGGGCCCTCGTCAAGGATCATAAACCAGCATCCCCTACCGCCGAAACGCTGCTCAACCGGCTCTTTTGGGTCCTCCTCGTGTCGGAGCGCTCTCATGCCATCCGATACGGCCGGTCTATCGCGCTCCACGTCACGCCCGATGTGCCGGAAATCGATGCCACCGACCCGTCGCTGCACGGTCTCCGGAGTCTGGCCGCCTTGTTCCGGCCGATCGATTCGGCGTTCATGGCGATCAAGAACGAGGAACAGTTACTGCTTCCTTGGTCACCCGAGGTCTTGGACCGCGCTGAGCGGGCCATCAACTCGGCCATTCCGACTTCGGCCATTTTGCAGGACACACAAAAGGCAAACTTGAGGATAACAAAGCTCTGGCTGCGGATCATTATTTGGCAACTACGGCTACGGCTGGGCCTCCTGACGGAAACTTCACACCACCGCAATCTCACTTACCGATATCCCGTCGACGTCGCCAAGGAGCTGACGCTATCCACCCGCGACCTCCCCATCCACACCATCCACGTGCATGGCATCGGGTTGACCGAGAAGCTTTTCGACGTCGCCTCGGCCGTGGTGGATGTCATGGCGCAAATCCCGCACACTTCCCCCAGCGCCAGGGGCATGTCCGTTGAGGGACCCCCAGAGGAAGACCTGGCGTACTTGCGCGCCTTGATACTTCAACTCCCTGGAGGGCTCAGCGTCTACAACGAATTGCTCGAGAAGCATATTCAGCAGGCGCTACCTGCCATGGCGTCTCCTGGCTCGCACACCTCGCCGGGTACTGTGAGCCTCATCTCACATCAGAGTCCGACATGATGTCGCATGAACCGCGAATACAACAGCAGCGATTAATGCGCTTGAATAATAGAGCAATAGGATATTTATTACATCGACGGTGGAGTTTGAACAAAGAAATATGCCAACTTGGGCGGCTATTTGTCCTCTCCTACGAGTCTTCGATCCTCCACCTCGTGCGCATAAGGGTCGACGTGCGTCGACGCAAACTTCCTCGCAGGAACCTTCTTCTCGAACAGCTCGTCGAGCTCGGCGTACGTGCGGCCCTTGGGTTCAGGCAAGCGGAAATACACCCAGACGACCGACAGGAGGCAGCTGCCTGCCCAGAAAAAGGCCGCGCGGGCACCCCAGTTCCACGCCGTTGATGACAGCTGGTAGTTTGTCATGACGTTGACGAAAATGTTGCTCGCATTGTACGCGGCGCGCGCCAGCACAATGGTCTTGGCCTTGAGGCGGGTCGAGGACAGCTCCGACACCAGGGCGTACGTGACGGGGCCGACTGTGAAGTCATACACAAAGGTGAAGACGATGAGCAGCGCGGCAATGGCCCAGACGGAGTTGTTATCCTTTGAGAAGGACAGAGATCCGACAATGATGAGGAGCAGGAACTGGCAGCAGAGACCGCCAAAGTGGATCTTGCGACGGCCGACCTTGGACATGAGCAGCCAGGAACCGGCCGTGCCGACCATGCCGAGCGCGTATTGGGCCATGGAGAGCGAGAAGGAGTTCTTGGGGTCCATACCCGCCTGCGTCAGGAAGTAGGAGAAGTAGCCCATGATGTTCTGGCCACCGAGGGTCTGCACCAGCCAGATGCCGACGACGATTTCCGTCCTGCGAATGTCGACGCCCTGGAAGCAGTCCCGGTACGACACGCCCTCCTTGATCTGCTTCTCCATTTCATTGGTGTGCTCAATCATGGCGAGTGTCTCGTCGGGGTTGAAATCTGGCTGGTTCCGCGACGTCAGGCGGAGAAGCGATGCCTTGGCCGCAGCGCGGTTGTTCTTGCGCATATGCCACCACGGCGACCTAGTAGCAGTCAGCCCTGAGCCTTGAAATCAATCCGAGAAACAAACTTACTCTGGAGCAAAGATGACGCCTGCGAGGATCGGCACCGGCCACACCCACTGTACGCCAAAGGGGATGCGATACGACCACTGGTCATCGCGGCCGATGGAGCCCTTGTTGACAGCAGCAGCAAAGAATTGGCCAATGACCCAGCACATGTTGATAAACGTCGTTAGATACGGTCGCAACACCACGGGAGCAACCTCGGACGCGTATGCCGGAGTGACGCTTTGGAAAGCGCCCCAGGGGATGCCTAGACAAGTCAGTTTTGGGCCTTGGACACTTGCAGATCGGGTAGCGTACCGCAGAGAACCTCTCCCACAACCAAGACCTTGACATTGGGCGCAAAGAACAAGACAAAGACAAAGGCAATCATGGCAACCAGGAAGCCAACAGTAGTCTTCTTGTAGCCGTAGCGATCGGCGGTCCAACCAGCAATGATGAGGCCGATGATCTCGCCGGCGCGAGCTCCGTTGGAGAGGCCGGACTGCCAGGCGGCGGACACGGCGTATTTGCCGGTGGCCGGGTTGAGGGTGCCGAACTTCCTGTTGAAAGGCTGCGAAGCGTACAGGTTGCCCAGCAGGGCGAGGTCGTAGCCCTCCATGATGAGCGTAGACGAGAGCAGGACGGACCAGCCAATGGCCTTGGGGTACGTCTGGACAGCCTGCCAGAGGCTCATCTGGTGCTCGGCCTGAGCACCGTGCTTGGCCTCGGCGGCGAGCATGGAGGGCTTGACGTCCACATCATGCTCGGCGTGGGCTTCGGCACTCTTGGTCGGGGTCATGGCATCAAGGCCGCCAGCCATGATGGACGACGGTGGTGAATGACGGGGGACGGACAAGGAAGGTTTTGAAGGAGGATTGACTCAAGGCCCGGGTTGCTGTCCAGGGTGCATGGCGAGGAGGCCTGACAGAGCACAGGACGACCGCGCCTATTTATCCCCCCCGAGGTTGGAGAGTCAGAGACGCGTCCGGGGAAAACCTGAACAACCTCCAACAGCCAGCTTTTACCGAGCGCAAGAGCATGTTGTGTGGGGAAACCTCGTGGCAGGAACCGACACCCTGGGGAAATCTGGAGAGACGACTTCGTGTGGGGTTGCGCATGACCGACAACCTTTTTCCCGGTCATGGACAGTAGTCGCCGCCACGACTCAGAGTGTGGACGTTGTCGACAGGAGTCTCCGCCTGCCATGGTCGCCACCACCAGCTCTAGCACACCGTCCCGTCCAGGAACCGAGCAGAAGCGGAGTCTAGCGGAGCGCCGTCGAAACGTGGCGGAGCCTCCGCCCTGCGAGGGAGACAGATTCCACACAGGGGTCCGCGGGGCGGAGTCTCCGACGGCAAATACTCCAGATTCCACAGCGGTGCGGAGTGGCCGCCCAGCCGATGAGCCGTGACTTGATGGGGATCGAGGGGACGTGGGACGCGGCAACGCGTATAGCCAGCCCTCTCAAATAGAAAAAGATGTTTGGCCCCTCGGTCGTGAGCTCTTACTACAATCCGAGCCGAGGCAGCACGTCCGAGACTGCTGCTCGCCCACTCACTCACTCACTCACGCCTTCACTTTCACCTTGACATCTCTGTTGCCCATCTCAGCCGACAGGAGGTCATATACAACTATGGGCTCCAACTCGCTCGAATGGGACGTCGAGAACGGCCATGTAGGGCCGACTCCGTGGTGGAAGGACGCCACGTTCTACCAGGTGTATCCGGCCAGCTTCAAGGACTCGAATGGCGATGGCTGGGGTGACCTCCCCGGTCTCATCTCTGAGATGGACTACCTCCACGATCTCGGGGTTGACGTGGTCTGGGTGTCTCCGATCTTTGAGAGCCCACAGAAGGATATGGGCTACGACGTATCCGACTATCAATCCATTTACGCACCATACGGCACCGTTGAGGACGTCGACGTGCTCGTCAAGGAGTGCCACTCAAGAGGCATGAAGGTCATCCTCGACCTCGTGGTCAATCACACATCTATCGAACACGCGTGGTTCAAAGAATCCCGGTCATCCAAGAACAACCCCAAGCGGGACTGGTACATCTGGAAGCCGGCGCGGTACGACGACCAAGGCATCCGGCATCCGCCCACAAACTGGCGCGGCTACTTTGCCAGCTCGACGTGGACGTGGGACGAGCGCACGCAGGAGTACTACCTGCATCTTTACGCAGCGGACCAGCCGGACCTGAACTGGGAGAATGCCGACTGCCGCGAGGCCATCTACGAGGAGACGATGCGCTTCTGGCTGGACCGCGGGGTGGACGGCTTCCGGATCGACACGGTCAACAAGTACTCAAAGCGGCAGGACTTTGTCGACGCGCCTATCACGGACCCGGAGTCGCCTCACCAGCCGGCGCCGGAGATGTGGTGCAACGGGCCGCGCATCCACGAGTTCATCAAAGAGATGAACCGCAAGGCGCTGGCGCCCTACAAGGCCGTCTCGGTGGGGGAGCTGTCCAACACGCCGCACCCGTCGCAGGTGATCCCGTACGTGTTGGCGGCGGCGCAGGAGCTCGACATGGTGTTCGAGTTCTCGGTGATCCGGCTGGGCACGGGCAACGGCTTCGGCGCAAAGTACATCTACCAGCCGTACCCGCTGACGAAGCTCAAGGGCCTGACGGAGACGTGGCAGAGCTTCATCGAGGGCACGGACGCGTGGGCGACGGCCTTTATCGAGAACCACGACAACGGGCGCGCCATCAGCCGCTTCGGCGACGCGTCGACGCGCGAGTCGTGGCTGCGCTCGGGCAAGGCGATTGCGCTGTGGCAGGCGACCCTCTCGGGGACGCTGTTCCTCTACCAGGGCCAGGAGATTGGCATGGTCAACATGCCGAGCGCATGGGGCATCGACGAGTACCGCGACATCGAGAGCCGCAACTTTTACGCGGAGGCCGCGGCGTCGGGGAGTCAGGAGAGGCTCGATGCGACGATGAAGGGGCTGCAGGTCCTGGCGCGGGATCACTCGCGGCTGCCGTTCCAGTGGAGCGACGCGCCGCACGCGGGCTTCATGAGCGCGGCGGATGATGGTGGTGATGAGGAGGAAAGCGGCAGCGGGGGTGGTGCGAGGCGGCCGTGGATGCGCGTGCACGACAACTACCGCTCCGTCAACGCGGCGCAGCAGGCGCGCGACCCGCACTCCATACTGGCCTTCTACAAGAGGGCGCTGCGGCTGCGCAGGGAGCACCGCGACGTGTTTGTGCACGGGTCGTTTAAGCTCGTGGACAGGGACGACGAGGAGCTGTTTGCGTATGTCAAGGAGAGCGTGGTGCCGGCGGCTGCGGCAGCAGGAGGAGGAGGAGGCAAGCAGCCGCGGCGACGCAAGGCGGTGGTGGTGCTCAACATGAGCGGCGAGACGAAGCCGTGCGTGGACGTGGTCGGGGCGATGGAGTGCGAGGGCGGCGTGGCGGACGTGAGGCTGCTGGTCGGCACGTTGGGTGGCGACGGCGAAGCGGCCGAGGGCGAGAAGGGCGGCGTGATGATGGCCAAGGGCGGGATGCTGCCTCCGCTGGCGGCCTGGGAGGGGCGCGTGTATGTTAACTATTGATCAGCGTCTGGCCTGATGGGACGGTTGCTTCCTTGGTCGGATTGGGCTGGGTTGGTTGGTTGCCTGGCGTCGCCGAGGGCGCTCAGCGCATAGATGAGGCTACATCTTGACATGACGATAGAAAAAAAGAGCATGTATCATCAGCCGACTGACACCGCCGGGACGGACGGGCTGGAGGCGGAGCCAGGTACTGCCACCACCCCGTCAACAGCGAATGACGACGACGGGATTATCGTCGATGACTGCAGTAATAAGCAGATGTGCATGGACGGGCCGCTTTGCCACTGCACAAGGAGACTTCGTTGTGCTCGTAAACAAGGTACGTGTTGCAGGTAGTTGCCCCTTCGGCCCCCCCGGCCGGGCCGCGCCCCTCTCGGGCGGGACCATCCGGGGGACCCCGGACTCGCACGCCCGGCCCGGCCCCACTCATCACACCACCATCTGCTCATTTATTTTGGCGAGAATGACTCCAGACAGTCGTCGACCCGGCGCATTCTGCCTCGTGCCTGCTCACCTGCCAGTTTTGCGCGCAGAAGTCGCGTAGCAGCCGTGGGATTCCGAAAAGGCAGGGGTTTGTCCGTGGGTCGTTCTTTTGTTCTCGCATGCTGGACGCCTTCCCCTGGGCTGCTGCTGTACGATGTACGATGTAATATGTAATATGACGTCTGCTGGGCTCCGCGCGCGCCCGCGCTCGTGCAAGTCGCGAACGAAAGCGGGAGATGTGTCCGCGTGACGTTCCAGGAAGAAAACTGGCGGGTGCTGCTACCTTTTGACTCTCGTCCGTAAATATCTCGTTCGTGCTTCGTACGTATCGTTGCCCTTTCTCGCCGCTCTTACTCGAAGCGAGCCGAACGAAAGATATCCGAATTGTTCTCGACACGACATACGCGCGCAGAGCTGGAGCAGTCTAACCTGCACATCGCTACCGGTTGATCGAATCGTTTTCGCACAGCAATAGCCGCAGCGGCATCAACATACCCACAGCAGCCAGCCATGGCGTCGACACGGCCAATGCAGCACATCGAGCGCGAGGACCTCTACACGAACCTCGAGCAGCGCATCCTCTACCTGCACTCCTTTCTTGACTTTTCCAGCCGTAAGCCCTCCCAGATCCCCTACCCCCGCCCCAGCTGAGCGACACGAGCGAGCGAGAGAGCGTGAGAAACCAAATACGGGAGTGGTCGCGATTGGCGTCTGGACGCCTTCTCCCATGTTCACACGCGGCTGACGCGGGAAACCCAAAAATTCGGCAAAGTGCAGGCGACATCGAGGCGCTCATCACGGGAGCCAAGTACGTCAAGGCGCTGATACCGGCCATCGTCAACATCGTGTACAAGAAGCTGCTGCAGTACGACATCACGGCGCGGGCTTTCACGACGCGCAGCACGTCGTTTGAGGGCCCTGTCGACGAGGTGCCCGACGAGAACAGCCCGCAGATCCTGCACCGCAAGATGTTCCTGCGTGCGTACCTGGCCAAGCTGTGCTCGGACCCGAGCAAGATGGAGTTTTGGGAGTACCTGGACAAGGTTGGGTGAGTGTGCTGCGCCC